CCTTCGTGAAGGCTGCTAAGTGTGTAGTTTTTCTTTTCTCCTATGTATTTTGAAAGTCCTTTTTTTTTTTTTTTTTGGTACCAGGGATCAAACTTACTAGGCAAGACTCTGCCACTGAACTATACCCCCAGCTCTCATTTTTTTTTTTTTTTTTGCTAAATATAGAATTCTGAATTCTGGGGCAATTCTTCCAGCCCTTGAAAAATATGCCACTTTTCCACCTCCATGGTCTATTGAGTAATCCAATGTCATTTGAATTGTCTTTTATTTCTCTCTATAAAGCTTGATTTCTCTCTCGCTGCCTTCAAGATTTTTTCTTTGCCTTAATTTACAGAAGTTTCACTATTTTGTATTGTAGTATATATTACTTATGATTTATTCAGTTTGGGACTTGCTCAGTTTCTTAAATCCATAGAATTTTTTTCTTTTTTCCAAGTTAAAAAGATTTGGCTATTATTTATTTGAGGATTTTTTTTTAGCCCCATCCTATTTCTATTCTCCTTCTAGGACTCCTATGGTAACTTAAGGTTAGAATTTTTGTTATAATCTCACAGTGGAAGATCAGTTTGATTGTACACAGGGTCCTTGGCTCACATTTTCATTGCTTGAGTATCTTAAATGTGCTGTTCCATTGTTTTCTCTTTCCCACATGTGAAATGCCCAGGTGGACATGGAACAAAATAAAGATCTTGAATCCCCATGTGTTCAGGGTCTAGTCCTACTTTTTAGACCTCTCCAAAGACCCAGTGAAACCCAGAAGGTATTTCTAAGAATCTCACCCTCGGACCAGGTATTTAGCTCAGTAGTGCTGCCGCCTGCCTCACAAGCCCAAGGACCGGAGTTCAATCCCCGGTACCACAAAAAAAAAAAAAAAAAAAAAAAAAATCTCACCCTCAAGTAGGAGCAGGGATTTTACAAGAATAATAAGCAGAAAGGAAACTCCCAATGAGATCAACAGCAGTTCACATTCTCCCCTTGAACAGATCTTGCGCCAGCTGAAGGGCTATGACTCCTACAATACCCTGCTGTTACCACCTCGCACCCCAGGGGAGAATCTGCCCCCAGAATTGTATGAGTACTTTAAAGAGATCAAGAAGCCTAAAGAAGAACAAATGAAGGCAAAAAATCTGGAGAGTCTGGCGCAGGATAATGGTAAGAACTCAACGTGGAGAACCCATGGCTCCAGCCACTGCCCTGCCCCCTCTGAGTTACCCTTGCTGTTAGAACTACCAATTACTGATACCTCCAGGTACCAAGCACCTTATGTATTTTATGTCTAATCCTTACACAGTGGATTCTATCATCCTCATATTATGGATGCAGAGGCTGGAACACATTTTGCTCTCTCTACAGTCCACTGGGCATTGAGACTTAAAAACAACTAACATAGGTAGGAGACTTGCTAGATATGGTTCTGAGGGCTCTGCGCCTACAGAGAGGACAGGACCATAACTTGTTTTATTTATATATTTATTGGTACATTTTAGGTGTACGATACATTTACATTCATCTTTGGGTGCTTGTACCTGAACATGACGTATCTTAGAGGACCATAATTTTAAATGACAAATACAAGATTCCAGCCCAAGTCTTCCTGATTTGAGAATCCATAACTACAGCAACCACTATACTGTACTGCCTCCTAGGGTGTGCCTAGGTCATGCAAAGTAATGCATCATACAAGACAGAAATTGGTTGATTAGAATGAATAATCGATAATGCAAAATAGGAAGAAAAAGTCCAAAAGGGTAGGGGTAGTGGGAGGGGCAGGGGAAAGGAAAGAAGGGAAAGGAAAAATGATGAGGAATGGAAAAAATGGAACTAAAGTCTTTGTAAATAGGGAAGGGTGGAGGGGGTGAAGGGAGGGCTAGGAATGGGGAAAAAATAAGAACCAAGATGCATTATGTAAAGGTACAAATTCCCAATGAGAAATGTAAATGTGTTGTATACCTAAAATGTACCAATAAAAGAATTTAAGGGAAAAAAAAGACAGAAGTTGGTGCTGTAACAGAGGGAAGAGGTGGAAGTTCACATGAGAAACAAGACAGCCCTTCCTTGGCCCTTAAGTCTGGTGGCAGAGCTGGTCTGCACTCTCCTAATCTTGTGCCTTCTGGACCAGCACCCCGGAGTCATCCAATCATCTGCCCAGGGCCTCTCTTGTGTACTGTTAAGTAGACTTGGCTTGTACACACAGACTTGTAGGACTGTGTCGCTGACGTTGCTGTGCCTCTTTCCTTCCTGCTTCTCTGTCCCTCTGCCTGGAAATGTCCCTATTCTAGTCTGACACACTCTCTTCCATGTAACAATCATCATGCATGTAATTATTTTCCTCATGCCTGTCCCTCCCCACTAAGCAGGAAGCCCTCCTAAAGGCAGCAATCACATATTCTTCCCTTCTAAAGCCAGTGTAGGAAACAACCTTCACCCACACCTGACAGTGCCCAACCAATGGTGCCAGGTGAGAGAATGAACCAGTGGAACCCTTTCCTCCTGCCCCTTGGCTGACTTGTGGCCTTTCAAGGAAAGAGACACTGACAGAGTATTAGTTTGCCAGAGAAGAAGGCTGCCTCCCCACCCAGTCTCCCAGTCACGTTTGTTGAGCATGGTATTAGTTTGCTAGAGCTGCCATGACAAATACCACAGTCCAGGCAGTTCAACCAAGAGAGATTCATTTTCTCATAATTCTAGAGTCTGGAAGTCCAAAATCAAGGTACCCGTGGGCTGATTTCTTCTGAAAGCTTCTTCCTGGGGACGGTTCTTTCCTCCTCTGTCTTTACATCACCCTGTTCACGAGAGGGCTTCAACCTCTCAGGCTCAAATTAAAATTCAAAACAAAGAGATGTCTCCCCTAGGTTGGGGAGTCACCATGTCCCGTCCCAGCCCATTGCCTCTCCCTTCGCCCAGATGCTATGGAAGAGGGGACAAGGAGGAAGTGCTGGGCAGACAATGGCAGGTGTGCCTAAGGGTGACTTGGCAAATGCTGATGAGAAGATAAGGGGAAAGCAGGCTGCAGACTGATGGATACACTGTAATCCTGGGTGTGGTTCTGAAAAATTTAAAAACTAAAAATCTGAGCAGTGTACCTCTCCTGTCCCTGTATAAAACTCATCTGCAATTCCTGTCACTGTTTCTTTTCTATCTCGATTTCTTTATAATTTGGGGGCTGTTCTGAATTTTCTAAATTTCTGAGCCAATATATAATTCGGTTATGTTGACAAATGTTAAAATATAGAGACACTTTCTGAACAGCCAACTGCCTGCAGTTCTTAATTGGTGGGGTCAGATAATCGAGGGTGAGGGCACCCGGCACAGCGATTCCCTTGTTTGTCTTTCCTTCCCGGCCCACTCCTCCCATATTCCCTTCCCACCTCTTCTCTGTATGTTTCCATCTTTCGCTCGCTGGCAGAATTGGAAGAGCTGACTGTGTCAGGAACCTCCGCTAGCACAAAGAGAACATCCGTCAGCCAAGGGATCTCTGTCACATCCTACTTTGAAAACCAGCACAACCTTTTGACAGAGTCCAAAGCCTACACAGATGAAGATGAGGATGAGGACAGCCTGGAAAAATTAATCTTTCAAAGTAAGTGACCACATTAATGTTTGGGAGTCAGTTCTTCTAAGTAGAAATGAAGACTGTTCAGTACCTTGTCACCATTCTCCATAAAACGTCCCCTCTCGATTCCCCAGCACTGGGTCCCTGCCCACCACATGTGCCTTCTAAAGAAGCCCTGATCCACCCTCCCACACTCCACCTTGAGCATGCAGGGCAGCTTAGCATGATATATTCTTCTTGCCACAGTAATTTGCATTTTAACTAGACTAAAGTATTCATTTGAAGGCCTGAATTGTTCATGATAAAATGCCAGCAGACTGAGAAGAATTCTGGGAGAGTAGCGAGCATTCGTCCCAAGTTCCCTCCAATGGGACCCTTGAGGGACCCTCCTCTCCACCTCCAAACCTGTGAGCCCATTTCCTGGCATTTATTTGCTCCCGAGAGATACAAGACGTTGAAACTGTATTTAGAAAATTCGATTCAGCAAAACTGGATTCATGGGGACTACGTGTTTGCCAGTCATTATAAACCATGAAAAAACATAATCCAACTTGCCATGTACCCACCTCAACGAACAGGGTCCATGGGCAAGACTAATAAGATCTTTGAAGAGTTTACTTCAATCAGCATTCTTAGACCTAGTCATATTTACTAGATGAATAAACTGAAGCAGGAGAACGCAATGGTAAAACCAAGACAAAGACAGAAGTTTCTGGCTTGGTGCCTCATGTTCAATCCAACCTAACTCTATTGGCCTGCCTCTAAGTGGCTCTGACCTCCCATGCAGCCTGTCCCCAAGCCACAAATCCTTTCTCTGTCACCTCCACTTCCACATCTGGACTCTCCCCGAGCCATGCCCAGACATCCTCTGGAGACAGAAGCAAGCGCACTACAGTGCTTTGGAGGGAACAACCTGGAAACCGTATAAATGCTTATCAGTAGGGGACTAGTTACATTATAAATCGCACAATGGTGTTTATTTGGCAGCTATTTGCAAAGACAGCAAAATCTGTCTTTAACTCAATGGAAAGATGTTCAATATGTATTATGTGAAAAAGCAAGCTGTGGAACACAATTTACAGTAGGAACCTGGTTTTGTTATCACCTATTTAGTTGCCCAGACTTAAAACAAAAAAAATTTTTAAAGGCTGGGGATATAGCTCAGTGTGAAGGCCCTGGGTTCAATCTCCAATACCAGAAGGAGAAAAAAAACTTTTATTTACAAAAACAAGGAGCAGGATAGATTTGGCCTGGGGCTGTAGTTTACCAGCCTCTGCTACCTACATCATTATTTCATTAACACAATTATACATTCTATATTATAAAATTAATATTTATTATATGTATTTGGCTCTTTCCCTTAATGTTCGAAATTCAGCTAACTATATAAACAGATCTCTTCTTCGTAGGAATGCCCTTTTTATTTTTCAGCAGGAGAGATTCCCAAAAATAGAATTCAAGTCAGAGTATTTGTATCTTTAAACTTTAATGGGTATGGAGAAATTATTAAAAGGACATTGTCATATACTACAAGCGGAGGCTGCTGAACTGTTTGCCATTTGAAAACACCAGTGTTTAAAAAGAAGGATTCATTCCCATTCTCCTCAGTATCCATGTAAATCCTGGGTGCACACGCATGCATGCACAAGTGCATGCACTCACATATTTTTAAGTTACAGCTGACAAGATTCAAAGAAGCCACAGCCATTCTGCAGAGGAAGTTGGAGAGGTGGAAAGCAACCCAGTGAGCAAGGCAATCGCTCGCCACCTAGGCATTGACATCTCTGCCGAGGGCTGCATGGCCAAGAGTCGGAAAGGCATCGCCATTATCATCCATGGGACACCCTTGTCAGGTAGGTGACAATTCTGAGCAGAGGTTAAGACCAAGAATGCCATGTGTCTCTTCCATAAACTCCTTGGCCTCCAGGGTGGTAGTGTGAGCCCCCTGTGGTTAGAGCAGTCACTAACACTTTTATTTGAGGAAGAGCAGAGTGGAGTGACAAAGAGCCTGTACCCCTGAGCCAAACAGTCCTTTGTCAGATCCTCGCACTGCCATTTATAGCTGCGCACCTCTGGGAAAGTTACTGAAGTATTCTTTGCCCAATGTGTTTGTCTGTAATGTGGTATTAACAGTATTATCTCTTTACAGGGTAGCTGTAAGAAGTGAATGGCGATATTTGTATAAAATGTTTATCTCAGTACTTGTCATGTAATAAAAAGCCAAATAGCCATATCTGGACTTTGCATCTTTGTGGACAAAACACTCCAATCACACACTAAATAGTCCCAGAAATATTTTGCCAATCATAAACCATAAACTGTCAAGGGGTGAGCCATTTTTTAACAAAGATCCTTTATTGCCCCCCAAATTACATGTGCCAGTTTCACCATAAGCCCAAAGGAGCAAAGTCACCCACATTGAACAAGATCTCAAACTTCAGTAGTGACTTCCAGTTTACACAGCTCTTTCCCATTCATTCCTTTCTGTGTTTAAACTTCACAACACCCAGAGAAGAGCGTTTGATTGTCTCTACCCTATAATCTGTTAAACTTCAGAGAAACTGTAGGATGCCTGCCCCAGGGCACCCCAATAGTAAATGGCAGAGCAGAGGGACCTTGGAAAGATGTTCTAGAACCTTCTCAGCTTCAGTTTCCTTGAAAAAAGGTGAGGAAACTGTTTCCGGCCCAATTAGTCACTCAGACATTTATGGAACATCTATGTTCTCGTCACTGAGAAGCTCCAAGAATCTTCACAAAAGTAACTGTGCCTTTCCTTGAGAAGTCATAAACCAGAACCTAAAAGTTCTAAGGCTAATACTCTTAAGTGAAATAAATAGGACATACATGTGTAAATACTGAATAATTTCTCTGTTTTGAGAAACTGAAAGGACAAACAAGGATCAAAATGTATAATAGATAACGTGAAATAGGAAGAAAAGGTCCGAAGGGGAAGGGGAAGTGGGAGGAGTAGAGGAAAGGAAAGAAGGGAAAGGAATAAATATGAGAAAAGGAAAAAACGGAAACAAAGTCTTGGTGAAGAGGGAGGGGTGGAGGGGGTGAAGGGAGGGCAGGGGAAGGGGGAAAATAAGAACCCAGATGCATCATGTACAGGTGCAAATTTCCAATGATGAATGTCATCGTATTGTATACCTAAAATGTACCAATTAACTTAATGAATACGTAAATTAAATAAAAAGTTCTAAGGCCAGATTTAGCAGCAACAGGTGCAACAGAGCAACACAGAACGTGATCTATCATGTTTTGAAGATCCTCCATTGCCCAAAACACCTTATGGCCATTTCTGGAGAAATGAAAGGAGGGTTGGAGAGCTGGTTCATGGACCAGTAGAAATTTAAGACACCTGGAGAGTTAATCCTGAAAATGCACCATCCTGAAAGGAGCTACTAGCTCCCTTTTCACCTCCATTTTCACCTGGGGAAGACATGCATTATAAAGTGTAATGTCAGCTACAGCAATAACAATCCTGGCATTTTTCTGGAGCATTGGTGTTTTCAAAGAAACAGTTAACAATTAATAGTGTCAGATTGTTCATTGTTGGGGATTTTTCCCTGTTTGAGATTATGGGAAGTTGGCACTGTAATTTTTGAAGACAACAAAAGACCCTTTTGCATACAATTTATATACTGAAGGATTATCCCAAACTGTTAAATTGCTAGCCTCAGAGATATGGGGTTAAGAAGGAGAGGAAAGACACTTCATTTTGAATTGATATATCTCTAAATTATTTGAGCATCTATTCTTTTAATAATTAAAATATTAAAGAAAAACCTAAGACATTAGACTATTGTAAAAGAGAGGGAAGAATATATGCAAACCCTTTGACAATATTCCTCTGTAAAGTTTCTTAGGAAAATGATTAACAATGTGGACAGATTAACTGCATGAATGTTCACTGCAGCACTGTTTATAATAATAAAAAATTGAAACCAATTCAAGCATCCAATATGGGTAAACTGGTTAATAAGTCATAATTCATTCAAGGAGTGAATTAATTGCCATTGAAAACAGGGTTCTTGTGTTCATTGAGAGCAGCATTCTTCACAATAGCCAAAAGGCAGAAAAAGTCTAATAATCCATTGATGGATGAACAGATAAATGAGGAAAATGGGTTATTCAACCTTAAAAAAGAATGCAGCTCTGACGCATGCTACCCCCTGGATAAATCTTGAAATCATTATGCTAAGTGAAATAAGGCAAACACAGAAAGAAAATGATATGATTCCATTTATATGAAGTACCAAGAGTGGTCATAGCCATGGGAAAGAGGGGTAGAGTGGGAGTTGCCAGGAAAAGGGAAGAGGGGAAATGGAGAGTTAGAAGTTAATTCATACAGAGTTTCAGTGTGGAAATGTGACAAAGTGCTAGAGATGGATGGTAGTGATGGTTGCAATGCACTTAAAATGGTTAAAATAGGGCTGGGGATTTAGCTCAGTGGTTTCATCACCTGCTGCACAAGCGTACGCACCCGAGTTCGATCCCCGGTACCCCCCAAAAAAATGGTTAAAATAATGTTTTATGTTATATATATTTTACCACAATTTTTTAAAGTGTCATACAGGTGTATTGAATGAAAAGAAAGATATTTATAATATAATATATCATTTCATATAAGAAAAAGCCATACATATTATTTGTAATTTTTATTAGTTTGGTATTGCTTCTGTATAAAATATCCACAAACACAGTGGCTTAAAACAAAACAGGGCCAGGGATGTAGCTCAGTGATGCTGCACCTGCATGGCAGACACAAGGTCCTGAGTTCAATTCCTGGTAGCAAAAAAAAGTAAAAACAATAGGAAGAAAAGGTTCAAAGGGAAAGAGGAACTTCGGGGCAGGGGGAGGGGAAGAAGGGAAAGAAAAAAATGAAAAAAGAAAGGAAAACAGAAACAAAGCTTCTCTAAATAGGGAGGGTGGAGGGGTGGAAGGGAGGGAAGGGGAATGGGAAAAAACAAGAACCAAGATACATCGTGTACAGGTACAAATTCCCAATGATGACTGTGATCATAATGTGTACCTAAAATGTACCAATGAACTTAATGAATAAAAAAAAAACAAAAAACAAAAACCAAATTTACACTTTTACAGTGCTAGAGGTCAGAAGTCTAAAGTAGGTCAGCAGAATTGCATTCCTTCCGGAGGCTCCGGGGGACAACCCATTTCCTTGGCTGTTCTGGCTTCCCGAAATGTTGCCCCTAGTTCAGAACCCCTTCCTCCTTCTTCCGAGCCAACAGTGTATCGTACCATTGTCCCATCTCTTTCTCCTTCTGTTGCCAAATCACCTGTTCTGACTCCAACCCTCCTGCTTTCCTCTTATAAAGATGCATGTGATTAGATTGAGCCCACCAAAATAATCCAGGATAATCTATATTAAGATCTGTAAATTGATTGTATCTGCAAAGTCTGTCTTGACCATGCAAGGTAATATATTTATAAGTTCCAGGAATTAGAACACGGACATCTTTGGGGGGCTGTTATTCATAGCAGCCCATTTCTTTTATATGAAATATAAATAATTTAGTAATATATATAAATTTGGCAACCATGAGTTAACTGTGATATCTCCAGATGAGTAGATCATAGATCTATTTTATTTTCTGTGTTAATTTCTGAATTTTTTGCTTTCCTTTTAATAAAGTACTTTGTGATGAGAGTGAAAATCAACATAGGTTATCCTTTAAAGAAGTCTCCCTGTTAGAATTGGAGGCATTAGGACCTCCAAGATACTTTTGAGACTGTCTGGTAAAATCTGTCTTTGAAATTAAAGAGAAAACCCAGCAAGCAGGGGGTGGCAATGCACAAGTGGGTCAGTGATAGCATTAGGACCAGGTCCAGGGCCCTGACGCTAGACTCAGAACTGCCTTCTTTATGCTGCTGCACCTCTGGCCACTGAGGCAGAGCACTCAGATCACTTTATAGGGGCCTCCATTCTAGAGACTTCTGTGTAGGACACTGAGAAAATAAGAACTATGAAATTCAATGCCCTGGTCTTTTCTATAGGAAAGACACCCAACGCTATCAGCATAGCCAAGTACTACAGTGCAGCCTGCTTGAGCATTGACTCCATTGTCCTGGAAGCCATATCTGACAGCAGCAGCATCCCTGGGATGCGGGCCCGTGAGCTCTGCATCAGGGCCACCATAGAGCAGTCCATAAAGGAAGAAGACGACTCTAGTAAGTCCCCATTCTCCTTGATTTGTTGTGGTCAAGTGGCCAGCACCTCTGCTGATAATACCCTCCTTCTCTGTGCCCCACTGAGCTTTCCTCCCACAGCTGACTGAAGGTTGCCTGGTAACATGCTGCCAACATGGCCCAGAGAAGGATTCTGTCCACCAAGCATGTACAGGTCTCCTGCCCTGTCTGATACAGGTGTGCTCTTGGCACTTTAGAGTACAGGACAATGAATGAAAGGACACTGAGTGGGCTGACACCTGGAGGGGAGTGAACATGGACTCATTCAGCGTGAAGGATAATGTTGCAGCAGAAGTTCCAACTTCTGTGAAAGAGCAAGTTTGGGATGAGTGGGTTTCAACGGGGCAGCTTGGAGCTTTTATAGAAATGGGCTTTGAAGGAGCAAGAAAATATTAATAGGCAAAAATAAGAAAGGACATTTCAGACCATGAAAGCAAGGAACTTGATAGTACTGTAAATCAGGGATTGGAAGGCAAGTTGAGCCCAATCATAATTGACCTTCATTAGGAATTTGGATATTATTGAAAAGAGGAATGGGGAAGTTTTCACACTATGGTTTCCCAACAGTCAGAAAGTCATCGTAGAAAAGGTGCTCTTGTAATCTCTTGTAAAGGAAGCAACAGTGAAGCTGCAGGTGGCAGGTCTGCACCAGCTGACCGCAGGTATACCTACATGGCAAAGAATTGAAGGAGTGGCAAGTATTCAAGATCAAAGAAAGATTTCCAGCCACAAAAACTAGGAAGAGAATGGAGTCATTTTCCAAGATAGGGAAGGCAAGGAAGAGAAAGTTTGTTGGAGAGGAGATGAGTTGAGTTTTTTGGATACCATTGTAGTGAGGCCTGCTGTGGCTGCCCCTGCAGAAGTCAAGAATCCTGGCTTTGGATTCTGCAGGGCAAGAGAGCATCTGCTCAATGGGAAAACATTGAACACAAAGCAGAGTGCCTGCTCTGAGCTGGATCCTTTTTATATAAACACCCAGAAGAGGGTGCTGTGGACAGGGAAAGGTCAGAGGCATATGAAAATCATAGAAGAGATTCCACGGCAGTGAAGGGCAGGGCTGGACAGGAGGAGCAGGGTCCACAGTGAAGTGGGCAGACACAGGCTGGGCAGGCATTCCAAGGTGAGATCACTGGTAGTAAATGCTTGTGATGGAAGCAGGCAGAGCCTGGAGGGATTTGGTGATGGTGGGGCATGGGTGAGCATGGGGCCAGCCAGGGCTATAATTACAGGCTGAGGGCTTCATCTTTAGTTTCCTACCAGGTGCAGCACCAAATCCTTGTACCTGTAATCAACTCCTGGGGGAGGGGAGGAGGGGGATGCCAGGAAAAGATAAGGCAGAGTAGGTTGTAGTGACAAGTTTCCAGAGGATTCTAAGGGTTTATTTGATGAAATGGTCAACAGAAGCAATGAGTACTCGTGAGTCTCTGTGAAAACTAGAGAAGCATTGATGCTGCCTAGCACACAGCCCCACCACACCATCTTGGAGGACCAAGAGCATCTGCTACACTCCTGTTCTCCTACTGGGCCACACTGGAGCCTCAGGGAACAGAACGAGACAGGGCCAGTGAAAGGGGTCAAGTGCTAGGGCACTCAAAGGCTGGAATGTGGAGGGGTTTATCATAAAGGCCAAAGGCTCTCCAGCAATGATTTTTCCACACAGTTTTTAAACAAATGGAATTTTGGAAAGGAGCTTCTCAGTGACTAGGGGAAGGAAAATCAGAAGAAATTAATCTTGAAGCCATGCTGCCAACAGTGCACTTATTACTTAGCTTGTTTCTTCATTTGGGTGACTCCACTGAGGGTGGAGAAGGCCCTGTCCTAAGCTGTTGGCCACACCATTGCCTAAAACCTCAAAAGTCAGGTGCTGGGTTTCCAAGGCAGGGTCATAGTGTAGCTGCAGTCTCAGAAATCACCCTCAGAGCTGGAAGAGAAAGTGGATTCAGACCAATCTGGTACCCACTGGAAGGATAAGCAGTAAAGATTCCAGGACCCCAGCCTCAGATCTCTACTGACCCATCTTCAACTCTTGGTGGGTGGAGCCTCTTCTCCACCCTAGCTCAGTGAGCTGTATATGGGAATGACACAAGGTTTCAGTGTGCCATACCCACTGTCATTTTCTTCTTACCCTAATGTAACTTTTAATGAAAACATTTGCCCTCTCCTTATAGCCCAGGAGGCTTCTGGAGGCCAGAGTGCCACAGTACCATCACAACCAAGCAGTGAGAACTTGGGCAAATTCACCTCAGAAATCACTCTAGTGACCCCAGAAATTAAACCTGGAAAGAGCATGCATGGGAGTGTGTTGTTACCCAAAAGCAAGCCAGAGAGCCACAGTTCTGGGTCACAGAAGCAGCACCACCAGCACCAATCTGAAACACCACAGGTACCAACTGGGGCTTGCCAGAAGGAAGCTGAGGTCCTTCCTCCTCCTCCTCCTCCTCTTCCTTCTCCTCTTGCTCCTCCTCAGTATCCTGAAGCCAACCCAGAGCTCTTCATTTCTGGCAAGATGTTCTTGCCAGGCCAGCCTAATCGCTGGCCTGTTCACCCAGCTAGTGCCCAGCAAGTGCCTTTTATGTTACAGGCACTGGGTTGGGGGAAAGTGAAATGTCGATAAAGCGAACTCCCTGATCACAAGCTGAACTGATGATAAATGTGATGAGGCAGAAAATCACACTTACAAATAATTGCAATAAAATGAGATCGATGATAAGGGAGGACTGTAAAAAGAAATAGGTTGAGCCATAGGAAATGGCCAATATTCAACCACTTTAGAACTCCACAGAGCAATTTCCTACAGTTCAACCTAGTACTAAAGGAATATTAAGGATGAAATCATTAATATGGAGGGAGGGCTGCAGAAAGAGTCTTGGAAAGTCATAAAGAAGTCAGAGTTTGCTTGACATGCTGAGAGGCTTAGAGAGCAATCTCAAAAAACTGGCAGGTGCTAAAGCCAGAGACGGTAGGGTAAGATGAATAATGAGTTGTTAAGTAGAAAAGTGAAGTTAAGTAAATGCAGACTTTTAAGATGTTTGAAAGAAAGGGAACAAAAAGATAGGAGTAGTTATTAGAGGGATAAACCAAAGGTCAAGAGAATCCATTCTCAGAAAGAAAGTAGAGGCACAAGCAGTTCTGTAAAGAAAGGGACTGCTGGAGAAGCATAAAGTATGGCCCATCCAAGAGGGAATAAGATCCTAGGAGAAGGTAGGAAGGGTAGCATTAAATATAATTAAAGGAGAAGAGAATTAGTTTCCTCTGGGGTTAATAAAGGTAAAAAGAGATACAGCTAAGGATGAGAGAAGCAAGTTGGACAGTGGAGGTTGGAGATCTTGTTGAATGGCTTTATGAATGTGAGGAGGCATGATGTTTTTAGCAGGAAGCAGTAAAGAGGCTGGGGTTGCACAGCAGCATGCTGAAGGAGAACAGCAAAGCATCAGTGGTCTCACTGTGGATAGAATGGGAAACTGGTGGTGGACAAGGAAAAAATAGTTGAGGATGGTGATAACCTGACCAACACTGAAAACCATAACTTTACAATTATAAGATTTCTCTAAGTGGCCTCCAGCACAGGCAGAAAGAAAAGAAGTTGTTACTAGTTCAGAGAAGGGGGTATGGGTGTGGGGTTGAGAGTGACATCCGCATGGAGAGTCCAGCCTAGGTAGACAAGAAAATTAAGAAGAGAACATACAGTGGGGGCAGCAGGAAGCGTTCAAGGTCTAAGGCCCCTTATAGTCAAAGAATGCTGCAGCAGCGGGAGAGGGAAGTGTTTCAGAGGGTTGCTGTGGTGGACCGCGATCAGTGAAGCTCTTTGTAGGAGAGGAGATCCATGCACTTTGTGGGCCAGATGGATGGATGGAGCAGAGTCATAGGTCTCAACAGGTAGGGAGATCTGAGAATTGGATTGGGAATACGGGTGGTGTAAGGTGTTAGGTCCTAATAGGAAAGGAAGTCTGAATGTTAGATGGGGCAAATGGATGGAGCAGAGATGAAGGTCATAGAAGAAATCTGCAGGCTCAATAAAGCATCTCATGGGGCTGGATTTGTGCCAAATGTTGTCTCTGCTCTTCAGTTTTATTTTACATTCTTTGAATGCCTTCAAAAGTAAAACACCATTGACTTTATTTTTCTTTTGGACCACTATCCTTTTTTTTTTTTTTTTGCAGTGAGACAAAGTTTTTGTTTTGTTTTTTTTAACCACAATCAAGAATATTAAATTCTTTTATTGGTACATTGTAGGTATACAACACAATTACATTTCTCACTGGGAATTGTACCTTTACATAATGCATCTTGGTTCTTATTTTTTCCCCACTCCTAGCCCTCCCCTCACGCCCTCCACCCTTCCCTATTGACAAAGACTTTATTTCCATTTTTTCCATTTCTCATCATTTTTCCTTTCCCTTCTTTCCTTTCCCCTGCCCCTCCCACTACCCCTACCCCTTTGGACCTTTTATTCCTATTTTACATTGTCGATTATTCATTCTAACCATTGGTACATTTTAGGTATACAATATAATGACATTCATCATTGGAAATTTGCACCTTTACATAGTCTCTCTTGGTTCTTATTTTTCACCCTTGCCCAGCCCTCCCTTCAACCCTTCCAGTCCTCCCTATTTACAAAGACTTTATTTCCTATTTTTCCATTTTCTCATATTAATCCCATTCCCTTCTATCCTTTCCCCTAGCCCTCCCACTTCCTTCCCCTTTGCCCCTTTTCTTCCTATTTCACATTACCTATTATACATTTAGTCCTTATTTACACTTTCAGTTTCTCACACCAGAGAAACTATTCGGTATTTACACGTGTGTCGGACCACTATCCTTTTAATCTTCTTTTCCAAGATCTAAAATGATGTTCATGCATAAACTAAAATTCATATTTGCTACAAATAGGGTATTATGGTGAGTCATTTTCTTTGGTTTGTTTCTGTCCACCTTGAAGTGAACTATGTACGGCAAATATTTCAAAGGTAGCAGAATATCCCAATTATGACTACAATTCCCATTCAATAAATAGGAAACTTAACAGTCAAGTGTAGAAATCAGATCTCTCAACCCCCCACAAGTGGCTATGCTCAAGTGCGACAGGATTCAACTGGCAGGATGACAGAGTCCCCACCAGAATGGTTCACTCAGGAACAGGGCTGTTTGGTCTTCTTGAAGCTCTAACGACTGCAATTTTAGTCATGTTGCAAATGGGGAAGAGGTAAAATGTGCTATTTAATGAAGATATGGCCTGTAAGGTAAGGTCTTTCATTTTCATTTCATTTTTCCAGGAAACACATTAGAAATCTTGATCTTCTGAATAACACTTAATCCAACATTCTTGCTTCACAACATTCTTTCTCCAAGGGATTGCTGCATTGATGACCTCCCCATCCTCATGTTCCATCCATTGTCTTCCTCAGCGAATCCAATGAGGCCTTTGTCCCCACCCCCCTACCCCCGCTCCTGACACACCTTCCCCAATGCTCACCAAGTTCCAGCCACACAGGGCTCCCAAGTGCACCCCAAGTTCTGCAAGCACACTCCTGTTGAGGGAGCTTGCTGCTCCCTCCCAGAAAGGCCCTTCTCTTTGATCTTGTCTTTTTCTGCCTGACACATTACCCAGGTAACACAGTGTCAGCCCTAGTCCCTGAGGAGGCATGAGGCTTGATGGGTACTCCATAAATATCTATTGAATGAATGAACAAATGTGTGCAGGACCTCCCACAATATGCGCACTCACAGCTTCCAGCAGTTCTTGCAGTCCCCATTTTACAGATGAGGAGCCTGCAGAGACTATATGATTTTCTCAAGGGCACATAGCTCATAGGTGTAGGAGTTGTGGAGACACAAAGCTGGATTCTGATTCCTGGTTCTTCTCACACTCAACAGATTCCCTCCAGCCCGCTCCTGGGGCCCACCCAGCGCCGGCTCAGTGTCAGCGCCAGTATCGGAGGGGAGACTGGGCTGACAAGCTGCGTGTTCCCCGATGAGCTTCTGACGCAGATCTTGACTGAGCGGATACAGGTGCGTCATGTCTACCTGCACAGAACCTCACAACTCGGCATTCAAACACTGTCACTAGCTCAAGCTGAAAGTCTGGGCCATGGGCCACACACAGCAGCTCAGAACTCAGGGCCCTGGAAGAGGAAAGATGGGGTTTTGGTCTTTGATGAGACAGGGAGCTTGAACTGCTTCCTTCATCAACAAAGTCTGGCTACAAAGTAAAAACAATGCCAGGTGAACTAAAGCTTGATTTACGTTCTGACACAAGTTTCTTGTCTCATCAAAAACCTGAAGATCAGTTCCTGGCCAGTGGTGCCAGAATCTAGAGCACACTTGGAGTAATGCTGCAGTGTAGTGAAGACTGTTCTTCAGGGTTAGCGTCACCAAAATCATTACATTTCAGGGCAGTGAGACCATGAAGAAAACCTCCAACTCTCCACTCCGGCTCTCTGCTGACTGTTAGTCTGTGCATGGAAACAGCTTTTCTTTGCATCTTATTTTCATGCACCTCATGGATCTACCTAACCCCTTACTTTAACATTTTGTCTGACCCTTTATTCTATAGAGATGGAATAAATCCTGCGGTCTACAGTTATGTGCCATAAAGACCTTATGTGGTCAATTAGATACTTTTATTCTTCTCTTTTGTTTCACAGCAGCACCTTGGATCTAGCAGGCAGAGGGTAATTTCATGATGTTTTCACCTATTGGGGTCCAGTGAATGTGCATACCCCACTGAGGCCCAGTGAAAGCCCCAGCTCTTTGGAGAGCAGCTGGCTTTGAGGCCCTGGTAACCAACTGTCTTGCTCTCTCTGGTTGCAGCTGAGCGACTGCTACCAAGGAGTGGTGTTTGATGGCCTTGACACCCTCTTCTCTTGGAGCACGACTGCTGCCCTCCGGTGCCTGCTGAAGGCCATTGGCAGCCGTGAGCACATCTATGTTCTCAACATGGCCCAGGATTTCATGGACATGAAGGCCCAGGAGAAGGCCAGAAAGGAGCAAGAAGGCAAGGCCCCCCAACCTTCCCGGGCTGTCCCTCCAGGGCTCTCACTGGTCTTTCCTTTCCTTGGGGCCTTGGGCTTTTCAACCTGACTGGATAATCCACTGGGTTTCAATGTAGTTTTTACACTTCCTGTCTGGCTCATTGGCACCGTACCTCCAGCTGAGGAGGCGGCCCCAGGGGTTTGCATGGCTGCTTTGCAATAAGGGGGCTGAGACAGAGCAGCCTATTAGAGGGTATGCAGCAAAAGCCAAACCCCGCTCCCTGGCAGCAGACACGCTCTGTCACCTGCACACCTCTCTCTAACTACAACCAGCCTGAGAACACATGGCAAGCCTTTCCTTACTCAGGCAATCCTTTATTTGTAGGTTTGGTTTAAGCCAACTGTGTATTTCCTGTAGAAGTAGAAGTGTTGGTAAATTCTACAAACAACCTCTCCATTATAGCTGTCTGGGTGCCCGGCACTCTATCAGACATGTGTATACTTTAGGTCACTTACTCTTCACAGTAACCCTGTGAAGATTACTGTGCCCATTTTACAGATGAGGACAGTGAAGGTCAGGGATGCCAGAAGCCCTCCTGGGCGTTGTGGCGAGCACCTGTAATCTCAGTTCTCTAGGAGGTTGACTTGGGAGGATCTCAAGTTTGAGTCCAACCCTGGGCAACTTAGTGAGACTCTGTCTGAAAATTAAAAATTAAAAATGGGCTGGGGATGTAGCTCAGTGTGAAGGTCCTGGGTTCAGCAGAGAAAGAGAGGGGAAGAGAGGGAAAGAGGGAGGGAGGGAGATAAAGGGAGAGGAGAAAGTTTATCAAGATCACATTGCGCATTAGTAAGAGAACCAAGTGTGTGCCACTCTGAAACCTCTGCTTTTTTGGTCACATGCCAATGGCCTGGGAGGAAAAAGAAATCAGTAACTAAAAGATTTGATTGAAAAATAGATATAAATACACAGAGTAAAGTCAGCTTAATTCCCAGTTTAGTCAGAAGACCCAGAAAGCGTGGCCCCTGAGGGAGGGGTTTGGGCACAGCTGCCAGCAGAGCTGCCCCTGGGAGGCAGAACCCTGCCTCTGAGAAGCCCAGCTCCTGTCCCACGTCCTCCTGACCTCTGGCTTATCTCTCTTTGGGCACAGTCTATACAGATCAGAAGGCTTCTTCAGGTAAGGAAATATTTACAGACACTGGGCTGTCTTAGTTCTGGAGCAGAACCGAAGTCTGCTTTCTCCTATTCTCATCAGAAAACCCAGGAGCAAACAGCAGGCGTCCCTTAGCAGTGTTTCATCCTCCAGCTTCCTAGTTCCCTGGAAAGCTACCTTCTCCATAATGATCAACTTGAAAGAGGTTGCCACTTTTCACTTTCGCAGTTACCTTGGGATTAAAGTTTCTCCTGGTTAAACTGTGGTCTCCTCTGCCCTAAATTATCTGCATTTGAAAAGGGTTCTAAGACAGCATACAATAACAGTCTTATTGTATTAAAATCTAACATTTAGTCAACATTTCTGAGTGTGCTAGACACTAGACTAGCTCACTGAATACCCACAACCTTGGGAGAGAGGAATTACTATTCTTGTCTGTTTCTACCCTTTGGTAAGTGGCAGAGGACAGAACTGAAGCAGATGTGAAATGAGACAGGTATGCTAGAGGCGAGTGACAGAGCCGTCAAGTGCCTTTTCTGTCATGCACCGTGCACCTGGACCCAGAATCCACAGGTGTGGAATGGGTGTCCCCTTAGTCTGCAAACATCTCTGTTGCCCTGAGCACTTTGGTGACATATGCTCATAATGGGTAAAGTTGATGGGTGTTGTATTAGTTTCCTGTCACTGCTGTGGCAAATCACTACTGACTTAGTCCATTCAGGCTGCTGTGACAAAATACCATAGACTGAGTAGCTTGTTTCTTATAGTTCTGGAGGCTAGGAAGTCCAAGATCAAGGTGCTGGCCGATGTCTGTGTCTGATAAAGGTCATTTTGGTCCTAGAAGGTGTCTCCTGCTGAACGCTCACCTGGAGGGAAGGGCAAACAAGCTCCCTCGGGCCTCTCTTATAAGGACATGAATCCCATTTATTGGGGCTCTACGCCGATGATCTCATCACTTCCTAAAGACCCCACCTCTTAGTACTGTCCTTTTGGGGATTAGACTTCCACATATGAATTTGAGGACACAGCAAACACAAACTTGGTGACTTAACATAAACTGACTGCCTCACAGTTCTAGGGCCAAAAGTCCTAACCATGGCAGCAGGGTTGTGGTCCTTTGGAGGCTACTGTAAGAAAGGATCTTTTCTAGCTTCTAAAAGCCATCTATGTCCCTTGGCTCATGGTCCCCTCCTTGCAGCCCTCTGCCCTTTGCTTCTGTTGTCATGTCCCCTTCTCTGACCTTGACTCTCCTGCCTCCTTCTTACAAGGACTCCTGTGATTAGATGGGGCACCACCCCCTGCCCGGGTACTCCAGGATAGTTTCCCCATCTCAAGATCCTTAATTCAACCACATCTGCAAAATCCTTTCTGACATGGATGGCAAGTTCCAAGGACTAGGGTGTGGGCATCTTTAGGGGCCACTATTCAGCCAACCACAGATGGAAACCAAATTTGGCACTGCAAGAATGGAGGAGCAGGGCCGAGGATTTAGCTCAGTGGTTCCATGTCCTGCCTCGCAAGTGCAAGGTCCCAAGTTCGATCCCTGGTACCAAAAAAAAAAAAAGAAAATGGAAGAGCACCAGCAGGGATTAGGAATGCCAGCCACCCACCTGCACCTCTCGCTGTCCCAGGCTGTGCCAGCAGAGAGCAGAGTAGCTGCTGGACTTGACCTCCCCCTCCCCGTCCCTACCCCACCCCCACAGAACACAAACACAAGGAAGCACTTGAGAAAGAGAAGAAGCGTCTCCAAAACATGGATGAGGAAGAATATGATGCCTTGACAGAGGAGGAGAAAAGCAGGTTCGACCGGGAGGTTCAGCAGGGGCTCCGGGAGAGGAAGAAGAGGTAGGCACCAAGGGTTGGCCAGACAGAGGCTGCTGTTCTGGGAGAAGCTTATGGGAGGGCAGGGTGGGCAGGGCACGTCCTCAGCTCAGGGTATCTTTGGGGAGGGTAGCAGTAGCAGAAAGCAGACAGCAGGAAGACCCAGCGGGCCATCAGGGCGTTGGTTGCTGCAACCTTTCAGAGTGTTGCTCACTTTCTTCCCCTTCCTCCTTGCTAGGAGCACTGGGAGATAGCAGGAAGTTTCTGTAAGGTCATGGCTGACCCTGGGGAGGGCCTGGTGGCCCTTGTGCTATCCCTGGCCCCCTACTGTCTCTCTTGGCAAGCGTACCCTGGGTAGAGCTTATCAGCCTCTGTGCCTAGGTATCCGCAGCTGGTGACCCAGAACCCATTCTCCTGAAATGAATGTGGGGCTGCTCCCCAGAACTCAGTCATTTCTCCCATTCCCCATGCCATGGTGTTGCCCACACCCTGAGACTAGCTGCCTTTTCCAGGTAAGCACATAGCCAGCAAGCTCAGCCACCCTCTCTGCCCCCACTGGGGATCACATGAGAGCAGCTAGATCTCTCCATACCATGTAGAGCCAAGAGACTTGGGGCTGCAGCTCAGATATCTCAGAGATGTGGGTGGGCAGCAGGACAGAGGTACTTCCTTCCTTAGATCTTCAAACATGGTGGAGCTGGCTGGTTCATCCCACTCCCTGGAACACTGGCATTGGAGGAGACAGAGCTGAAATACTCACCCACAATGTAACCTGCTTCTCTCCTCTCCTCCACTCCAGACTCCTCCCACTGGTCCCAAAGGAGTTCTGTGTTCCCCTTCCCCCTACAGCACACCTCTTCCTTTCTCCTCCATGGCCCATTGTAGAAATGTCCCGTCCTCCAGAGGCATGACAAGCCTAGCTTTGGGCCTCCAGAAGATACTTTGTCACCTAGGCTGCTGCTTCTAGATATTCACTCATTGGTGGACTTAGAATATGCAAATTTGATCCATACAGCTCAAAAATGCATCCTATCTCACACACACACACACACACACACACACACACACACACACATACATGGAAGTTGGCCTCACTAGGCAGCTCAGAGAATCACAGCTAGGGAGAACTAAAAGTTTCTGGAGACGAAGAGATGGGTTAGATCATCCAGAAGTGCTGTCCCCTCCGTCGTTTGTATTTCATCTCCAACTTTGGTGCCATCTCTGCTATTAGCAGCGGGGGCAGACAAGGCTGAATGCACAGCAGAAAGGGAAAGGAGAAAGGAGAGGAAGGTGGCTTGCAGCCCTAGCATCATGCTTCCAAGCCAGAACAGCAAAGGACTGCTATTAAAACACCACTTCTTATTGTTCCAAGATCAAATGTGACAATGTAGGAGACTGGGCCACATCTGTGCTCATACCAGAACAATTTTCGAAAGCTGTTTATCAAAGATCAAGCTTATTTCCAGCCCTTGCCTTGCTCTCCTATGAGAGGAGATTGGAATAGAAACACGGATTAATTGAAAATTCCTCCTAGTTGTGTTCAATTAGTCCAAGATTTACTGAATGAACATTTAAAGGTAGATGTGGATTTTTCTTCTTTCTTTCTTCTCCTCCCTTCCTTCTTCACTCTGTCCTATTTACCCACCTTTCTTTTGTTCATTCTTTCTTTTCATGCCCAAAAAAGCCCCACTCGGGACACCCTCTTACTGACAATCCCAGCAGATGGGCAGGGCTCGGGCTGCAGGCCTGAACTCTTGTTCCCTCTGCCTGGTTTCATGAAGGGAGCTGGAGCGGTTGACCAGAGAGATGCAAGAAAAGAAGCTACAGCAGGAGCTTCTGCGACAGAAGGAAGAAGATGAGCTGAAACAAAAGATCAAAAAGCCCAAGCAAGGCCCAGTGAAGGGGGAGCCCCCTGTGAAGAAACCGCAAGCAGCAAACAAGCCGGTAACAACCCTCCCTTGCTCCTCTTACTAACACACCCACGAGCCCGGCACGTTTCCCCTCCAGAAAGCTGCATACCCATGTCTGGATCTTGGAGTGGGGCAGGCAGAAGATAGGAAGAGCAGAGACTGTTGAGCACAGACTGGACACCAGGGCTGTGCTTGGAGTGTACCTGACCGTGGCATTCTGGCCCCTACCCACTCTGCAAGGCCCAGAGAGATGGACCCACCCATGGCCCAGGGACGAAGTTGCAGTTGCAGGCCCTCGCCCAATTGTGTCTGCCAGAGCCCCAGCTTTCTCCTCTGCCCCCCACAGGCCCCCGGATGGTGCTAAATAGGCTAGTGTCAAAGGTTTGCCTCTGGGAAGCCACAGAGTCCATGCAGCCCTGATGCTCCTTAACAATCAAGCAAAATGCTGTAGCATAAGCCTCTCCTTGTGGATAAAGGCCACTGGTCCATCAGCCTGACACACTTAGCAGCCACATCCCTGCCCACTGTGACACAGGAAGGACTGAATAGCTAAAGGCCCCCTCGAGGTGGTGCTGTGACCAAGGGGTGTGACCAGCTGAGGTAGGCAGCAACTGCTTCAGCACCATGAGTTCTAAGGGTGAAGCTAAAGCCAGGCTTTCAGACAAGGTGAAAACCAGTGCAAGTCGAGTGACTGCAGCCAAGCAGACACAAGGGCAGCAGAATCACAGTCCCAAACAGAGAGGTATGAGAAAAAGGAGCAGGGTCTGAGTGTATGGAACTGGACACAGGCTGCAGATGCTTGGTGTTGCTGTCCCAAAGGGAGTACATGACCTCTTGGGCTGAGAGCAGAAGGGGTACCCAGGGGAGGATCACAGGGACTGACCCCTGCCTTTCACACCTGCTGTTGCTCACGAAGCCAGGAGGGAGTATTTGAGTGTCTGTGTGAGTCAGCCATCCTTGCAATTAACAAACTCCATCTCTTATTTAGAGAAGGTTCAGAATAATCTATGCAGCAGTTATTTTGCTTTTTAAAATGACAGCATTTCATTCATCATGAAGAGACTTTTGGGCCACAGCTAACCCCAAATTACGCCCCCTGACTTCATCATCTGACTCTCCAGCTGGAATCTGTTGGAACATTGAAGTGAGAGAAAACAGATTTCCCCTCCTTTACTCTCAGCTCAAGGGACCACAACTTGAGTAACCCCCCACCCCACACATCCCACTACCAGATACAGGCCAAGTACCTAAGTGTGTGTGTCGTTGACCTTGGGTCGCGGAGGAGGGGCCACATTTCTGTCACCCATTTGGGAACAAGCTAGTATATCATCCAAGCTCCACACAAAACATAATCACCTTATCCCTGGACTGACTTCTTGAGACCCTCCTGGAATTAAACCGTATCCTGCTCTGACAGCCCTATCTCAGGAAAATCTTCTAAGCCTAGCTACATTCTCCAGAAGTGAGACAAGATCCTCTGTGCCCAGGTGAAGGGAAGGACTGAAGAATTCCCTGCTTTTTCATCAGAAAGCCATCAGCACCATCTACCTCCAACTCTCTGCTTCCCTCTCTCTTCTTGTAGACCTCTTGCTTTTAAGATGTTCTTGTGTTCAAGAATCACCCACCTTTGAAAAGAAGTCTCCTTCCATTCTCATGCCCCTGTCTAGCATCCTGTTTCCCTCCTTCCTTCATAACTAAAGATTTTGAAGAATGATCCTCACTTGTAGCCTCCACCTTCACGCCTCCCATTCATCCTCCCGCCTTCTCTACCTGACTTGAGTCCCCATCACTCCCTTCCATTGAAGGCCTTGGCAGCCCCTCCATTTCCAAATCCAGCATCCACAGTTCAGCCACGCTAGGCTTCCTTCTCTGTGGGATTTATACTGTCAAATAGCATCCTTTGAATGCTTCTTTTTTAGTGATTCATACTGGATATTTTCTTCTAGAATGTTGTCTAGCTCACTCTTTCTTTAGCAACATCTAATCTGTTGTTTAAGCTTCCCTTTAGTTCTTAATTTTGCTATTGCATTAGAAAGCCATTAATTCTTTTCTTATTGCTGTAGTTCTCTTTAAAATTCTCCATCTTCTCTTATAATTCCCTCAACATATTAAGCCTTTTTAAAAAGCCTATTTTTTATTAAAGTCCTTGTCCAATAACACCAATACACAGATCCAGTGTGTTCTCTGGTCTGTCTTTTGTTCTTGGTTTATAGTTACATGGTTGTGTTTCTTTGTTTGCTAGGTTATTTTTTGTTGTTGTTGAACAGGAAAAACTATAGAAATAATTCAAGGCTGTGGATGTGGATGATGTTATCTCCCTCTAGAGAGAATTGCTGTTTGAGTCTCACAGACAGCTAGTGCAGGGATAACAGAGGTCTTAATTCAATCAGTACTGAAGTCATTTAGAACTGAGCTTCAATCCTTGGCAGACCTAGGCTGTTTCTGATTGAGCCTTACTCCTGAGATGGCACCTTTGAGACTCCTAACCCAAAGGCTAGGGGACCTACCAGGACCTCTTCTCCTTGGAAGACCTGAAGGCTAGTCTTTGAGCCCCAGCCCTATGAGTCTGTCAAAAAGCTTTGCCCAACTTCTCAGCCACACTTTCAGCTACAAATACCCTTAAAGGACAAGCAGCCTCCGCCCCGTACTGGGGCACCTCTCTCTCTTTCCTTCCTTTCCCAGACCTTAGTCCACAACTTATTACTGTCTTTATGGTTCTCCAGTACCTTCAAACAAACACATGACTTTAAAAAAATTGTGAAGATTTCTTACTTGTGGGTACTGAATTATATGACCTGATTTTTCTTCTTCAATCAAATTACATGGCAATTTAATATTACATTATTGAATAAATTTAGCTTAGGAGTAAATGTTTATTTGGGCTTTCTTTTACTAACTTTTTTTCTTCTACAGTAAAAAAAAAGAGTAAAGTTGGTTTCTCTACTCTTGGTCATTTATGGTTTTCTGAAAAAGTAGCCATCTTATATTTTCAAATTTATCAGCATAAGGTAATTCAGGGTGCTATTATCTTTTTAACTTCTTCTATATCTATACTTATGGCCTCCTTATCAAACCATATGTTATTTGTACCCTTCTCTCATATTTTTTTAATTTTATTGGTACATTTTAGGTATACAATATGATGGCATTCATCATTGGGGATTTGTACCTTTACATGATACATCTTGATTCTTATTTTTCCCCATTTCCCTCCCCTCCCTTCAACCACCTCACCCCTCCCTATTTATAAAGATTTTGTTTCCATTTTCTCATATTAATTCCATTCCCCTCTTTCCTTTTCCCTACCCCTCCTCTCATATTTTTCTTGATTACTCTCCCCAGAAGTTTGTCATTTTGTTGTCTTTCCAAAGATACAACTTTTGTCTGTCTGAATTACATATCTCCATTGTTTGTTTGTTTTCTATCTAATTCGTTTCTGTAGCTATCTTTTTATAATTTTCTTCGTTCTACTGTATTATTTTCCAGGTCTTATCCTAACTTATTGCACTAGGTGCTTTTCCTATCGTATTCCTATTTATTTTCCTATTTATTAAAAGTTTCAAAACATATAAACTTCCAAACATTACTCTAAATATATCCCTCAATTGTTAATAATGTTTTCTTTGCTGTTCAATTCTAAATACTTTTTACTATCCTTTGTGGCTGCTTCTGTAACCCATGAATTATTTCAAAGTATATTTTCTAATTTGCAAAGGAATGACTTCATTGGCTTTATTCTTTCTGATTTTAGAATATCATCTTTGGAGAGCATGTTCTATGTCATATTGATCCTTTGCATTTGTTGAGCCCTTCTCTGTGGCCTCACATGTGATTAATTTTTGTAAATACTCCACATATTGGAATAATATATGTATTTTCTTTCTCCATCCACATGCTCAAGTTCATTAATCATGTTGTCAAATTCTTCCATATTCTTAGTAACTGATTGCCACCCCCCAGCTTCTCTGTGCTGGGCTCCTACAGTCTTCCAAGTAAAAGGCTTTCCCTCCCTGGGTGCCACCTTCTATGGCCGCCCAGTGTCTGGGCAGTAGATCTCCAGACTGAGACCCATGTAGTAGGAGCCAAGTCCCTCCCTTCCACATGAGAGTTGAAGGAAGTTGTTAGAGCCCCTGCACCTTAAGACAGCTGGGCCAGCACTGTCGCACTACTGCCTCTCCAGGCTGTGCTCCAGGCAGGGAAGGTGCTGCAGGAGGGGGGCAAGGAGGTGAGGGAAAGCCAGCCCCAGACCCTCAGGACTCCAAGCCTACAGCAGGCCTGAACTTATGGGGAGAAGAGCTGCAGCTAGAAGAGAATGCTGGCTGTACTCCAGGTAGTGCTCAGCAGACTTCACTGGACTTGATGTCACCAAAGAATGACCCAGAAAACAATGGTGCCCACTTGAGAAGTTCATGCAGGGGAGGAGAAAAACCATAGCCCAACAAACAAACTGTCTGGAATAACAGTAAGAAAAATAATAAAGTTGATTTCTATATCTCCACTTCATTGAATAAATACAATTTTTTAAAACCTGGGTGCCCAGCTATTCCCTTACTGGGTATCGTCCCAAAAGAATTAAAAGAATCATACCACAGTGATAGCTCACCCATGTTCATAGCAGCACAGTTTGTAATAGGTAAAGCTTGGAAACAGCCCAAGTGCCCATCAACTGGAAACTGGATAAATAAGATGTGGGGTTTTTTTTAATAAAAGGGAGTACTACTCAGCCATAAAGAATGAGATACTAGAGACATTAATAGCTAAATGGTATATTGAGGCCATACTCTTAAGTGAAATAAGTAAAACACACATGGGTAAATACCGAATAGTTTCTCTGTTTTGAGAAACTGAAAGTATAAATAAGGATCAAAATGTATAATAGATAATAGGAAATAGGAATTTAAGGCCCAAAGGGAAAGTGGGAGGGGTAGATGAAGTGAAAGGAATAAATATGAGAAAAGGAAAAAAAATGGAAACAAAGTTTTTGTAAACTTAGGGAGAGGTAGAAGGGAAGGAAGGAGAATGGGGGAAAAAAATAAGAACCAAGATATATCATGTAAAGGTACAAGTTCCCACTGCTGAATGGCATCATACTGTATACTTAAATGTACCAATAAACTTAGTGAATTTAAAAAAAAAAGCCTGGGCTGTGGCCAGATTCTAAAGTCCCATTTGCTTCCAATGGTACCTATTATATATAAAACCAGTGTGATTTTCATAATTTCACACCAATAGAACTCCATGGCAAGCATTATCCTAAGCTTTTTATATGTATTTACACATTTAATCTTCAACAGTCCCCCAGTGACGTTATTAATAATAATGTCATACATATGGGGCTCAACCCTTGCCCTGAGTCACAGCAAGGCAACTGAGATTGACCTGCTTGACCCTGTGGCCTATTCCAGGGCACCAGAAAGCAGGTACAGGAAGCTCGAGTTTGCTGGTCTTTTCTCAGAAATAGCAGCACTTGGCCAGAAGTGCACATGAAGGTCACTATGCACAATGCCAGACCCAGCCAGATCCACAACAGAGAACAACCACAGGATGGACATGAAAGCCCCCAACATGACTCTTAGGCAAATGCTGGTGACCTGGCTCCTACGAGGCCTTCTTAGGAAACAAAATGTCCCTTTGCTGTTTCTTATGGAATTTGCTCACCCTTAATAAACTGTTTTAAGCAGGTTCTGTATTTTTACCTTCCAGGTCCCTGTATCCACCAAACCCGAGGTCAAGACAGACTTGTTAGAAAGGAAAATTTCTGTTAGGAAGCAAGCAATACCTGAGAAGGAAGAAGCAAGCAAGAAAAAAAAAACCATGGCTGATATCAACATACCTGGGTTTCCTCTTGCCCAGGAGCAAGAGGACAGTGAAGGGGAGTTTCTAAAGGACTCTGCTGACAAGCAACTGAAGTTTAAGGCCTATGAGATGACTCTGAAGGATATCCAGAACCTCCTCACATACTGGGACCGGAAGTTGGGCATTCAGCTGCCTCACCCGGGGATGGAGGAGGTGCCCCATGAGACTGATGACCAGCGCCAGGTTCCTTCTGGTGGGCGTCGGGGCCGCAAGGACCGGGAGAGGGAGCGCCTGGAGAAGGAGCGGGCAGAGAAGGAGCGCCTGGAGAGGGAAAAGGCCGACAGGGAACGCCTGGAGAAGCTGCGGGCCATGGAGGAGCCCAGCGATGCCGAGGGGGAAGCAGAAGAGGATCACAAGGGGAAGAAGGATATGGGAGTGCCCTTTATGAGCATCCAGACTCCAGACTTTGAAGGCTCAAGCTGGAAACAGGCCCTGGAGAGTGATAAGCTTCCCAAAGTAGAGCAGGTGCGTGCTCTTCTCCAGGGTGGAGAAGTAACCAGTGAGGCCACGGGTACTGTGCTAATCGTGATAAAAATGCATCTTTCTACCAAAAGTCCGCACGCCCTCCCTTTGGTTAATTTCCAGTATTTCCCTGAATATAAGACAATAATGGCTAAAGGGATCTTTTTTCACTTGGCAAAAGAAAATCCATAGAGAGTTCCACCAACCTCAATTATTCTTGCTAGGGCTGGGGATGTAACTCAGTGGTAGAGTGCTTGCCTAGGGTGCCTACAGCCCTGTGTTTGATCCCCAGCACCAGTCAATCAGTCAACAAGCTAACCTCATAGAAAGCCACCTGTACAATTGATCTTTAATACTGACACCACTGGTGCTATGGGACGGCAAGGCAGGTGAGCTTTGGGATCAAGCAAGAGGCTCATCTGCTCTGAAATCCTTTTCCCACAAGCCTCCCACAGTGACAGAAATTATCATATTAAATAACCTTTCACAGCCAGGGATTTAGCTCAGTGGTTCTGCTGCCTGCTGCGCAAGTGCAAGGACCCAAGTTTGATCCAAAAAAATAAAATAACCTTTCATGCCTATAAATAAACTAGACTGCAGGTCGTACAGTCTTTGTCAACTCAGCCTTGTACTATAGAACCAATGGGGGGCATTGACTGTGTTCCAGGAAAACTATTTATAGAGAGAAGTAGCAAGGCAAAGGGGGGGGGGGGGGGGCAGTTTACTGACCTCTGGTTTAGTTTATCAGAAACTAAGCACAACCTCTACAAGTAAAGAATAGAGCCTGAGAGAGGTAAATGGTAGGGAAAGGCTGGGGCCAGATAAGCACAATTCCTCAAAAGGGTGGACTTTGAAGTGATGTGGCAGCACAAGACCTCTTGCCTTAATGGGCTGAAGGGGAAGACAGTTGGCGGACACACGGCACCAGCTCCCCTCAGTTCACAGTTTTGCTTCAGACCAGCCTTAGGTAAAAAACTGTAATTTATTTTTAAGAAATATGTTTTTTAAAAAAAGAAAAGAAGGGCCGGGGATTTAGCTCAGTGGTTTCGCCCCCTGATGCACAACCACAAGGACCCGAGTTCAATCCCCAGTACCAAAAAAAAAAAAGAAAAGAACAACAGTCAAGTACAGCTACTTTTCTTATATTATGCTTTCCATGTTCCAAGTCATAGGTCAGAATGTTGCTAGAAGAACTCTTGGCTCTGATAATTTAGTAACTGGTCCCAGTGACTTATCACATTCCTCACGGACATTCTCAATCCTGGGAGGTAACTCCAGTTGCATGTTGCAGTGATCGAGTTCCCTGGCCCACAGAATGAGAAACACAGGAGCACATAAAGGTGGTGACTTGCTAGCCTAGCAGGCCACTTTTTGGTCCACAGAACGGGCACTCGGATGAGCTACAGCATTTATTGGTGTGACAACAACAGTTAATGTAGCAAAGCATGCTTATTTTGAGCATCTTTGCATTCTGGGAAGGAAGTTGCTACTAAATTTTCAATCTATCTATTCTGAAGATTGCTCATGCATTTTGTGTCAGAGTAGAATGGGAGAATGCTGCAAGAATAAATTTTATCTCTCAAGATGCTTTTTTGACTTCTTGCTTCATTCCCATTCTCTCTCCCTATTCCCAGAACCTTTGCTTTATTTTTCATTTGCCGTATTTGACCTGCTCCCGTGCTAACTTTCTTTCACCTTTGAAAGAAAAGAGCACTTAAAGAAAAATTAACATGGAATCTGAGAACCAATGGAACAACTCTGTACTATAGGTATCAGAACCTTAAAATCTGGTCTGTTTAAACAGATTTAAGTCATGCATGCCTGTAATCTCAACACTCTGGAGGTCAAGGCAAGAGGATCACAAGTTCAAGCTCAGTCTGGGCAACTTAGCACCTAGAAAGACCCAGACTCAAAATAAAAAATGAAAAGGGCTTGGGATGTAGCCCAGGTGAAGACTCTGAGTTCACTCCCCACTACTATCAAAAACCTAAAAACTAGTTTATTGAGTACAAGGCCATGTGTCAGGGCAACCTGGTTCCTGTCCTAATTGGAGCCTATGGTCCATTTGCAAAGCGAGACAACTCAATAGTCCCAGTGAAGTGTAGCACTGGCTCTGAGGATTGCAGACAGCATGCAGCCCACAGCAAGATCCTCCAGCCCATCCAGGGTGCAAGGGCCTACAAGGCCCTGCAGAGCTAGGTCAAGGGCCTTCGCTCCCTTCCCCGAAACACGTTCCTGGCAAGAGTTTCCCAAAGAACACTGAAGGAAGGAGGCATGTGAGCCACCTTTGCACACTCAGGGGCAGTGAGGGCTCACCGGATCCTCAGCACAGGAAATTAATTGAGCCTTTGCTTTTAGATCCTGGACATCTTGGGCCTGGGGTCCTCTGGCCCACCCATCCCACCTCCTGCCTTGTTCTCCATCGTCTCATATCCTGTGAAGCGGCTACCCGTGATCCCCTCCGAAGTTCTCAAACATTTTGTGTTTGTGGTCCCACCATCTGACAAGCTGGATGAGAAAAAAGAGGTGGAAACAGAATCAGATCGCTCTGCCATCACCCTGTCAGTGAAGGTAAAGCATGCAAGGCTGCTTCTCCTAGCCTTGGCAGGAGCTCAGAGGACAGGAGAAGAAGGTCCCTCCCAGCACAGCCAAACCTGAGTCAGCTGTGGGGACCTGCATGGGGCGCCACATGCTGTGCCGTCCTCACATCCAACCTTCCTCCCTCCCGAGGGGCTGCTAAACATGAGGGCTTCTCCCCTTCCAACTTTTGCCACCCCCAGGGAAGGGCCTAGGAAACTTGTCACATTGCTCTGAAGTTCCACTATAAGGAGAAAATAAGCAAAACTAGCTCTTTGAATCCTTAGTACTGCAAAAAAAAAAAAATGTATATAAAAATACTGTGATGCTAAATGATTCACATAGTACACAGAATAAAAGAATCAAGAGATGTGAGTTAAGGGAACACTTGCCACCAGGGAAAGGATAGATTATTAAAGAAATTAAATGGGAAAATTAGATACTTTGGGTAAAGTCACTTTTTATCTCCTTGCCTGATGATATAATAAAATAAATTCCAGTCAGATTAAAAATATAAGAAATCAAAATAAAATGATGTAAAAGTGAAAGAAAATGTATATACAGTTATAGAATAAATCACAAAGAGGTAGCTTTAGGCAATAATATGCAGATAGTACACATATTAAATTTATCCCAGGGCCTGTTATCCCCTAGGAAGAATGATGGCCATGCACACCCTCCTCCAAACCCTGCCCTTCTGCAAAGGGAACAAATACAATCACCTGTAGACCCTGCCTACCTTGTAGAGAGGTGACAGAGCTGACTCCAGCTTCAATGTACAAGTTACTGGGAAATAAGCTTCAAAGCCAGCAGCAGCCATGGATATCCTCACCCAAGCAGAGCATCCATGGTGAAATTTCAAATCAAAAAGGCAAAGAAAAAAAAAAAGTCACCATCATCAGAGGTGATTATTGTACCAACCCCTTATTCTGAAAATTGGCCATGTCAAGGAAAGAATTAAGCAACTTTTAACATCTCATTCTAGGAGGCACTCTAGTGCTGCAATTGCCAAAGGAAAGTTCTTCATTCTAGTAGAATGCCAGCTTAAATTTATAGAAATAATGGTAGAATTAGAAAATCTCTGTTTTGTTCTCCCCAGAGAAGTAACTGAGTAAGGCTCATCAGTGGGTACAAAGAGCAGAAGGTGAAGGCTGAAGCCAGGTGTGGTGGCACATGCCTATAATCCCAGCACTCAGGAGGCTGAGGCAGGAGGATCACTGTGACTTCAAGGCCAGCCTGGGCTACATAGTGAGTTCAAGGCAGCCTGAACTACATAGTGAGACCTTGTCTCAAAAAAGAGGTGAAAGCTGTTAGAGAACAAGACACTCACACCAGCCAGAGCATCGTCCCCTGGGTGACTGGCAAACTCCAAAGGGAAGAGCGTACTTTACAATGGACAGACCTGGCAGGCACCTCTCTAGCCTGAACATGCTTTGCAGATGTAACCAGGGCTCAACCCGACATCATTTGTCCCTTGTGTTGCAGTATGAAGTACGTGGCATCACTTATGAATCAAATCAACTTTAAGTCTTATTCTCAATTTATAGGAAATTCAGGGAGGAGATGAATAAGTTAACTGGCACTATGGGAAGAGTCAGTACAATTCAGACCGTGGGAAATTCTGTAAGAACGTGGATCTGGTTTCTCAAAAGAAAATCAACATGATTAAGGGGGGTGAGAAGATCTAGGTTAAGACACTAAACCCTGGATTTGAGCTTCAGTATCAGCACTATCCAAAAAGATACTATAGTGTAATGACAAGAAATGGTTCTAGAAAGACATCCCTGGGACAAATAGAAACATTTTAATGTGGACTGTGTGCTAGGATACTGCCAGGAGCTGAGACTCAGTCCGACATACTCCCAGCCAACTTTCAGCCTGAGCTAGGGCTTCAGTCAGTAGGGTGCCAAGGAAACACGGGTCTTGTCACCAGCACATGAGGCTGCATCCTGCTGGGTCCCCGCATCCAGCGCCTGCAGCTCTACCACCCCAGACTGCACGTGAGCTGTGAGCATCTCTGTCTTTGTTGGTGCAGACGTCAGAGGAGTACGTAAGACTCTGTGCTCATTTTTTCATGAAGGGCCAGGAGGAACAGGCTATCTCATCTAAGTCAAGCAGATTGAAACTGAAAGAAAAACCTGAACCACTCCAGGAGACTCAGAAGGAAAAACGTCGCTCAGCCCTTGGCAAGAAGGTCGTTTCGGGGGGATCTGCTGGACCCATTGCTCCCCTGACAGACATAGACCAGAAGAACTTTGGTGGGCAGCCCTCCCAGGAGAAATTTGTCAGGTAGGCCTCTCGGCACCCCAGGGGGGACACTGAAGCCTCCAGTTAAGCGTGCACAGAGGGAACCAGAATGCCCACCATGCCCGAGCCGAGCAGGACGGGACCTCTCCCACACAGGTGTCCTGTCTTCTCTTGTTGGAGGGAAGCGCTCTCACTTTAAAATCCTGCGTGGTCATTTCAGGCTGAATTACTTCCGGTGGATCGTGCCGGCCAATGGAGAAGTGACATTGCGAGTGCACTTCTCTTCTAGTGCTGTCGGGAACTTTGACCAGACATTTAACTTTGAGGTCCTTGGAACTCGTCGCCAATACCAGCTTTATTGCCGAGGTGTCTGCACTTATCCATATATTTGCCAAGACCCAAAGTAAGTGTATTTTATTTTAAAAGAACAGGTCAACAGGTACATTTTGGCTTTCCCCCATGGTACTTTGAACAAAGTCTCTCTTAATAATACCATGGAGCCTGGTGTGGTGACACACACCTGTAATCCCAGCACTCAAGAGGCTGATGCAGGAGGATCACAAATTCAAGACCACCCTAGGCTTCATAGCAAGACCCTGCCTCTAATAACAACAGCAATTACAATAACATGGAACTGAGACAGCAGCCCAGACATTCCTGTTGCATGAGGCTTCACTGTCTTGGACATTGACTAAGAGGTACAGGGAGGGATGACATGATAACAGAAGGTTAGTATAAAAAAGGGAGGAAAAAAGTCTTCCTCTGGCAAGTTAGTTTGCTAATTTAATTATTAAGCAGATTTAAGTCAGCTTTGTATTCACTCTAGGACTTTATCCTTTAACGTGAATATACATGTGAATCTCCATGGCTGGCCTTTTTCTGAGCTCCTGTGCAGTTCATTTCAAGCACCACATAAAGGCACCTAGCTGAGCAAGCCCTGGAGGAAGAGGCCTTTTATAGCTTGTCCACTGAGAGGAACTTTTTTGCCATTCTTACCCAAGGACCTCATTATACCAGAGAACTCAGAAACTAATGAATATCCACCACAACTCATTTCCCAGTGATTCTTGGGAATTTTTCTAGCTGGGTACACTAGAACAGAGCATCCAGCCCTGCCCTTGTTGTGGAGGACACCTCTGGGAGTCTTCTTCTCAAGTTCAGACCATAGTATCTCTTCTTAGATTTGGGGGCAGTTGGAATAAAGCCTCAACAAAGGTCCTCAAATGAAGAGCCGCTCTGTCTTCAGACACCCGGGCCCTTTGCTGAACAGGAAGTGCTGAGTTCGTGTACATACCACATGGGGGCTTGAACTTCCCATCTGTCAGCCTCCCTTTAACTCTTCTTCCTCTCTGTTCAGAGTGGTGTTTCCTCAGTGGAAGCAGGACATGAAAGTAAATGAGGTCATCTTTAAGAAGTATGTTATGAGCACGAAGAGGTTTTACTTCGGCCCACTGCTTTGTGGAAAGTCAAGAGACAAGTAAGCGTTCTGTTCATTCAAAGCAGACTTCAGACTCCTGAGCTGGGTTCATGAGTCACCTGAATAGTTTTTATGGGGACGTAGCTTTTACCGGCACTGCCTCAGCCCAAGGCTACAAACCAGGAGAATGGGTCCTTGAGTCCCAAGTTCATTGCCCAGATGAATCAGATGCCACTTTTCCAAATGGAGAGGCTGAGAAAGGACCAGGTTTCAGAAGGGTAGGGAAAAGAGTTCTCTTAGAAATATACCAAGTCTGAAACGCTTGGAAGGTATCTCTAGAAGCCACATAAAGCAGAGAACAGGCTACCTAGTTTGGATTCTCCAAGGAGAGATCTGTCTTCAAGGCAACAAAAGCCATGGGTCATGAGTTGGCCTAACAAGAGTGCACAGGCTTCTTTTTAGGGAAGGACCAGGGGTGGAGCCCTGAAGAACTTCACCAAGTCCCATGCGGTATCCCTAGAGGCAAACCTGCGCAACTACAGGTCTTGTTCTCAACCACCATGCCATTGCCTCGGTGTAGCCACACTATCGCTCTGAATTGCCATTTCAGTCCTCACAACCACATCCCCATTCCCATTCACTTCCAGGTACAAGTCATCCTTATTCCCAGGCAACGTGGAGACACTGACAATCCTGAACAATTCCCCCATGACGGTGGAGGTGTGCTTCTGTTTCCAGAATGATGTCAAAGCAAGCACCTACTTTCTGGAGCCTGTCAACATGACTCTGAAGCCCAATGAGAAGCAGGTAAAATTGCCTGGGAAAGGTCTACCGGGACAAGACTTTCTTGGGAAATCTGAGGCCTTGCCATCATCAGGGTAAATGCACTTTCTGTTGATTCTCCCATCAGATGCTAAGTGTCTGGGCCTACCCTACTGCAGTTGGCATCTTTGAGGATAGCATTGTCTGCTGCACCAAGGAGAACCCGGAACCAGCTATCTTCAAACTAAGCTGCCAGGGGATCCGCCCAGAACTAGAGCTGGAACCCAGGCAACTACATTTTGATCGGCTCTTGCTGCACAGGTCAGAGTTCTAAATGATGCTAGGACTAGATGAAATTTAAAGAACATTTAGTTCCAACTCATTCTGATTTGCTCTCAACAGATGGAGAGTGCTGGAATTCTGCATCTTGGGAAATTCCTTGTTTGAGTACAAACCCTGATGATTAGTGACCCTATTATGTTCACCAGTTGTTGACTTGGGTTCAGGGCATGGACTTTAATAGACTCCCAATGAGGTGAAATAAACCCCCTAAGATCAACTGCCAAAGAATGTGTATTTTTTATTTTTCTCAGGAATAGCTTTCTTCACATCCTCAAAGTGGTCTATTACCTAAAAGGTTAAGAATCTCTGCTCTAGAAATTAGAGCTCAGAGACTGCTAGACCAAATGTAAAACTTTATTTATTCATTCAGTGGAGTTATAATATCCTAAGTAGAGAATGTTTATTCCTGATGCTGCCGAAAGATAAAATTTTCATGATATGTGCCCTGCATTCCTCAGTCTTCGGCACCAGACCCCTCCCCTAATAAATACTAACTGGTGAACTAAATGATAACTGAAGTAACCAGAGAGCTTTTTCTGACTCCATGGAGAAGTCTGTATTACAGGCAACTGTGACTGTCAAGCAGGTGGACTGAGATATGGCCCAAGTCTTGCCACTCTATGAATTTTGGGTCATTAATTAACCTCTCAGTATCTTCATAGAATATGAGGGATTAATAATACCAATTTTACCTTTGTAGTTTTTAAAAGTAAATCACATTCTGCTAATGTAACTTATTACTGTCAGGTAATCGCAGCTGCCTACCTCACTGGCTCCCTCTTTAGAAGGATGATTATTATATGATATTCACAAACCAAATGACAAACTTAATGATGGCAGTCCTGAGTCCGTGGAGTAGAGTTTTCTGCCGGCAACCTGACCAGCCTAGTTCATTGTCCCATCTGAAACTTCAGTTGGTGATTCTAGGCTTTTACATTGAAAAGCTACTTTTTTAAAAGGCATGTTGCCCTTCTAAAACATAGAGGTTTACATTTAGCAGGAGTGCTTGGCTGCTAACTGAACGAAGCTTTGAGAGAAAGGCAGACAGGACAAATGAGCAAGATAGGACACTTGCTTCACAATGGAAGAGAGAAAGGAGAAGGTTTTTCTGCATAAAATCAAAGATACTTGGCTTTGATTCACCCCTATTCTGTGGGTATTAACTGCACACCTGTCACAGTATTGAGGGAACCATCTCAGCCACTGAGGAGATTCCAGTCTGGTAAGGAAAACAAGCAGGTAAACAACTAAGAACAACTAATTACATAACACAAAGCCATTCATTTTAGGCAAATTGATGTTGAGTGATGAATAGAAAGCGACCCAAAGGTGACCAAGATTTTGGAATTTAGCAGACACTATGACATTAAACCAGCTATTATAACTATATCCAAATTCATAATGAAACATTGGGCCAAGATGAATGTGACTGAATAGACTGAAAATCCTATAAGAGAAATGGAAACTATTTTTTAAACACTAAGTAAATATTTTAGAATGGAAAAGTACAATACCTGAACTGAAAATTTCACAGAGTGAACTAATCAATGGTTTAGAGACAGCAAAAGAATCAGTGAATTTGAAGATAGATTAAATACAATTATTCAATTTAAGAATAGAGAAAAACTAGACCCCAGTAAATGGTAGGGCCACATCAAGAAATATAACTGATATATAACTGAAGTCCAAGAGGAAAAGGAGAGACAGTGGTGCAGAAAAATGTTAGAAGAATGGATGAAACATTCCCATATTTGATGGCACAGCATAAACTCACCATTCTTAGAAGCTTAGCCCACCTCAAGCTGGATAAATGCCAAGTCTTGCCACTAAATCTCTGACTCAGAGGCCATCAGTTAACTTTTCCAGGGTTCAGTTTCTTTATGGGTCACCTGGGGTTAACTATATCAACTCCAAGAAAGAAAGCCAAAGTATAGAACACCTACTTAAAACTAGAGGTAGAGAACAAAATCTTGAAAGCCACCAAAGGAAAATGAGATATGTTATGACTTATTTCTTATGGGTTGCAATGGAGGCTGGGAGACAATACAATGTGCTAAAAGAAAATATTATAGAGCCAAGATTCTAGAATAACAAAAATATCCTTCATAACTGGAGAGAGAATATCAGTTAAATAAAACTGAAATCATTTATTGCTAGTACTTCTGCATTATAAGAAATTCTAAAGGAAGTGCTTTAAGCCAAAGGAAAAGGACATCAGATAGAAACTCAGAGTTATAGGAAATAATGAAAAGTATTTACAAATTTAAATATGTGACCAAATATAAAATATTTCATTTTACTTTCTTGATTTAATTAAAAGACAATTATTATAAATAAACATACTAGTACCACATTATGGGACTTGCAAGGCATGTAGATGAATACATGTATATAGATATAATTGTGCATTAACAGTACCACATAAATGAATGGTGGATAATAAAAGAAGTGAATGTTATTGCAAATATATTGCATTTTATATTGTGATAAAATACTAATTCTAACTAACTAGGAAATTAAGGAGATACAGTGGTGCCTTGGTTCATGAACTTAATTTATTCCATAATTCTGGAAAAGATGGCCATGTTCATGTTTATGCGGAAAAGATGGCTGAAGTCGTGTTCATCACCCCATTCAGGGTTTGCAAACAAAAACAAAATTTTGCCAAATGCTTCTGTTTGTGAAATAAATTGTTTGCAAGCAAAAGCATTTGTGAACCGAGGTACCACTGTATATACATAGAGATAACTACATAGCTAGCCAGATAGATAGATAGATAGATAGATAGATAGATACATACATACATACATACATAGACAGACAGACAGTAATCCCTAGAACAACTCATAAAAAAATATGCTAGCACAAAGGATTGGATAAGACCCACACAAATAAGAGATCCTAATATTAAGCTTTACTAACAGTTTCAGTGATACAAATGATTAGAAGGCACAGATGAAGAAAGATGTCTGGGCCATACTTTGTGACCACCCAGGTCCTTCTTTTCCACATCAGGCATGTGCTTTCTGGTCCAAATTAGTAGCTCAGCCTCTAAGTGAGGTTTTTGGGTAACTTTACTCAGCAGATAAAATTGAGAATATAATACACAGAGTTCACCAAAAAAATGTATACATCACTAAAAGAAAAACTCATATAAATATTTTAATACTAAATTTATTGAAGACATTGTGAGATTTATACAAGTTACCTTTGGCATCCACAATTACAAGAGGTGCTCAAAGTGATGGCAATTAGCTTCTGTCTAGAAGCTAATAAATGTCTAATAAATGCCTTATTAGTATGGTGAACTGCTAAAGTGTGAATACATTTTTTTGGCAGATTCTGTATGTAATGTTATATACTATGTGGTCCCTTCACTTATATGAAATTTTCCAGGAAGCTCGTTTCCATAAATCCAGAGTCTAAGCTTATTTACATAAGCAATCCTAAATCAGGAACATCTGCTAACATTCCACACAAAAGGGTTATTTTCCTAGAAAATATCACTAGTCTATTGACCATCAGATCCCACTAACATCATGTTTGCAAGGAAATTAGACCCAGTCACCTGCCTTTTTCTATTTTAAGGCTCATCTCCATACCATCAGGAGAGATATGTATTATAAACCAGATTCTTTAAACCACCAACCCCAACAGTTATAACCAAAAAAATCTTTATATCAAAATAATACATTAAAAGTATTTGATTAAACCAGAGAAATACATGAAAAGGGATAGTTTGAAAGTCAAAATAAATAATGATAGTAATGTACCATAACCTATTGAATAAGATAAAAATCATGAACTTACTGATATAATAAGTAAATGAATAAGGAAATACATGAGACAGAATGGAATGCTCTTCTTAACTATAGATTACCAACTAATAAATAGAAAGACTGATAGACTTAGGTCTAATCAATAGATGCTAAAACTAGCAAGTGAAAGTTTGATTGGGAATAGGATATTTACATAGTCCCAAAGTATCTCCTCACGAACTACATATTAATTATAAAGGAAAAAACAGTAAATCCACAGTGGAGAAATCAGGTAGACATTACCTTAACCAAATCATCAAACCTAACATCACTAATATTGGGACAAACTGACATCATGGGACTCTTGATATAAAGCACTGAGAACATACCAGCAACTGCAGCACCCACCAAAAATGCATATACTAGATCTAAACATGAAGACACAGCAGACAAACCCAAATTAAATGCTCTTACTTCCTCACACCTGGAAGCATCATCTCCCAGTAATTCACCAAAATGACAAACAGGGAAAGAGGAAAGTGTATATGTTCTCAAGGCCCTTTAGCAAACATGGAGTTGTTCCTTTGGCCACATAAATACAAATCTTCAGAAAGGGTGACATTGAAGACAGCAAGAGAATGGGTGCTGTTCAAAAAGGAATGTTACCCAAATGTTACCACAGCAAAACAGGAAGAGTCCACAGTGTTACTCAGCATGCTGTTACCATTGTGGTAAAAAAGGAAGTTAAGAGCAAGGTTCTTGCCAAGAGAATTAATGTGGGTATTGAGCATACTGAGTAACTATAAGAGCTGAGATAGCTTCCTGAAACGCATGAAGGGAAAATGATCAGAAAAGAAGGGTTCAAGTAAAGAGCCAGCAAGTTCTGCCCAGAGAAGCGCTTTGTGAGAACCAATGGGAAGGAGCCTGAGATGCTGGAACCTTTTCACTAAAAGGTGTTCTAGGGTCCTAGATGTGAAATGGTCCTGAATTATTAAGTGGTTTTCTTAATTGAGTAGGAGTGTGGTTCTCTTACCCCCAGGAAAATAAATACTTGGAGCAGAAAAAACAAATCAAAACTAACTGGCCTGTGCCCTTCAAAGTATCGAAGTCAAGATTCACAGAGAAAGGCAGAAGAAATTTTCCCAAGAAGACTAAGTTGATATGCAGTTAAATTTAATCTGTAATCCTGGATTGAATCCTTCATTGGGAAAAAATAAGGAGTTATAAAAAATCATTAGAATAAAGATAAAATTTGAGTACCAACTGTGGATTAAGTAACAATCTCATATCAATGTTAAATCCCCTTGACTTAATAAGAATTCTTGTTCTAAGGATATATGCACTGAAATGTTTAAAGCTAGAGGAACATTATTATCTCCAATTTAACTTCAAATGATTCTGAAAAAATAACATGGATATGAGAGGGAGTGTGTGCTCGTGTGACTACAAAGCAAAGAGGGTAAGATGAAAACAATTGGTGGATCTGGATAAAGAATTTAGAGCAATCCTTACAACTTTTCTCTAAGTTTTAAATTGTGTCATGTAATGTGGAATAATTTGGACTAACTTGTACATAAAAAAATTTTAAATCACACAAATTAGCCCAGCCCCACAAGCTAAGAGACTTAAATAAAACATGCAGGAAAGGAAGGTTAAGAAATTTTTTAACACTCTCACACCCAAAAGAGAAACTGATTTTAAGACCGACAAAATTTCTTTTGGTCTCTTCAGAAAAGAATCCAAAGTAGTTCTCCTCCGCAATGTCACACCCCTGCCTGTGGCCTGGCGGGTCACCAGTCTGGAGCACCTGGGAGAAGACTTCACATTGTCCATGATGCAGGGTATCATCCCTCCCTCGGCAGAGTACACCCTGCACGTGCACTTCCAGCCCTCCAAACCCGCGAACGTCAAGAAGCCTATTCGGCTGGAGGTGAGGCATCTGTAGACTTGGTTCTCAAAATGTGTGTACATTGGGTTCATCTGCATATAGACACAGCCAGTGTCCCTGTCACATGCCCCCATCTGGTCCCTGTTTGATCTTGCTGTAAAATCTTGCTCTGCACACAACTGCAATGTTATGATATCTAGGTAAGCATTAGATTCCTGACGTCACACCCCAGTCCTCCTCACCTGACAGATTCCTATCTCAGTAAATATCACCCTCCCCCATTGCTTCCAATAAATCCCAGATAATCATCCTTAATCCCCCCCTCCTGATAGAGTCCCTTCTGGCCTCACCCTCCAATAAGCCATGCCAGTTCTGCCTCCCAGTATATCTCCTCCCCATCTGCTGCCTTGTCTACACTGCTGCCACCACCCTCTGCTAGGCCACTTGTTCCCTCTCTCACCTGGACTTCTGCAGAGGCTTCCTAACTGACTTCCATTGTTACATCCCAAGTGTCCAGAAAGATCTTTGCAATGACAGCTCAGGCCACTCCTCCCTTCCTTAAAGCACCTGCTGGCTTCTCACACCAGTAAAAACCATGCCCAGGGTGCTCGCCTGCTTCTGAGCCCCTGCCTGACTTTGTACCTCCATCTTAATCCCCCTTCACCTTTACTCATTGGCCCCCACCATGCTGTCTGAGCTCTTTCCTGTCTGGGCCCTGACATTGCTGCAGCCCTGCTGAGAATCTGTCCCTGTGCTCAGTGGGGAGTTGGCACTGCGTTAAATTTTGCTGAACATCAACTGGGCTTCCCTAAGCATCCTGCTAAGGGAATCCCTGGTGTGTGCAGTCACTTAGCATCTCCCATCCTTCAGAGCACCAGCCTTTCTCACATCATTCTGCTTCTTTCTTTCCCTCTTCATACTCCTTCAGGGCAAGATCTCTGCTGGTTTATTCACCATCTCTGTTTGGGTCCTAGATTGCTATAACAAATTACCACAAACTGGGTGCCTCAAAACAATAGACCTTAGGCTTCCACAGTTCTGAAGACCAGAAGTCAGAGATCAAGGTGTTGGCAGGGTCATACTCCCTCTGAAGGCTTTAAGGAAGAATCTTTCCTTGACCCATCCAGTTTCTGGTGGCCCCGTAGAGTCCTTTGCCTTCTGGTTCCATCACTCTAGTTCAGGGATGGCCAACCTTTTAGGGACAAATGCCCAAACTGCAATCCCAAACCCACGTATTTATTGCAAAGTGCCAACGCTGCAATTAAACCTGAATACTGAGGCTTTAGTTTAGAAAAAACAACTCATACATTAACATCTTTTGTCTTAAAAGAAAAACAACACTCGTGCCATAGGGTCACCACCTATGGTGCTCTAGTTGTTGCCTCCACCATCACGGGCCTTCTCCCGTCTTCTTCAGTTTCTGCCTCTTATGAGGACACAGCTGAACCTCTGTATCTGTGGGCTCTGCATCCACAGATTCAACCAGCTGTGGATTGAAAATATTTGAGGAAAAATTGTGTATGTAATGAGCAAATGTAGACCTTGTGTTCTTGTCATTCCCTAAGCAATGCAGTGGAACAACCGTTTCCATTGCATTTACATTGTATTAGTGTGATCAGTAACCTAGAGATAATTTAAAGTAAGATTGTGTAGATTGTATACAATACTGCCCATTTTATATGAGGGACTGGAGCATCCACAGACTTTGTTAACCATGAGGGTCCTGGAACCTATCCCCTGTGGGTACCAAGGTGATATCGTTGGATTTTAGGCCCACCCAAATGATTCAGGATGACCTCATCTTGTCACCTTTGACTTTAATTACATCTGCAGAAACCCTTTTTTTCCTTAAATAAGGTCATGATCACAAGTTCCAGGACAAGAAGTAGCCATGCCTTTTAGAGAATTATCACCCCACCAACTACACACCATCATACCGCCAGTGTCTACCACAGGCCTGGAAATAGTAGGTGCTCAAGTAGAATATGATGAATGAATGAATGAATGAATGTCATTGGCTTTTAACGCTTGAGTTGATTCTGTACCATTTAAAGCATCATCCAAGCTTCTCTCTGAATATCTCCAGGGATAGAAAACCTATGGCCACTTCATAGCAGGCTGATCTCCCTTTAAATAAGTTCATGAATTCTTCCTTAAGCTGAACTCCAATTTCTCTCCATAACTTGCATGTATTAGTCCTATTGGGAGCCAGTAAAGAGATTTAATCTCTCTTATCCCCTACCTATGACAGCCCTTCAGGTAACTGATAACATACGCCGATAGATTCATTCAATCCACAAATGTATGTGAAATCTAGAGATCATACATGCTTTATAGAATTGGTCTCTGTGAAGGCCATGTGACTGGGATAAGGGCCTGGGGTCCCTTGGGTATCCCAGCCTCATCCTTCAGTTGCTGGATCATGGGGAGTCCAGGGGTTCCCATGGTCAGGAAGTGCAGCAGGCAGGCAATAAGGGGCCCCTTAGAGAGGTCAGCATAATAACTGCTTATCAAATGAAACACATCTATTTAATAACCGTTGTGACCACCCTGGTGTCCCAATCAAACAACAAGCTGATTAGGATTCACACAAGGCAAGATGGATCTCAGACATTTATGAACCCAAAGTAAACTACTGCTCCTCTTCCTCGGATTATCTCCTTCAACATCTATAAATATTTTGCTTTCTCATCCCTTCGGAAAGTATTCTGGTGAATTTATCTGTGTGCTTCTTAAGTTGTCCTTCCCACTGCCCTCAATTACAAAATCTAATCCTACCTCCCCTACTGGAGAAGCAAAGCAAACAGAATAATTCTCTAGCTACTTGATACTTTCAAAAGACAGGTCCTGTACGAATTCATTCAGGGTAAACAGGAAAAGAGAAAATGGAAAACTCAAGTCGGCCCAGTTTGCTCTTTGGAACATTAGCAAAGCTGGGCCGGAGATTTAGCTCAGTGGTTCTGCCGGCTGCCTCGCAAGCGCAAGGACCCGAGTTTGATCCCCCTGTACCCTAAAAAAAAAAAAAAAAATTAGCAAAGCATGTGTTGAAAGAAAATAGAAGCCTGGTGCGGTGGCGCATCCATGAAATCCAGCACTCTGGGAGCCTGAGGTGAGAGGAGCAGTTCAAGGCCAGCCTGGGCAAGTTAGCAACATGCTGTCTCAAAACTTAAAAAAATTAAAATAGTCTGGGGCTGAAGCCCAGTGCAAAAGGCCCTGGATTCAATCTTCAGTAGCAAAAAAGGAAAGGTAGAAATTCTGAATTAAAACTTGGGTTTGATGAGAGCCTCAAATTTCACATTCTTGGGTTCTTGACACTCAAAGAACATGTAATGGCAAACATAATTTAGTATTTCAACTGGTGGCTCCCACTACCCAGCACCTCCCTTCTTGACAATCAGGCCCTTCGTGACCTCCTGATTAGTCTCCAGAGTCAACAGTCAGGTGCAGATGACAGCTGGCAGCAGACCAGCAGCTCCTCAGGACAATGAGGGAGGAATCTCCAACAGGGATCCCTCTAAGGGTCAGTGAGCAACCAGGGCCCCTCCATGGGAGTAATGATAACCATGTTCACATATGAAATTTCCCATAGAGAAATGTTAAACACTATTTTATATGAAAAATCTAGCACTTTTCCCACAGATTGAGTCCCAGAGAACAGAATGATTCAGGTTTCTAAAATGAGAAGAGCAGAGATCCAAGATGGCAGCCAGCAGGAGGCTGATGAAAGACAACCCTCCATGTAAGGGGTCCTTTAGAATCGAAATCAACTTTCCAGCAGAGTACCCATTCAAACCACCAAAGATCACATTTAAAACAAAGATCTATCACCCAAACATAGATGAAAAAAGACAGGTTTGCCTGCCAGTAATTAGTGCTGAGAACTGGAAGCCAGCGACCAAGACCGACCAAGTAATCCAGTCCCTCATAGCACTGGTGAACGACCCCAGCCCGAGCACCCGCTCCGGGCTGACCTAGCTGAAGAATACTCTAAGGACAGTAAAAAATTCTGTAAGAATGCTGAAGAGTTTACAAAGAAATATGGGGAAAAGCGACCTGTGGACTAAAATCTGCCACAAATGATTCCAGCAAGTGTGAGCAGAGACCCCGAGCAGTGCATTCAGACACCCCGCAAAGCAGGACTCTGTGGAAAATTGACAGGTGCCACCACCTGGCTTTCACTTGTGGCAGTTACTAGCTTTCTACAGTTTTCTTAATGAAAAGTGATCTAGTAACCTGTAAAGAAAGGATTAAAAATTTCAGATATTCTAAAAATAAATAAATAAATAAAAAATAAAATGAAAAGAGCAGAATGCCGTGCAAACGTTTTCCACTTCAAGTATCAGAAAAATGCTCTCCAGGTTTACCTGATTTAAGAGTTCCAAAAACACCTTGCTGCAGTGTCTGCTCAGTCCAAACTTCAGGAATGCAGGGATGATCAGATGACTCCTTTAAATTCAGTAAAACGACAGGTGAAAATGTAGCGCCTCCTCATCCCTACCCTGTCTACACCAGCATCTCCAGAGAGTACAGGAGGAGCACGAATCCTACTAAATGCATAATGAGGATAAGAGACCTACAGCTAAACACATCTCCAAAGCATCCTCTCCCATCTCCACTTCGTGTCAGATTTCAGGCTCTGAGTACCTTGTGGGTCTCACTTTGACTGAATAATTCTCTTACCCTGACAGGTTTTAGATGCAGAAAATCTTGTTGGAGTTGTGCAGATTGAAAATATCCTGATCTTTGCAGAATCCTATGACATCGCCCTGGACATCACCTTCCCCAAAGGTCTGTTGAGTCTTCTGGGAATAGTATTTAGAAATTGTGTCTCCTGTGTAGTACAGTTCTATATAGAGAAAGGCTAGGGTGTTGTAGTATAGTGGTGGATGTTGTGAGGGAAGGTCGGTTTTGGTAAATAGTAATGCAAATTCAGAGCAATGTCAGCAACACCACTACCAATTCTAATTTCATCAACTGGAGATAGCAAAAGAGCTCCTCATCTGAGTACTTGATGGTAAACACATCACTTCTGCCTGCATTAATTTTCTATCACTGCCATGTCAGATTGCCCCACATTTTCTGGTTTAAATCAACACAAATTTATTATGGATGATTCTGGTTCCAAAGTTAGAAGTTCAAAATGGGCCTCACTTGGCCATTCAGCTTATTCAAAGCCAGAACTGTTGAGCCAACTCTTCTCACATAGCCATCTCTCTGGTCTCCTACTGCTGCTGTCTTCTGCTTTTAAGGACCCTGTGACTACTTTGGCCACCAGAACCATCCATGTTAATCTCCATATTTTAAGGGCCGTTGATTAGCGACCTTAATTCCCCTATTGTTTTATAAGCCTCCAACTCCAGGGATTAAGATGAGTTACCCTGGTGGAGAAATATCATTCTTCCCAACAGGATGTCCTAATACCTGAATTGTAGCTCTCTCTTGACCACTTAGAGCTACACCTTAGCTTTGATATCATTAGTCTTATAGGCAAAGATCTTTATTGCAGCACTATTTATAATCATGAAAAGTTGGAAATAACCTAAATACCTATCAATAAAGGAATAGTGTTATTGTAGGAGTAATATTGTCAGTTGTGGAATGGCCATATCATGAAATATCATGCAGCCACTAAGATCACATTTAGGAGTTTTAATAATTTGAGAAAATAGTTTTGATGCTAAGTGCAAAATAAAATGACATACATTTGTGTGTAATATCACAACTCTGTAAATTGTACACTTTATACAAAATTCTTTAATACTTGAAGCTTTAGTTATGGTAAGACAAGGTGAGCTGCAGAGAGAGGCTGACCCTAGGACAGGTCGGTGTCTGTTCATTGACAAGGTGCTCTTCCAGCCCCCAAGTTTTCAGAAAACAAATTCTCTGACCTTGTCGCCTTGGTTTTTCCATGTGAGCTTCAGTGGGAAGTTCTCCTGCTCCGGCTCCCACATCCACTCACTCCCACCCCTGGCCCTGGCCCCGGGCTCTGCAGGAGCTGAAGGAACCCTAGACTTTGGGACTGTGAAGGTCATGGAGGATCTGAAGCAGCTCCTTCAACTGAAGAACCGAGGGAAGTACGAGATCATGTTCAGGTAACCTGAACCCCTCGGGCATGTGGCCGTCCACATCCACTCTTGGCCATGAGTGGCCACAACAGTCTGGGAATTTTTTTTAAATGAAGCAAGAAAATCTTAAGAACTCCTTCTGCTTTTGGCCTCCCTTGGTTTTAAATTAACGGAATCCCAATGGCTGAGAGCAGAGATTTTTATGTTGCTCTCAACTCTGCAACTTAACCAGGGACCTTGGAAGGCCTCTGAATGTACCTGGAGGCACAGGAGTCTGTGATGAAGGGAGAAACTGGAGGAGATGAGGCCTGGGAGGTGGCCTGGCTTCAGGCTGTCCTGTCCTACTTCCAGCTCTGATCTGTTCCACAGGAGAGATTTCTACATACATAAGTTACTGTGTGAAGAAAGGGTCTTCCAGTGTGTTTTGTTTGCTTTTAATTTTAAGAATCACTGGGTTATAGAACCCAAGTAGTGACTTGGTAGAATACAGCTGCAGTTTGTGTTCATTCCTTGAGACTAAAAATGAAGCCCTAGGTAGGGGAGGTTCCTCTGAGAGAAAAAGGTGGCTTGGGGTAGGAGAGAGGGAGGAGGTTGTCAGGAAGGTTACACAATCCTTCCTGGTAGACCAGTACTCAGGCCCTGGAAACCTCTATGACAATTCACAGCTGACAGAGGGACTTCCCACTGCAGACTTGAGATAAATTCGATGTGTTCATGATCATTTTACTTCAGCTGAAAGAATATTGACACTAGAAAAGTCCCACCTCCATACCATCATTCATTAGAACCAGTGAGTGACACTGTAAATTGAATTAAATAAAAGTCAGGCAAACCTAGAAGAAAGCCACTGGCACCTTGGAATTAGTGCAGAATGGAGTCTTGCCCGTTTGTGTTTTGTGTCAGACCATGACAGGGGCTTTAGCTCTGCTTTTTTACATTGCCTGGGGTGGAGCCTACCTTGGCTGGAGCAGGCGGTCACTGAGGACTCTGCAGGGACCTAAGGAAGCACAGGGACCACTCCTGCAGCAATGGAGCCATCAGGGCTCCCGGAGCACTGGTGATGGCCAGACTTCAACTCCAACTCCAGCGTCCATTGCCACCTAAGTTCCTCATGCCTACCCCAGCCCCTCCACATTGTCATGAGTCAGCTCACCTCTGGGGTTCTCACTTCACCCTCATTGGGCTAGGGACCCCACATCCTGTGCCTCTGTGGCACAGCCTCTGCCCTGACCATCTTCCCTTCGTCCCCTGGCTTTGTGGTACTCTGCTCTCTCTGTGTGCTGCATTCCATCTCAGAGAAGAAAAGGAAAAACAGAGAGAGTAAATTTGGTTGGTACTTCTCCAGCATTAGGTGTCCCTGTTGAGCAGAGATCTCCCACAAAGGATAGAAGATGTCTCTCTTTACCCCAGCATCAATTCCTGGCCTGGCCAGTCCTGTAAGTCACTGTACAAAGCACACTGGACCCTGCCCAGTGGAGTAGTTAGCAGGACTCTTAGCAGGACCAGAGACACAGCAGGCCTTTATCAGCCTACACTGTCCTGTCTAGGGTCTTAGGTTCCCTAGATAGTAAGTTAAACTGACCTTTTATTCTTGTCTTTCAGCTTTTCTGTGGACTCTGTAGGAATTTTGCCAACCAATGTCAATTCCATGATCTCAGTCCTACCCCAGAGGGGCTCACTGTCAGCAACAGAAAAGCCCACGAATGTCCAGGTGTTCTTTCGTGCAAAAAAGGAAGTGAAGATTGAGCAGCAGCCCATTTTGTGCTGCCAGGTGAGAGAGCTTCAAGGGAGAGGCTGACTTGATGGCAGGTTGTGGGCCTCTTGCTGAAAAGAGGAGTCCGCAGTGCCTTCATCCATGCTGCAGGGGTGAGGAGAGGGAGGCCTGAGTGGCAAGCAGATAAGACCTGCCAGAGTTTGTCCCCAGCTAGCAGGCAGAGGTGGGTCAGGTGGGAAGTGGGCAGAGTCAGAATGAGAGGAAATGTCCCCCAAATCTTTCAGAAGCCACAGAGACAAGGAGACTGTACTCCATCGCCAAATGCAGATGACTGAAAACAAGAGGCAGAGTTGCTCTGTGTTCACCTTTGGTTACTACATAGTAAGGTAGCCAAGAGGTTGAAATGGATCTTTAAAAATTAGGGTTTTTGTTTTAGAGATAAGCTGACCCTCCAGCTTCCTCATGCTGTCTCAGTAGCATAAACTGCTACCTTTCAGCCTTGACACCAAGTAGGATTCCAGCCCCCTGGGGAAAATCTACATACACATATTTCCTACTTTTTGTTCTATTCTTTGTACAAATTGGAGTACCGCTGTGCCCTGGAAGAAGGCAGATTTGCTGCCCTCCCAATTTGGCCAAATTGTGAATAAACTCATTTTTCCATTTTTATGGGCTTTCTCATACTCTTGGTGGCAGGCAGGCAACCAATCCAGGGCTCAAATTCAGCCCTGACCAAGCCCTGCTGGTAACAGTAAGCTCTCTGTTAGCATTTACTTCTATTATAGTTGATGCAATAATATAGCATAAAGCAAATGAAATAAAGAACCTAGCCTAACATCAACAATGAAAGCTGGGAGTGAAGAAGGCAATCACTGTAGCTTTACCAGTGACTTACATCTTCCCAATCCATCTTCCTTTTCTAGATTATTGAGCCCAATCTTGCAGAAGGGGGTGAGATAATTGCCAGCATCCCAATTAAGTTTTCTGTGAATGCAGTGTATTCCAAATTCACCATCAGCCCCTCCTCCATCATCAACTTTGGGGCTTTGATCTGCGGCACTCGCAAGAGCTCTACCATCAGCATAGAAAACCAAGGCGTTACTGACTTCAAGTATGCCCTCTACAGGCTGTCAGGGGACAGCCCCATTCATCAGAAGAAACTGTAAGACAAGTATTCCCTAAACTCATACCATTCTCTGCTCATTTGTGCTTTGTATCTTACAAAGAGAGTCACATATTTCACCTAAATCCATCCCCTCCTCTTTTGTGAGTGAGGCCACTAAAGTTTAGAAATGGCTCATCCAGGATTTTGCAGGAAATCACCAGTAGATCTTGGTCCTGAACTCGTATCTTCTGACTCCAGATTTCATACATTTTCTAGCTGCTGTCAAATATAAGATGCATTCTAGTCGGACAAATGTAAATTCTTCCACATGGGATTCTGTTGTTATCTTGATGCTTCTGATATGCTAAAAGATTTACTAGTAAGTGATTGTCCTACTGTTCCGTAGGAGGTCCAGAGGCTACTATAACAGTAAGCTAAATCAAAAGAAATTATAGTTATTCTTCAAGATGGGGAGTGGAAAGGATACCCTGGAAATCTGGAGGAGAAGTGGGGTGATGCTTTCAGTCTACCAGGGACTGTTACTGTGTTTTCTTCTGGAAGACATTTTATCACAACAGCTACCTTAATAGTTGTTCCAACAGCAAAATTCTGTGTTCTTCAAAGGCTGGTTTTCATTCAATACACCAAAAACAACTTACCTTTTGAGTTATTTTGGTTTCCATTTGATTATCTTAGTCTTTAGGGGAAAATTAAGAATGGATTAACTGGGCAGGGGATTTAGCTCAGTGGTTCCAGTGCCTGCCTCACAAGCGCAAGGTCCAGAGTTTGATCCAGGGTACCAAAAAAAAAAAAATGGATTAATCAATTGCCAAGGTACTTCTGACTTAATTTTAACTTTCCAAACTTATTTTTTTCCTTAAATTCTTTTATTGGTACATTTTAGGTACACAATACATTTACATTTATCATTGGGTGCTTGTACCTGTGCATGATGTATCTTGGTTTTTATTTTTTTCTCCATTACCTGTGCACCCTTCACCCTGTCCACCCTTCCCTATTTATATAGACTTCATTTCTTTATTTTTTCTCTTCTCATAATTTTTCCTTTCCCTTCTTTCCTTTCCCCTTCCCCTCCCACCACCCCACCCCTTTGGACCTTTTCCTATTTCAAAGCATCAATTATTAGTTACTAATCCTTTTAATCCTTATTTACACTTTCAGTTTCTCACACTAGAGGAACTATTCGGTATTTACACATGTGTGTCCTATTTATTTCACTTAAGAGTATGGCCTCAATATGCATCCATTTAGCTATAAATGACTCTAGTTTCTCATTCTTTATGGCTGAGTAGTACTCCATTATACAAAAAAAAAAAAACTACATCTTTGTTATCCAGTTTCCTGTTGATGGGCACTTGGGCTGTTTCCAAGCTTTAACTATTACAAACTGTGCCACTATAAACATGGGTGCACATATATCGCTGTGGTATGATTCTTTTAATTCTTTTGGGAAGATTCCCAGTAGGGGAATAGCTGAGTCAAATGGGACCTCTAGCCCTAGTTCTTTTAGGTCTCCATACAGATTTTCACAGTGGTTGCACCAGTCTGCACTCCCACCAACAATGGAGAAGGGTTCCTTTCTCCCCACACCCCCGCCAGCATTTGTTATTGGTTGATTTCTTGATAGCTGCCATTCTTTCTAAGGTGAGGTCGAATCTCAGTGTTTTCATCTGCATCTCTCGAATGACCAGTGATGTTGAACATTTTTTCATATATTTATTTGCTACTTTTACTTCTTTGTCTGAGAAATGTCTGTTCATTTCAGTTGCCCATTTTTGAATTAGGTCTTTGAATTTGGGGGATCCAATTTTTTTCAGTTCTTTATTCTAGATAGTAGTCCTTTGTCTGAGGTACAGCTGCTAAAAATTTTTTCCCACATTGTAGGTTGTCTCTTAGCTCTGTTGGTGGTTTCTCTTACAGTGCAGAAGCTTTTTAATAAGACGAGATCCCAGTTATTGATTCTTTCTGCTAGTTCCCATGCTACTGAGGTTTTGTTCACAAAGTCTTTTTCTGTGCCAATGTCTTCAAGAGTTCTAACTTATCTTCCAGCAAGTTTAATGTTTCTGTCTTAATATTTAGATCTTTAATTCACTTTGACCTGAGTTTAGTGCATGGTGATAGATATGGGTCTAGTTTTAATCCTTGGCAGGTTGAGATCCAGTTTTTCCAACCCCATTCATTAAATAGGCTATCTTTCCTCCAATGAGGGTGGTTTGCTCCTTTGTCAAAGATGAGGTGGCTGAGTACGTCTGGAGTTGTTTCTGCATCTTCTAATCTATTCCACTGATCCTCAGGTCTGTTTCTTTGCCAGTACCATGCTGTTTTTATCACAGTAGCTTTGTAGTATAGTTTCAAAACTTTCCAAATTTAATTTCAAGCTTTTTATAATTTATTTTATAATAATTTAGTAGTGTTTATAGTGATTATTGTAGCTTATGTTTTGCTTACATTTTTATTTTAGCTTATTTTTCATTTTAGCTTGCAAAATATGTTTCATGCAAAACATATTAGAGGGGGTTGGATTTCAGATGTTCTGGTCATTAGCAAGTGAATATTCAAGTATATAAAATTCTTAAAAATTTAAGGTGTACATCAAATAAATTTAAATAGTTTAGAAAAAGTGGGTCTCGAGGCAAAGCAATTATTGGGTAAACTAGCTTCAAGTGAAGTGAAATTAACAAAACCTATATTTGAGCTATTACTTATATTAAGTATTATGACTGTAAATATGAAAAAAAGACAAAATTTAACCTATTTGCCATTTCATTTTTAAATGAAATCAAGTAAAAGATTTGATATAACTAAATAACTTCCCATGCACTGCTTTCCAGTGAACTTAAAAAAATTACTTCTTTTATAAAGACAAAAGGGTTATTTTGGCTCGCAATTTTGTTTGGGTTTTTTTGGTACTGGGGATCAAACTCAGGACCCTGCGCTTGCAAGGCAGGTGGAGAAACCACTGAGCCAAACCCCCGGCCCTTGGCTGGAAATTTTGGATGTTCCAGTCTGTGACCAGTTGGCTCTGTTCCGTGGGCCTGTGAAGAGGCAGGACTTCAGGGCCAGTACCCATGGCAGAGCAAAGCTGCTCCCCTCACAGCCAGGAAGCAAAAGAGAGAAAAAGGAAAGCTGGGTGCAGTGGTGCACACTTGTAACCCTAGCTACTCAGGAAGCTGAGGCAGGAGGATCAAGAGTTCAAGGCCATGCTGAGCAACATAATAAGACCCCATCTCGAAAAGAAAAGAGAGAAATATATACATAAGATTAGATTTTTTTACAAGAGAGACAGAGCGGGGGATTGAAAGAGAAAGAGGAAGAAGAGGAGCTGGGGTCACACAATCCATTGAAGGCATGCCTCCAATGACTTCAGGACTCCCCAGTACTGCCACCCTGGTGGCCAAGCCCCTATCACATGGACTTTGGGGAACACTTACCAAACCATAGCATATCTTATAGAGTAATTTTCAACATCTTTATGAGTCATATTTACTGCATAGTTTCCTTACAGTTATCCAGTGAGTTTGGTCAGTGATTACTAAGCTAGCTCTGCCACTGTGATACCTTCTTGGGCAAAGAAGGGCCTCCACAGTGCCTAGCAGAAAAGACCTTACAAGCAGACAAACAGGTGGTGTCTAATGTCCCTATCAAATGTCTCTATCAAAACCTGAGGGTATCCTCTTCTTTAATCAGAACTGGCCACTTTAGACATGCAAGAGCCCGGGAAAGTGAAAACTTCCTCAAGACTAAATCAGCCAAGTTCTCAGACTCAATTCAGAAAGAAACAAACATCACAAGCCAGGTGAGTGCTCTTCCTTGCTCAAGACACCCAGTAAGGCCACCTTCCAATTAGCTCTCACCACCAAACACCTCCCAAAGATAACAGGCTTTGAATCTACTGTGGCAAGGATACTAAGTAATTATATTGAAACCTCACTTTTATTTTAATTTAAGGCATTACAACCTTTAATTTGAATATCTTCTTTTGCTATAAAACTTTCATTGGCTCCCCCAGTGCCTTAAAATTGTTCCAACTCTCCATATATATTTTAATCAAGCATCATTTATTTATCAGACAGAACCTTGGAGAGAAGCTCTCCTCTGGATGGCTTATCCAGGAATCCTTAGTGCCTAGGACAACTAGTGCATGTAGCAGGTACTCATGGGACAGTGACCAAGTTAGGTTAGTAGCAGCCTCCATGTATGGCTGTACAGTCACCCTTTACCACACCAGGAGCCTCAACCCCACAGACCTGTGTGTAGGGTGCCTGCTAAAGGAGTGTAGTGTGCTAGCCTGTCCAGCCACCTGTAGCAGCCATGTGACAATTTAGGGAAGTTCCTGCTATCCTGAAGGATCCAAAGTTGGTATCTGAGCATTATCAGAATAAAGCGTTCCCTGATACAGTATTACTAGAGAACACACCTAAGGGGATTGAGTTGGGGTGAGAGCACAGGCCGGTGGTTGAAGAAAGAGGAGCACAATTTGGTTGAAATTCAGTCCATCAGAACTAGATCCCTACCCACCACTGTGCTACATTCCAGGGATGGCACAATACATGCCCTAGAGAAGGACACCCTACGTCACACTGCCACTTGGCAGCATTCTGAAACAGAGCAAGAGGAAGCAAGATCCTTAGAGAAAGGAGTGTGTGCTAGCTGTTCATCTCCGGGAGGGGAGACTGGTTATCAAGCCCAGGGGAGGAAGTTCAGCACCTCACCAATAGCGTGCCCTGGTATCATGCCTGTGGAAGGATTTCACCCACCTCGCCCATTTCTGCTAAGGTTCCTAGACCCATCAGGAAGTCCCACACAAACCCAGCTGCCAGAGTAAGAGTCCAGTAAGAGAGCACTCACACAAGTCATGTAAAATGACTTTACCACTCACATCTAGGCAGCAAGAACCAACAGAACTCTAGGACCTGGTCCCCCAAGACTCAAGAAAGCTTCCTCAGAGTAGGAGTCTCATCTGTATGTGCCCCAATTCATACTGCAGCCAGAGGACCCCCAAAAGCATTCTGCTCTGGGTTTTATACTCCCAAGCAAACTTGGACCTCTGAGCTAAAGCAATGCAAAACATCTTCTGGAAAAGATGAGGGCAAAGCCTGGGCTGGCCAAGACAATTCCTCCTTATCTCAGGGCAGTGCATTCTCACCAGTCCACAGTTATCCTTCAAACTTCGAGTGCAAGGGAGCAGATCTGGGTACTCCAAGGACAGACTTCCAGTCACTCCTTTCTTACTAACGTTCTATTTTCTTAGCCTAATCCTGTACTAGATGCTATGCTCTGCGCTTCACATATATTCTTTCATTTAACCCTCCAGCTCCTCTGAGATTGGGAGCTTTTGTCCCACTTTAAATATAAACAGAGAACCAGAGAAGTCATTTGTCCAAGTTCAGACACTTTATATATCACAGGGCTGAAATTCTAATCCAAGAGTATCTGAATCAGAAATCCATAATCTTAACCACCACTCTACTCTGCACCCCTCTTCTGAAAGATCCTCCCCTTAAACTCTGTTTCCTTAAGCTCTGGGCTCCACCATGAGTTCCTTGAACTCTGGGCTCAGGAGAAATGTGCAGAGAAGGGAGTGCTGAGGGAGCTCCAGGCTCCTCTCCCTGGCTCAGGTGACAGTCTCTGCCTCCATCCCTCCCACCTGTCCTACAGGCCCGCTTCTCCCATGGCATGTTCACTGTGTACCCTGGGTCTGGCTCCATCGCTGCCGGAGGACAGCAAGTCATCACCGTGGATTGTATGGCTGACCCAGTGGGAAAGTGTGAGGAGTTTTTAGCCATCGATATCTCTGACCGAGACCCCAGAGAACATCCTGCTGGCATTCCTTATACCTTGCTTGCTGAAGCCTGCCTACCAGGTACTGCCACCCAGGCTGGAGGACCCCCCTGAAAGACCTGCCTGTGTAACACCTCTCTCTCTCAGCCAAATGCCTCTAAAGATGTCCAGCAGATAAGGCTGGCTGCTTCCTTTGGACCTTAGAACTTCCTCGAGGTCTTAGCCATATTTGTCCTTAAAACCTTATAGGCATGCACACATAGAAGGGGATGTGCCACTGCAAACTCCTAGCCTTCCTGAGTCCAGTCCTGGATTCTCAGATAAAAAGTGTTATTATCTGAGAATCCTGGTGACACAGGATGTGGTGCAGGACCCAGAAACACCAAATCCTGCAAATGCTTAGGTTACTCTGTGGGCAGCTCATGCACAGAGAATACTCAGTAACTGAGAACACTAAAGTTTTAACTCAGCAAGTGTTCAGGTAAGGCACAGAGAGAACTCCACTTCTTTGGAACCTCTAACCAAAGCAGGCCAAGGGCTGCCTTCCTCCTAAACCCACCCTGGATCTTGATCTCACCACTTCTTGCCATTGGCAGGAAGAGACTGATGGTGATATGGCAACCTTTTGCAAGGGCAGTGCAAAAGAGAAAGAAATGACTGAATCCGTCCCAGCCCGGACAGACCCTTGTCTGGATTTCCCTGTCTTTCCTCTGCTATGCTTGTCAGAATCCACATTTCCAGATTGAGAATAACAGAGAGCCAGGCATATGGCAAGCAGCATCACCTCACCATCTTCCCCCCACTTGCCAGCCTTTGTTACTGACAACAAGGCCTCAGTATTTGAGGAGCACCACATCTGCACCAGCCTCAACCTGCACCACATCCTGCAGAGCTCAGAGAATGGGGGGCTGTTTGTGGAGGACGAGAACAAGTTCATCTTCTGCAACATCCTGGTGGGCCATCAGGCCAAGGCTCGGTTCAAGATCAGCAATGTGGGCAAGATTCCCTGTGACGTCAACATTGTCGTTAAGCCCGTCTCCAACAAGGTGAGAGGCTCCAATTGGCCCCCGCCCAGCATGGTCAGAGAGCCCTGGGGAGCCCCTACTTGAGACCTTCTGTGCCTAAAGGATTTATCTGGCTCCCAGGCCCTGCTGAAAGTCCTGAGAGGCCACAGGGCCACAGGCTGTGTGTGTCACAAAGGGTGTCTCCTCTGGGTAACTGAGCTAAGCTGGTCAATACAAAGAAGCAACTCATTCATCCATCACATACTTACAGTGTCTGAACTACACAAAGTGCTGAGAAGTCAGGCTTAACATGAGCCACTTCTTCAAACACACCTGCCTCAATTTTGATATTCTTGTCAGGAAGATTTGAGGGATGCCTGGCTACAAGGATGAGGGAGAATGGTGAACAGTTACTGACCCCACCCAAGAGACAGAGCTATGCTAAGTGTCTTACAGTTACTGCTGCATTTCACCTTCCCAACTCTTTCAGACTTTGTATTATTATACTATTCTATCATTAGGGAAACTGAGGCTCAGAAGAGTGATATTCTTCCCCTAGATCCCAGAGCGTGGAAATATACAGCTAGACTTAAAGCCAAGCTTCATCTATGTTCAAGTAAATAAGTGCACATCTCTGGGGTTGCTAGACTCTAAATTCCTTCTCTCTTGGTTCCTTTCCTCACACTGGGACAGAAAAATCCAGGACAACAGAAGGAAGGACTTAATCAATGGGTTTCTATCCCCCCTAATTTCCAGTTAAATGTGTTGCAGATACTGCCTACTTCAGTTCTCTGCCTGGAAGTGGAATTTGGCCCCAGGTGGTCATCATGTCCCTGAGCAGGCATTGTTTATGGCTGATGGGAGTAGGGAGGTCCCCAGGGAGGGTTGGTTTCAGCCTGAGCTTCAGAGAAAATGTGCATTCTCAGAAGACTGTCAGCACAAGAAGGTAAGGTTAGGGAGACCATCTAATCCTTTTGTAACTTCTCTCAGGCCCTGCAACGGCCGGTCATTGTTCTCTGCCATAAGAAGTGAGCAAGCCTCATTTGCAAAGAAAGACTTTTCAATAGGGTTTGCAGACATCAAATACTCTCCACCTGGCCTGCACACTCATCAACTGGAAAAAGAAAAAGAAACCTTAATACTTTCAGCTAAAGAACAAGATGGAATAGCCTGGAGGAGAGAGAGTTTGCAGTAGGGCAGGAGAATGAGCAGCAAGCCCTGGCATCAGTGCAAAGTCTTGTATCCCACCTGCTTCCCATGAAATGAAAAATCCTTTCTGAGCCATGCCAGGGGTCCCCCTAGTCCCAAACACTGCCACAAGATGGGAATGAAGTACTGTGGGAGATTGTTCTAGCCAAGGCCCTTGGAGTTGCAAGGAGCAGAAAACCGCTCAGGTCAGCCCAATTAATGCAGGGTTTACAGCAATAAGTCGAGACCACAGATACAGGTTAGAATATATCATTAGCTATAGCTTCTTGGGATTGGAACTAGCACTTAAAATCTACTCTTCAGAAGATCAGCAGACGCTCCATTCATCTTTCAGATATTGCATGTCTTTCTCACTCTGATTGTTTCTGTTGCTTCATTTTCTAGTCTGGTTTCCTCATTGTGTGTGTGGTTCAACCAGCTTCCCAGTTCAGCTCCCCGTTGACAACCAATGGCAATCTTTAGGCATCTTAATTGACAGACCATGGCTGGGGTGATGGGGAGAATGTCAGGCTGATTAGCTTGACTCATGTGTTTGGGTCAAAGTTCACAGTCTAGCCAAAGGCAGCCAGATCTTGTTTAGGGATGAGTCCCACGGTATCTAAGCTGCTCCTTCCAGGGCCCGAGACTGCAGGAAATTGAGCTTGTCTACCACAGAGCCTGGTGGAGAGAAAGTTCATGACAGGACAGGTGAGCTTAGTGGCAAGCCCCCACATCAGTGCAAAACAGCTGACTTGCTTTGGTTTGCTCCCTTTCTCCAGGCCTTTGCCCGCATCAATGACATCTTTGAAGTGGAACCTAACAAGATGTGTGTGGCCAGTCGCTCAAATGCCTTTGCCACAGTGTTCTTTACCCCACAGGCCATGCAGACTTACCAGTGTATCTTCGAGGCTACCTTGGATGGCTTGCCCAGGTATGGCTCCTGCTCCCTGCAGAACTGTAGCCCACACTGTCTATAGCAAGAGTTCCCAACCCCACACCATGGACCAGAGTCTGTTTTTAGCCTGCTAGGAACCAGGCCACACAGCATTAGGTGAGCAGCCTTGAGCCAGCAAAGCTTCATCTGTATTTACAGCTGCTTCCCGTTGCTCACATCACTGCCTGTGCTCCACCTCCTATCAGATCAGCAGTGGTATTAGATTTTTTAAATTATTATTATTGGTACCTGTTTGCAGTACATACTGATTACATTCACTGTGGGAAGTTGGAACATGTACATGACATATCTTAATTGTTTTTTTATCCCCTTTCCTTCTTCTCCCTCCCTTCATCTCTTAGCACAGGTACACAACATATCACAATTCCCCTTTCTTTTTTATTTCATTCCCCTCCCTCATCTCTTGATTCCCTTCCCATATGCTAAAGACCTATCTCCCTACTTTCTATTGCCTTTTATTTTGCTCTTTATTTATATTTTGGGTTTCTCATGTAAGAGAAACCATGAGATATTTAAGCTTTAAACTTGTGTGCCTGCTTTATTTCACTTAGCAGTATGGTCTCAAGATGCACCCATTTTCCTACAAATGACTCAAGTTTAGAGTAGCTGGAACTCTATGATGAACTGCATATGCAAGGAATCTAAATTGTACAATCCTTTGAATCATCCTGAAACACACACACACACACACACACACACACACACACACATTTATCTATGGAAAAATGTTTCACGAAACTGGTCCCTGGTACCCAAAAGACTGGGGACTGCTACCTGTGGGATGCCACTTCTGCCACACCAGCCTCACAGGTCTTGATCTTCCTGTTCCCTACAGCACCCTGGCCAGAAACCGGGGCCTCACGTTTGATATTGTTGGTGAGGGAACCCTCCCTCAAGTGACTATTGTGAGGCCAGTTCTCTATAACCAACATGGAAACCCCTTGCTCCTCTTCAAGAGGCTCTTGCTTGGTCATTCAGAGAAACTGCCTCTCATCCTCAAGAACAATGGCACCATTCCTGCCCAGGTAATGCCTGAGGGTGAAGCATAGGTAGAAAGGGAGAAAAATGGTTTAGAAGTTAGCCTCAGCCACTGGGGTCCCTGCCATCTCCAATGTTGAGGACTTCTTGACAGTCCTCAGACATTAACCTGTGTGTGAGACAGGGCCACATAGAGGGGAATCTGGCACATCCTCTGCCCTCTTGGAAGGCAGGAAATCATGTTACACAGAACACCAGTAACTGTCGTGCAAAGCAGTGCACAATGATGTACCCCAAGCTGGGAGGGGAGGATTATATATATTCTTAGTATCTTCATTATTTTTCCTTTTTTCCCTTTAATGAATATTACATTTGTAATGAGGAAAAATCTAAATGAAACTTCATTAGGATAAGAGATGGAATATCTAAAGGGATTTTGACTCAGTCATTAGATTTATATTTTTGTTTTGTTAAAAATATAATAAATTATGTGTCATACAGTGGACTAGGACTTTTGAGAATGATTTCTTTCACCCAGGGAACAAGGGAAAATTCACTGTCAATGATGTTGGAGTAGAGCAGAAAGGATAGTTGGGTGTCACCAAGTGAGTGTGGAAGTACACATATCCCAGAGAGAGAGAAAACTCCAAAGACACAGAAGCAAAAACCTGAGTCTCAGAAACTAGTCAGTTCCAGCTCTGGGAGAGGGAAGCATGCAGGTGGAAGAACAAGGGGAGATAAAAAATGGAGGTGTAGGGCCAGGGATTTAGCTCAGTGGTTCTGCTGTCTGCCTCACAAGCACAAGGACCCAAGTTTGATCCCCAGTACCAAAAAGAAAAAGAAATATGGAGGTGTAGAGAGTGGGAATAACCTGTGGAAGGCTTTGGAGTCTATGTTTGTTTTGAACCCTACAAGACATTAGTTATGTTGCTTTTCTTACTGTTTTTATAATAACAAGACTCATTTAAAGGTACCCATATATTTGTCATTTTTATTGCTCCCCATTTCTACATCTCCAGTTCTCTTTGAGACTCTTTCCCTGATTAATGAAATATACTCTTTAGTATTTCCTTAATGTGGGGTGCTAGTAGTGAATTCTGTCTATTTTTATTTGAAATCTTTATTTTCATTTTTTCGGTGCAAGGGTTTACTGGGGACTGAATCCAGGGCCTTGCAAATCTTTTATCACTGAGCTCCCTTCTCAGCCCTCCTCCTTCTTTTTTTATGTAATTTTTGCTGGTCATAGAATTCTTATTTGGCAGTTGTTTTCTTTCAGAAAATGGGAGATTGTTTTCTTGGGGTGTTCTGGATTCCGCTGTACCTGCAGAGAGATCAGCTGTAACTTTAAAATAATTATTAAGGCAGTCTTTTTTTTTCTGACTGCCTTTAACATTCTCCCCTTGAGTTTGTTTTCTGGAGTTTTACAATATGTCTAGGCATGGATTTTTTTTAATGTGTCCTTCTTGTAATTCACCAGACTTCTTGATTCAAATTGACTTTGGAAAATTCTTAGACATGTCTTTAAACATGGTTTCTATTCCATTCTCTCTGCTTTCCTTCTCGGATGCCAGTTCGATATATTGAAAACCTCAATGAGTGTGTGTGTGTGTGTGTGTTTGTGTGTGTGTGTGTGTGTGATTCTTACTGTATTTTCCATTCATGTTTCTCTGGGCTTTATTCTGTATAGTTTGTTTTGACCTCTTCTGTGGTTTGGGTGAGTGTTCCCCCAAAAATATCCATAAGTAAAGACTTCGTCCCCAGGATGGTGGTAGTAGGAAGTGTTATGGATTCTGAAGATGTGGGACCTGAAGGGAGGTCCTTAGGTCATTGAGGGGGTGCCCTCAAAAGAGATTGTAGAACCTGCCAGTTCTGAGAGAAAGACAGAGGAGGAGGAGGAGGAGAGGGGGAGGGGAGGGAGAGAATATGCATGCATGCCTAATAGAGCCTAGCTTAAGATGTGATCACTCTATCTGACATACACTCCAACCATTAAGTGCTGCCCCCATCAGATGACCAAACCAATAGGACTACCTCATCTTGGACTTGAACCGCCAGAACTGTGAGCTAGAATTAACCTCTCTTTATTTCATAAGTAGCCTGTGTCGGGTATTTTATTATAGTGATGAAAAGCTGCCTAACACACCTGTCTTTGGTTCATTAACTCTCCTTTTTAGCTGCACTGAATCTGCTGTTAAACTTTTCCATTAAGTTCTTAAGTTATTTTGTTCAGTTGTAAAATTTCTATTAGTTTCTTTTTCAAATCTGCATGATCAGTTTTTATGATTTGTAGTTTATGCTGAAATTGACAGACTTGCCCTTTATTTCTTAAACACAGTAACCATTGCTATTTTGTAGTATATACACCTGATAATTCCAAAGTCCCTGTAGATGGTTTTCATAGTTGCTTTTTCAGCTCATTCTTGCCCATGTTGTCCTATCTCCTCATGTGCCTGGTTATCTTTTGTTCCTATGTTGGGTGTTACATTTAGAAAGTTATTTAGATTTAGGATAGTGTTATTTTTCTTCAGAGACAGTTGTTTATTTGTTTCTGCCCAGCACTTGGGGACACTAGAAATTCAGAGTCACCTTACGCCAGTTTTAGGTCTTGAGATTTCCTGGGTTACCATGTTTCAGAGCAGAATTGCTATCCTTGGGAGAGTGAGTCATACCCAGCTCACCTTTCATCTTGTGGTACAGACCTTTGAAGTCTTAGCCCTGAGAAAAGGAAGCATTCCCACCCTTTGCAAGCCTTGAACTTTTGTCCTTTGAGGACCAAGAGCCCAAAAGTATAGATATGCCTCCCATCTACCTCTTCCAGTTCAAAAACACCAAGAAAGTTAAGCATCCCCTTCTGGATTCCCACACTCTCATGGACCTTGGTCTGGTACTCTTCACTGTCCCCTTAGCTCTGTAATACTTTGAAGGTTTTCTGTATTTACTCTAGCATTTTTGATTGTCTTGAGTTCAGTGCTGCTGGCTTACCATTACTTTACATTTTTTCCATTATTGTGACTTTTTAAAATGTTCTAACATCTAGTTCAGTGAGTTCCTGCCTACCTCTTGCTGTTTTTGTAATTTTTCTTAACAATTTTTCTCTATTAATCTCATATATGAACTTTGGAGAGAATTTCTTCTTTGGGAATATTTAAACTCTCTTCCAGGACCACAGTTTAGGATTCCTATCCATTTATTTAAATGTTTTATATCAATAATTTACATATAATTGCTACATATAGTTTCTTATTAATTACTAAATGTATAATCTGTCATCTCAGAAGCTTCCTATGTGATATCACTATTTCTCTTTTCTTCATACCACATTTTTTATAGTATTCAAGCTTCCTCATAATGGTGCCAGTATTACTATCTTCTAAAAATTCTGTTGATTTCTCATACCTAAAATCAAATATCTGACTCTAGTCTTACCTTTCTTCTGATGGACTAGAAAGTACTTTTTTCCTTGAAATAGGTCAGAACCCCCCTGTTTTTCTCGTGTTTTGGCAGAATACTTACTATGACACTAGGCAACAAATCTATAGTGTCTGGGAGATGCTGGCTTTTAGGAATTCCTATTCATGCAAACCCTCGTAGAATAATGAGTGCTCATTTCCATTTCCACTTTATAACTGCTTCCATCTGTCACAGATGTTGCTGGCCCCATTTTGACACTGTCTAGCTGTATGATCTGGAAGGTCACCTATACTCTTTGGACCTCCAGTTCCTCAAATAATAAGGGCTGACCTGAATGAATGAATTTTCTTTTGTCCTCTCCAGATCAAATATTTATTCTATCTCTGGAAACTCAGAAAAGTGAACACTAGGGACAGTGACTTTTTGGGGTCCTTCCCAAAAAGTATCTCACCCCAGACTCAAAACTCATGAGCAACCTATGAGCTCAACACTCAACTCTGCTTTCCTTCTGCCAGCTGCATGTGGACCTGCAGGACCAACAAGGAGTCTTCTCCCTGAAAGGGAGGCCAACCACCTCCTACATCTATATCACTGAGGAAAACAAACCAAATGAAAAAGGTAAGTGGAGGGCAGTGGATCTCAATAGCTAGTTTGTTGGGACTTCTTGGGGCCTAGTCGATGCCCACTCTCATCAGTAGTCGCCTCTAGCTAAAACTCCTTCCCATAAATGGGCTGCTTTCTCTTCAGCCAGGCTCTTTATAGATACACATTTCTTTAAACTGATTCTAAATTATATCTTCTTTCTTCTTGCAGCAGTAAAAGCTCACACAGCTTCCCTGGTTGTTTCTCCTGGAAACACAGCTGAATTTGATGTCTTTTTCCACTCCCAGAAAGTTGGGAGAGTGACAGGCATCATTCGCCTGTCAGTGATCGACAACCGGTATGAGGAGACCCTTATCCACCTGGTGGCAGAGGGCTACAAGGATGACATCACCTTGGACAACATCCACGGGCTGGTGGCTTCCTCCAGCCAAGAGGCCTCAAATATTTCTGATGTCATAGAGGTCACTGAGGAAGACACCATGGATGACTTGCTGGCAGGTGGGAGAAGTAGCAGTGAGGTCTTGACAACCACAGACTGTTGGGCCATTTTAAATGAGGAGGAAATTAAATAACAGCTTTAGCTTCCTGAGAATTCAGGAATGAATCTTCTGTTCCCCACTGTACGCTCCATCATGCCCAGCTTGGTCTCTGCCTCCATCCTCCCATTCATTCATGTTCAACCAGTGAACTTTTCCTGAGCATTAGTGCACATGTGCCAGGCACCACACTGAGCCCTAGAGTTGCAAAGTGTATTAAGAAAGTCTCTGTTTTTAGGGAGCTTCTAGGAGTATACTCATTGCAGTTCAGCTAATAAGTGGATTAATGCTTCCTTATAGTTTTCCCTGCCTGTCTTTGGTTGGCTATGTTAGCATTATCTATTTCATCTGAAACACAGACCCTGGCAGGCTTGTCTCATTAGTGAGGAGTCAGATGTGTGCCACCTCTAGAACATCATTCCCCACAGCTTCACTGCTCAGTGAGCATCTTGAGTGTGTGTACGATATCAGCATCACCTGGGATGTTGGAAATGGGAACTTCAGGCCCTCCCTGACCTACTAGATTAGCATCTGTATTTTAACCAGATCCCTAGGTGATCTGTGTATATGTTAAAGCCTAAGACATGCTGCTCTGCTGTCTCTCAACCATTGAAGCTTTGTTTAGCAACCCTATTCTTTGGAGTAGAAAACAAATTTATTTCATTGTTATTACCAAAAAGCATTTGTTAAGCACTCTAATTGTGTGGTTGGTTTCCATAAAGTGAGCTATGAGCACAGTCTCTAGGTTTTTCCAGGAGCTTAATTATAGTCCTGGAATGTACAATTAGGGTTGAAATCACTACTCCTTATGTATTTGATGTTTCACCTTTGTTTGAAGCTATATAGCAACATCTCTCTTGTATCAGGAATTAAAGAGGAGCCAATAGTGAACCCAAGTTCAGAAATCAAATTTCATACCTTTTATAGAATTGCCAGAATACAAGAGTCCCCAGTAGATTTAAATTTCAGATAAACTATAAATAATTTTTAAGCTAAGTGTGGCCCAAAGTTTGCATGGGACATGTTTATCTTTAAAATTATTCATTGTTTTTCTGTAATTCATATTGAACTGTATTTTATCTGTCAATCTAACCCTAATTATATTGTTCTAACCAAACAAATGAAGTTGGAGACCTATATTTTCTCTTGTACAGGTGAAACTGAGGGCCAAGGTAGGTGAAGGGATAAATGGATGCATGGATGGATGGGTACATGGATAGATGGATAGATGGCTGGGTGCGTGGTTGGATGCATGGATAGATGAATGGGTGGATGGATGCGTGGATAGATGGATAGATGGATAGATGCATGCATGCATGGACACATGGACAGATAAGTAAATTTCCCTGAGGGGAAAAAATCTTGCCACCCAGATACTCCAGGGTTTTCAAATAAAACCATGTATGGAAGGAAGAGTTTCATAAGAGTGAGGCACAATGTCTATCAGCTTCTGCCTCCTCAAGAAAGCAGGCCTTCCAAGGCAGCCATGGAGGATTCAACCACCCTTCTGCTTCTAACCCCCAGCTGCTCTCATCAACCACATCCAGTTTGGGGACTGCCACATCGGAAACAGCTATAGTGCAAGCTTCACAATTACAAATCACAGCCAAGTGAACGTGATACGGTTTGAATGGCCCCTTTTAGCTACCATTTATTTCTCCCCACAGGTAAGTGAAACCCTTTCACTATGTTCTGCACTCTCTTAGACCTAAGCCAACACCAGTTTGATTATCAACCCATTACCATGAGTGCTTGGAATGAAATGGCTGCATCTCAAGCTGGGAGACAGCTCAGGAAACATAGGCACTCAGACCTGGTACCAGAGGACACTGTTCATGCCCACCCAGGTCTAAGAGGGGAAGAGCAGCCTGCCAAGATATTTGCTAGGCTGAAGATGAGGAAATTTTGTTTTAGTTTATTTGCTATTTTATTTTAGTTTAGTACATGTGTTTAGTACATAATGTGTACACGCCCTGTGTGGAGTTGGTGCATGTACATAACACATCTCAGCTCCCGTTTTCATTCCTTATCCCTTCCCTCCTCCCCCGCCTCAATCTTTCAGTCCCCTTCCCCTTTGAGGATGATCTATCTTGCTGCTTCCTAGTATCTGTCTTTTATTTTCCTCTTTATTTTTGCTCTGGGTTTCTCATAGAAGAGAAGCTGTGTGATATTTAAGCTTGTGTGAGATGAGAAATTCTGAGGAGGCCTGAGTGGATGAATACAAATCCGGGCTTTGCTGTCCCAAAGCGTGGGCCTGGGTTTCCTGCATGTGTGTTCTTCAGAGCATTTTAGTCCTTCAAAAGTAGTTCACCAAAAGCTATGGTAAGGATGGTGTGTCCTGTGTACAACTGAGATTTAGAAAACGTTGCAAGTTACATCTTTCTTTTAAAGGTTCCCAGTTCTTTTCAACATATTAAAACATAGTTAACTTTGTTTTACTTGGAATTGTCTAACCTCTTCTTTTATCATCTTACCATGCACATTTTATGAATTGCTGACCAAAGCTCAACACTGAACAAGGCTCAGCATGATGTTTGTTTGTTTTTTAATTCTACTCTCTACCTTACTTATTTTTTTTCCTTCTGAATATTTTATTCTTTTTATGAATTTATTAGTTCACGTTTGTAGTACATTATGTTTACATTCCTTGTGAGGGGTTGGTACATGTACAAAACACATCTTAACTCATTTATTATCTATTTTCCCTTCCATCTCTCTCTCCCTTTCTCTCCATCTCCTGATCCCCTTCCCCTTTGAGAAAGATCTATCTCCCTATTTCCTATTATCTTTATTTTATTTTGCTTTTTATTTTTTTATTTTAGTTTTTTTTTGTATTAAATTCTTTTATTGGTACATTGTAACTACCTTACTTTTTTTAAGCAAAACATTTATTGATACATTTTAGATATACATGATGATAACATTCATCATAGGGAATTTGCACCTGTATTTTAAAAGATCTTTGCTTCTAGCCACCAGTTGTTGTTTGTAGACAGTTTATTTACGGTTCCCAGGACACTGGGACATTCAAACATATTTGCTACCTCCTGCTCTATTTACACCCAACCTCAAATAGAACTTTAGGAAGATGGAGCCAGGAAGATTAGCGACCCTACTTTGTCACCTTTAAACTCTTGAGTGCTATCACAAATAAGGTTTGTAGGGCTGGGGATTTAGCTCAGTGGTTCTGCCGCCTGCCTCACAAGCAGAAAGTCCTGAGTTCAATCCCCAATACCAAAAAAAAAAAAAGAAGAAGAAGGTTTGTTTTCCTGGATAGATAAGTTCACCTTAATCTTTCTGACAGATTCCAAGCCCAGCATGGTCCAAATCCAACCCTGAATAGTATTTACTATAAACTGAGTACATACAGTTTCAAGATTAATTCATTTAACCTTCCAAGGTAAATACTATGGTATCTACATTTGACCTGTGAGGAAGGAGACACAGTATGGTCTCAACATGCGGGTGTTGGGAATTACTAAGCTTTCTTCTGCCTTAACTTTCAAGAGGAGGGAGAATGTGGAGAATGTTTAATCTGTCAGAAACGTGATAGGTCTGTCGTGTATATGGACAGACGTGGGCATATGCATGTGTCTTTATTCACAATAAATCATAAATGATTTTATTCTGCAGTCCAAACTGGATTTCCCTTATGTCAGGTATACTTTATCATCCTCAAACTCTTTGGTCTCAGAACTCCTTTGCACACTTAAACATTTTTGAGAACCCCTAAAGAACTTTTATTATGTTGGTTATGTCTGTCAATGTTTGCCATATTAGAAATTAACACTCAGCATATTTTAAAACATGCATTTTTATTTTAAAATACAATAACCCACTACCTTTTAATGTAAATGCCATATTTTATTAAAATAGTGATATTTCAAAAAGTAAAGTGAGAAGGATGGCATTATTTTACATTTTAAATGTCTCTTTAATATCAGCTTAATAGAAGTCATCTGGATTCACACATCTGAGTTTGCATTCAATCTGGTGCAATATCTTAAGTAAACTGTAGAAAGCTCTATTGTACACTCATGAGAAAATGAGAGCGAAAAAGTCAAATAGTGTCTTTGTATTACAATGAAATAATTTTGACCTCATGGACCCTCTGCAAAGGTCTTGGGGACCCCAGAGGTCACTAGATCGTATTCTAGACCTGCTAGTACACTGCATTCATCCATCTATGTGTGTATGGACCACACTGATTAAGTATAAGGTGGTTGCAAGTGGCATTTGGACTCATACTGTCTGGATTTGCAACCAGATCTTCCAATATTAATGACCTCAAGCAGTTCACAAGTTTCATTGTCTGTCAAATGGGAGTCGTAGTTGTACCTCTAATAGGGGTGTTGTAGGGATTAGTAGAATCAGGCAAGTCTTAGAATAATGCCTGAAGCAAGTAACAATTTGATAATTATTGGTTGCACTTGCTCTTATGATTACATTTTTAAGAACCTCTTCTACATATTTAAGTTAATCTATCTATACAGGCTTGGATGATGCTTTTTTTTTTTTTTTTTGCCAAGACTTGTGGGTCTACCCCTTCCCTAGAATGTCACTATCAGGTATCAAGATTCCTTGAGATTGAATTCCCAAAAGTAGTAATAGCAAGCTCTTCCCTAGATGGGCCACCTCCACCCTGGCTGTGCTAAGGACATAGTGGTGACCATGAAGTCAGACACACCCATCAATCTGAAGAAGATGGGGGTCAAGTGTAAGCTCTCCAAGATCATGTTTCAGCTCCCTGCAGATCAGGTCCCTGACTGGGATGACCGCATGCACACAGTCAAGTGGGTGGATGTGCCCAGAAACACACCAGGAACCATCACTACAAAACGAAAGGTAAGTAGGGACATCAAGCACAAATCTGACCCAGCCTGCTATGCTTGGATGCCTCTGCTCTCAAGTTCAGTGTCTTATCATGTCCTTTCATGGGAAACAGAAAATGTCCCCATTCTTTTGACCTTGATTTTGAAAGAGACAGCTGAACTCCCTCACAAGCCCCTCTATCCTTACAACACATAACCACATGGACACTCATTTTTGTGGCTAGAGCTTTAGCTTAAGCTCTGAATAGACCAGAAATGACCTGGGCATATATAACATTTAGATATACACCAGCCCACTTTCTTCTTCTTCAGAAATTCCATCATGACTCTTTTAGTGGTCTTTTCCATCAGGTATCCAGAATTTGATTTGTCATAATCTTTGGTTCATGACAGAATCTCACCTTAGTCCACAAATTCCCCTCTTTTATTTATTCCTTTTGTTAGTTTCTTTTTAATAATATACTAAACGGAGACAAACACACATTTAACAAAGAAAGTACTTGTTAAACTCCACTACCTGTGTGGTTCAACCGAGTCTATCTCTCTTCCTCGTCCCGGAGGTAATGATTACCTTGAATCTTGGGTGGTTCATGCCTTTTGTTTTTTATTTTTGTTTCTTTCTTGATGCATTCTAAAATGCATATTGATTAGTTGTAGCTTTTAACTCAGTTTTTTAAAAAGCTTATTGCATCTGATCATCCATATTATTGCATGTGCTGTACTCTATCCATTTTATCCATTATTATTTATCTATCCCTCTTTGAAAATTATTTGGAGTTTTGCTATGAGGGACAGTTTCAATTAGTGTTAGTGGCATATGCTGTTCATGTCACATGGTGTTAATTTGTAAGAGTTTGTACAGTATTTCTAGAGGTGGAAATGTTCATCATAGGATATGTGAATGTTCAACTTTCCAAAATAATGCCCAGGTCTTTTCCAAAGTAGATGTACCAATTTATACTTTTCTCGTAAAGAGATCTTAGGATCCATATCCTCTCTGACACTTGGCATTGCCAGACATTTTTATTTGTGTCATTGAATGAGTGGGAAATTGTCTCATTATGGGCCTAACTTGCATTTCCCTAAATACTAGTAAGGTTAAGTATTTCTTCATCTAATTACTGGCCATGCAGGTTTCCTCTTACATGAGCACCTTTTCATGTCTTTTGCCTGCTTTTCAATTATGGTACTTACCCTTTAGATGAATTATTTTGTTTTTAATAAACTCTTCTGTTTGTATTATTTTTCTGCAAATATTCTCACCAAATTTATAGCCTAACTTGTGTTCTTTATCTTTTGATGAACAAAAGTGTTCTTAATTTTAATATAGTCAAATTTACCAGTATCATGTTTATTGCTTATTATGTCTTATTTTTAAAACCCTTTATTCCAAGAAAGATATTCACTTCCATTTTTTAAGTTTAAGAACTTTGCTTTTGGTATTTAAGCCCTTAGCCCACCTGGATTATATATATGATGTGAGGCAGGAATCTAATTCTATATTCTTCATCCAGATAACTAGTCTTACCAAATCCCTTATTTATCCTTCCTGTTTCTTCATTATCTTCTACACTTTGGTGGCATATATCCAAATTTTATAGATGCTTAAGTCATCTCTGGTCTCTCTACTCTGTTCCACTGTCAATTTTTCTATCCCTGTGCCCATTTTACACAGTTTAATTTCTGTAGCTTCATAATCAGCCATGACATTTGGAGGGAAACTCCTCCTCCATGAAGTTTTGTTCTGAAATATTTTGGTCATTGTTGGTCCTTTTATATATATCACGTGATTTAGATAGATAGAGATCCCCATATGGAAATTTGGTTGGAATTGGATTAGAGCTATAAATCAGTTTAGGAATAATTGACATTTCATATTAATTTGTCCTGACAATTTTATAATCTTATGTTGTCATTTCAATTAACAAAATATATCTATTTGCTAAGTCTTCTTTATTCAGTTTCTTTAGTAGTAATAGGGCTCTTAAGGTTTCTCTTTTTTTGTTTGTTTGTTTTACTTTAATAGTAATGGGATTTTGGCTTTTTATTTGTTCTTGCATTAATTTTATTATTTTTCTAGAATTTTTCCCTCTAAGTTTTTGTGTGGTTTTTTGTTTTTTGTTTTTTTGGGTTTTTTTGGTACCAGGAATTGAACTCAGGACCTTGCGCTTGCGAGGCAGGCACACCACCACTGAGCTACATCCTTGGCCTTCGCGTGTGTTTTTATGACATTATTTATAGTATTTTCTTATCTTCTTCTTAGATCTGTAGGGCTAGTAGTGATGTCCCTTTTTTATTTCTGATATTGGTTACTTGTATTTTTCTCTTCCACTCTTGATCAATCTTACAGAAGGGGTTTTTTTAATCTTTTCAAATAAATGATTTTATTAGCCCTCTCCATTTTTAGATTTTTTTTTCTTATTTCATTAATATTTGTTCCACTCTTCTCTATCTTCTTTGGAGCCCATCTAATCCCAAAACTCATGCTCATGAAGTCTTAATGCTCTCAGTAATTTCTTCTTACCCGATTTCTTCCTTTCTCATTCTGTGAGTCATTGTAGGTTGGCCTTAATAGTTTATTCTGGAACTTGAGTTTGTGGGTTAATTTGTGTGGGTAGAATAAAGTACTGGGTTATCCCCCATTACCCTAGTAAGGCAGCTGGCATGGCATGATGGGGGACATGGCTGTCTTTGTTACAGGTGATAGAGACAGATCCTGAGCCTGTCCACTCAATACTAGAAGAAAATTACCGAGAACTACGGATTCAGATCAGTGCCAATGTGGATTTTGCTTCATACCAGTGCCAAAAGAGTGACGTGTGCTTTAAGGAAACCCTGGTTTACCAGACTCGAGTGTTTGAGTGAGTTATCAAAAACCTCACAGCCCTAAAGAAGCTCTTTCATTTCCTCAATCACCCATTCATCAAATATTTATTCAGTACCTACAACAGCTTAGAAGCTGGTACAGCAGTCATCATATTTGAGTAGCATGCACTAGAATGTCATTTAAGGTCCAATAAAACATTCAGATCCACAAAGCTATTGAAGTTCACATTTGAAATCAAGATATAGGCCAGGAAGCAGTTAGCCAAGAAGGTGGCATCAGGTGATCTTCCATGGAAATAGTGTTTGCATTTTTCTACACATCCACCCAGGTACTGTTCTTATTAGCTCCCCCATATGACAGCTCAGACATTATCCACCTTAGTGAGGATGGGGTCCGTCCTATCTGAGAAACTCCATACCCAACAGAACCCATCATTTCTCATAACTTCTCCAGAGACCTTCCAAGATCCCTGCAGAGAACATGGCCAGTTCTACACTCAGAGAGCCCCAAAGCAATGACTTTTCTTCAGGTGATCATGGTTCTTTCCAGTCCACACATGACTTACCAATTCAAGGTCATTTTTACTATAAACAATATTGCCTAATAATACAGCTGGTCTTTCTCCTTTATTGAGTTTCCTGGGAAACAGAGCTTGAAAGGTAATTCAGAGTTTGTCCTCAAGAAGGAGAGGAGGCTTATCCATATTCCAGTGCAGGAAACCCAGGATGCCCTGTAAGAGCTCCTAGTCTGGAGGTGAGCTGAGGGAATCAGTAGGAATAGGTGAATTGTTGGTTGTAGCACAGCTCCATGTGCATGAAAAAGAGTTTTTAAAAACTAAAGATGAAGATTTGGGAGAGATAGAGGGCCAGAGAATATGTGCCAGACAAGGTGGTCCCCAGTTGAATGTTGAAGGGCAGATGAAGAAGTGGAAATAAAAGCCCTGCTGGGCAGAGAAGAAAGTCAAAAACCTAAAACAAAGACTCTTCTGCTTTGTAGAAATGAGTTATTGTCTCATTCAACTCACTATGCCCTTGTTGTATTTTAAATGTCCTCTCAAACTGTTATAAGACCAAAAGCTGTGAGGCAGGAAGGGTGATCTTCTGCTAATGGCCATTTCATCTGAAGCAGGGGTTGGCTGAGAGCCAGTTTTTTGTAAATAAAGTTTTGCTGGCACACAACCATGCCCCTTCTTTTATGTATTGTCTATGGTTGCTTTTGCATTGCAAAGCAGAATTGAATAGTTGCTACAGAACTCAAAGCACTTGATTTCAGGCATACCTGCATGGCTTACCTGGATTGGATCATGGAAACCTAAGCTCTATGCTCCACCCTCTACCTACTCCTCATTTGTTGGGGTTTTTTTGTTTGTTTGTTTTTTTGGTACCGGAGATCGAACTTAGGACCTTGCACTTGCCAGGCAGGTGCCAGAACCACTGAGCTAAATCCCCGGCCCCACCTACTCCTCATTTGAATTCCCAATTTTAAGGGTGGGGACTTAGCTCAGTGGTAGAGTACTTGTCTAGCATGAGCAAGACCCTGGATTCCCTCCCCAGCACCACAAATATAAACAAAAAATCAAACTCCCTACTCTTACAACTCCCCTGAAACCAGAAAGGGCATGTGTGTGTGTTATTTCTCTGATATCATCATTTCTTGCATCAAAACCTTATCTTTCTGCTGCTACTGTGATTCAATGTAATAGTAAATCCAGAAAAATCTTTTGTCTCTCTTATTTGTCTTATAGCAGAGAAACTTGAGGCAAGAAAAAACTCTGCTGTTTAAGAATTTGCATTCAAAACAACTGAAATCCTAGTCTCAGGGTCAGGAAAGGTGTGACAAGCAGGGGTCAAATGGCTCCTCCTCATGGGGACATTGTTTCTGGTGGAAGATGACTCAGGAAGGGAGGGGCTATATAATTTATGCTCTTGAGGGAGTTATTATCATGTTAAATAGATTTTGTTTCCTCTCTTCTGAGGATTTTTCAGGATTATTGTGATTTGATACAGGCCAAGAGTTCGTTGCATAAGGTCTTGGTAGTATTCAAAATGATTTTAAGGGCTGAATAGCTTGCATGTTTTTATTTTTATTTTTATTTTATGTGTTTTAGAAAAAGATATAACTGATATATCAAATTCATGAGTTCAGAAAATTTGCTTAAAACTTGCCTGTTAAAAATAGTTTTAATTTTTATCTTTTTCTTTTCAGTTAACAGTACTGTAACTGTAATAATGATAATTATAAGAACAGTACATATTTAGGAGGTTTGATGTGATATTTAATACATGCATGCAATGTATCATGATTGACTTGAGATAACTAGCATTTCCATCCTTTTACCCTTCTTTGTGCATGAAGCCTTCAAACTCCTCTCTTCTAGTTCTTCATAAAGAATATAGATTATTGCAAACTGTGGTCATCCTACTGGGCTGTAGTGCACTAGAACTTACTCTTCCTGTCTGAGTGTATTTTGTTATCCAGCCTCTTTCTATCTGCCTCCCCACGCCACCATTCTCACCCTCTAGTAATCACTGTTCTACTCTGCTCTACTTTGAAATTAATTTTTTAACTTCCACATATGAAAAAGAACACATGGTATTTGTATTTCTGGCTTATATCATTTATGTGCTCTGATTCTGTCCATTTTGTGGCAAATGAAAGGATTATAGAGAATAGCATAGAGGTTCTCCCAAAAAATAAAAATAGTTCTACTGTATTATCCAGCTATCCTACCTCTGATTACATATCCAAAAGGAATTAAATCAGCATATCAAAGAGACATCTGTGTTCCCTTGTTTTTCATGTAGAATTCACAATAGCCAATATATGGAAACAACCTAGGTATTTACTGGCAAATGAATTGATAAAGAAAATGTGGCTTATATTCATAGTGGCATATTAATCAGCAATAAATAAACTAAGAAATCAATTGACTTGACTTTAAGAAACACTATAGATGATATGGAGGCAGGATAAAAATCACCTATGGCACATTCCTGAAATCTTTTCCTGATCAATTTTCAGGTTTGACCTGGTTAATTCTGGACATGTACAGCTAAAATTCAACTGGGTCTCAGATGATGCTACAAAGGCAGTCAGCTTTGCCAAGCCAGAAAACCAAGGTAAATGCAATGCCAGGTAAAACCCAGGGTCTGACCTGACTCATCTGTTAGTAAAAAAAAAAAAAAAAAGCCTTGGTAATAGGAAGAATGGCACTTCTCAGATGGCCTCCTACATAGCTAAGGAAAAGCATAGCAAAGGTTCCCTGGTGTCTTCAGAGCTAAATGGACCTGAGAAACTGAAGAGTTGGACCTCTGCCTTCCTGAATCCTGGACCCTAACCCCCCACCCCAGTAGGCCAATTTCCCATCTCATCAACCACTAGGGATATTTTTATTTTAGTTCTTAATTTTCTGAGAAATCACAGACCACTTGGAAAAACTGTTGAAAGTTATGAACCATTTTCCCAAGAAAATACACACCTACACCCAAGTTTGTAGCTGATACATGTAACACACTAAAAAAGGGCCCAAACCTTAGGGAGAAAATACAGTATTTATTATTATTGCACTGTTAGAGTTCCACGAACCTTTCTAATGGGCCTATATCTATGGCCACCCAGATTGTAAACTGCTACTTTGGAACAATAATTCTTCAAGAAACTATGTTCACAGCTTATTATTCTAGGGCAGAAGATCCACATATACACCTCCTTGACAGAATTCCTTGAGCTAACAGAAAACAATATGGAATTAATAGAAATATTTTTCACAAGTCACCTGTGAGACTTAAGAGCTGATTCCTTACCTCTAATGCCCAAGGTTAAGTGTATCTGCTACAGAGCTGAGGCCACAGAGGGTACTGAGGGGCTTATAAGTGAGCTGCCTTCCACCTCCCTTCACTGCAACTACAGGCTTTCACGTGCTCTGTCTCCTCCCTTCCTAGGTTTCCCCCAAAAAGAGCAACTTAGTCAGGTCACGATCAGCACCCTGGACAGCGCCGTGGAACACTGGACTGAGGGTTCCTTATCACCCTTCTCTGTGGAGCCCTCTTCCGGCATCGTGCCTGTGGGGAAGACTCAGAAGCTCAAAGTGAAATTCTCCCCACTGGACACTGGAGACTTTGAGAGCAATCTTTTCTGCCAGTAAGGAAATATGCTTTCCAGAACCTCCATCTTTGCAAGCTCTTATCCCCTCTTCCATTCCACCACTGCCACCATTCTTTTCAGCCCTAGACCCCTCCATAGCCCCACACTGCCATTTTTCCTTTTGGAGAGATTGAAAGAGAACTACCTTTGGAGAACAAGAGAATTGGGTCTCGGTTCTCCTCATCAACCCTCTCCAGATGCTCCTCCTGCCCCCTTCCCCTTTTCTAGCTACATACAGGATTCCACTGAGGAACAGAATGGCTGACAGCTAAGTGGCATCCAGTCCTTGGACAAGCATGAGTTTGAGCAAGCTTCCTTGTATCCTTTCTGAGACTCAGTTTCTCCACATGTAAAATGTAAATACCCATCTTGTAGAATTGTCAAAAAGATTAAATGAGTTAATTTAAACAGAGAGCTTAGAACAGTGCCTGGCACAAAATAACCACTAGATGCTGGGAAGGGCTGTAGAGTTGGTGGACCTGGTGATAGTAGGTGAGGAATTCACAGTGCCCAGACCCAGTGAGAGAAAAACTAATTCAACACATCTGACAATGAAGCTCCCTGATGTGCTATCCACTTCCAGGAAAGCTCCAAGGAGAACACCCACCTTACAGAGAAATTCTTGAGCCATAACCTAGGGTAGCAGAGACATATATGAACTCTCAGAGCTTCCCAGACCCCTGCAGTTACACTACAGAGACAGTTACACTATAGAGAGCTTGGTCCTGGGGCTGAGAGTCTGTTCACATCTGTTCACCTTTTTAAGGTGCTCAGAATGCCTTTTAGGATTTCCAGGTCCCTTTGTACCCCCCCTACTAAATGTGTATGAGGGGGCCCAGACGGTAAGACTGCGCATGTTTTACGTCAGGAAGATGGATGTCTCACCACTAATGAAGAAAGTAATTTGCTGCCATACTAAATTCATGCTTCCATACTCAGCCCATTCATCCATTGAACAATTAATAAATGCTTACTGTGTGTCATGTACTGGTTAAGACACTGAGGTGATGATGTTGACCAAGACAATCCAACCCGCTGCACCTGTAGAGCTCACATTCTGATGGATATAAAATTCATTTCCAACCACCCAAGAAAGTAACACTGGTTACAAAATAAAACAAATAATAACCACCTTATCCTCTTAGGATTCCCAACCTACCACCTGGACAGCAAGGTCCTGTCCTGGTAGCAAAAGGGCGGAGCTCCTTGCCCATCTGCCATTTTGACCTGAATGACTCAGACTACATCCGTGAGCATCGGCGCAACCAAGAGCTCCGAGCATCTGGCACAGGGCCTCTGGATCCAAACACCAGGGTGATTGAGTTCAACACTGTGGGCATAGGAGAAAAGAATCTCCAGTGAGTTACATCAGTTTTGCATTAGTTGAATTCATATCAGTCACTCCTTTAGAACTCAGTGGAAGAATTCAGAGAAGCAAGCTAAACTAATTCTCAAAAGCAGACTTGATATCCTGAGAGTTGACCTGAGTGAGAGATGACTATAGAGAACTGTTACATGAATGAAACTGAATTTGGTGATCTTAGTTCTGATAGTGGATAAAATTTGGTATATACAAAAGTTTAATTCCTGACCACCACCTGACTATCACCTCAGCCATACTTTGGACCCCCAAATGAGATGAAGTTTTCATTTTTACAGTAACAAAGTGCTCAGAACAGCTCTGGTTCCCAGTAGGAGACTCTGCTAGGATCGGGTTCTAGGAAAGTTCTCTTATCACATCTCCATTGTCAACTCTTCCCCTTTGTCCAGGACTTTTACAATCCTGAACCCAACCAATAGGAGCTACTCCTTCTGCTGGATCTCTGAAGAAAGTGAAAGTCTCCAGAACCCTCCAGCCTTTGCATGCCTTACAGAGAAGGGCTCCATCCACCCTGAAAAGAAAGCTGAGGTATGTGTGCATGGGGTCTCCTTGAACCAATGCTTGGGTCGTTCTATCCATCTCCGCCTAGCAAGTGCGCACAGAAAGCAGATGGTGTTAGGGAGGGCTGCCTATGGATATATCAGTGAACAAGTATATATTGAGAGGCTGCCATGCATAATGAACAGTACTCATAACTAGACAGACCCAAGCTGTCTTGGCCGGCTATGGAGAAAGAGAGGGCTCTACTATTTGCAGTTTTTTTAAATTGAGACTATTCAACTAGCAAAGGAGAACCAGACAAAAATGCCTGGTGCCTCTGGGGCTGATACAGTAACAGGAAGCAAGGAGTTATCTTTGTCCAAGGGGCTAGCAAAAGAGAAAGGACAATGACGGGTTTTTACTTGGCCAAAACAAAGGGCAAAACAGAAAAATTCAGTCGTGTCCTGTGGCTTATTCCTCAGTGCTTCCTTCCACAGGGATACTGGGCCGGGGGTCAGACTTCAATATGAACTTGGTAGCCAAATTAAATCTGTAGGCTTCATGAACAATAAGTTCTTCAGAGAGCTTTAAGGGCATAAATAAACCCATGAAACAAAAATTGTGAATTCAGAAGCCTTCAGGAAAGTCACCCAAATGAACAAAGCAGGCCAAGAGGACAATGATAGAGAATGTTGGATGCCAAGACTTCTGGCCCCAGCTCCTCTCTGGCAGTGATCACCACACAAACAAGTTAGCCCAGGCTGACCTAGTCTCCCAAACTTTTCTGAAGAGGCCAAAATTCTACAATCCTATGTGAATCTCCCTACTCTACATGTTGGTAGCTAGTTAAATATTTTTCATACTTCCTGAAAGAAATGAAACATATCTATAAACTCTCTCTCGTTTTTATTTCTGCATCTTGTCAGTGCCTTGGCCATATAATTCAGCATGCTGGGATCCAGGAGCTGGGACCACTGTGGTCATGGTCCTACTTGGATGTGGCCCCACTACAGCCCTGAAATGTGTCAAAGACGATGCCCAGGCCCTGGAGAGGCAAATGCAGAATTCCATCATCCAGGATCATGCTGATCCTTGGATGACAGTAGTGTTGTTGAAGTGACACATCTCCAGAATGCTTCCCTACATCATCCTAGAATTGGCATGGACCGTGCATGTCACCCTATCTGGTTGCTTTTTAGACAAATTCAATTGTTCTTACATTCAGTCCTGATTGATCAACTGCAAAGAGACTCAATTTAGCTCAAAGAGAAAAAGGACCTGGGGCAGCTATTGAGACTGGACTCCTTCTAGGTTTTTCTGCATCTATTTATGTTTCATTTCCTTTTAACTTGACTTAGCAAATGGGTTATGGCATGCCATGGCCCAGCTCACCCTCATGGCATCTTTTACGGTCAGCCTCACTTCCAGCTAGCCTACTCACTTGATTTTAATTCTGAACTTCCCAGAAAGAAATCTGGCTACTGAGTTGAGCTGTGTACCAAGCTACAGACAAGCAATTGGATCATCTTTCTTTGGGACCGGTGCCAACTCTCCAGTCCAGTCCAGTCCAGTCTATTGTGGTACAACCACACCATCCAAAAACAGAGCACAGAATATGACAGCTTAACCAACAGAGGCTGTGTGGGGGATAGACTCCCTTAAAAAAAACATGTGGGCAGAGCAAACACATTGACATTGCTGGCACGGTCATACCTACATTCCCTTACAGAGCCTGTGGGAAGGTGGCAACACCCAGGGGGATGTCCACTATTATGACCCTAGTGGTGACAGTCTCCAGGGGCACAAGGATAAGTAAGCAGGAATGTCTCTCACCACTCTGTTCCAAATTGTCTTCTCAGATGGTGTTCCAGTTCTTGCCCTCCCATCTGGACATCACAGAAGCCTTATGGACTTTCTTAATCCCTGAACACAATATCTCAGTCCCCTTCCTGCTGGTGGGTAGAACCACTGACCCTCTCCTCTCTCTGGACAAGTCACACCTCAACTTCAGTTCTCTCCTCATTGGTAAGGCTTCCCTGTTGGTTTATATTTAGAGTTGGCTTGATCTGGGTGAGATCAGCAAAAGCTCTGGGAGCAGACTTGGGTGGAGAACTTTGCCTGGTGCCTTCCAAAAGCATGTCAGAGGGCCTCTATCACTTTTCAGAAAACCATAAAGTATTTACCTCTCAATCTACTTTCCATCAACTATCTTCTAAAGCCATACATTGAAAACCTAAAGAAATTTAGAAGGCCTTTTAAAGAGCCTACAGGAAGTCTCCTTTAGTGCCTGCATTGACTTTCTTGATTTGTAGAGCCTGTCAACACCACCCTTCTTGCACGCCCAAGATCGTGATCTGTATTTGTTTACTTCTCACTGTGTGTCACAGTGGTCAGATTTCTCTACCGTCGTTTTATGGTTTCAACAAATATTATTAAGCTACAGGTCTAGCCCAAGCATTATTCCACGCATTGGGAATGCACTAAGATAAAGCACAAAATCAGCTGGGCCTGATGGCACACACCTGTAACCCCAGCACTTGGGAGACTGAGGCAGGAAGATTGCAAGTTTGAGACCAGCATAAGCTCCATAGCAAGTTCAAGGCCAGCCTGGACTATGTAACTAAACCCTGTCTCAAAACAAACAGAAAACAAACAAAACCACAAAGCCTCATGATGTTTACATTCTAGTAAGAGGAAATAAGCTACCAAAAAGTAAAATATATAGTATGTCAAATGTTGATAAATGCTCTAGAGAAAAATACAGCAGGGTAGGGAGAATAAGGAATGCATTAGGCAGTAGGAAAGTGGCATTTGAACAGCGACCTGGGGCATATAAAGGAAGCGATTTTCAGGTTCCTTATAACCCTATGCATCTTTCACACTGAGAAAGGGTGTGTGTGTGTGTGTGTGTGTGTGTGTGTGTGTAAAATACAAGAAAAGCTAGAGGATTTTCAAATTATTTATTATATTTTTTAATTTATAAAATAACAACTTATAGTCAATCAAGAAACTGATTATAAGAAAAATTTTATCTGTCACTATCCATCCTTTCATCCTTCTCTTTCCATCAAAGAAAACCAAAGTTAAAAGCTGGGTGTGTATTCAGTGTGTATCATTTGAAAATCTTTCTTATACTGATGCACATGGGGAGGTCATTTATTAAGGTTTTGAACAAATAAATGAGATGTATAGCATAAGAATAATAACAGCAAAGCAAAGAGTTTAATACAGGAATGCAAGGGTGTGCATTTCAATATAGTCATTGCATCAAAAGATTAAAGAACAGCCACATGAAAATATTAACATACTAAAAGGGCATTGCTAAAATTCAGCAGATATTCCAAAAAAAACCCCTCTAATAGTAAAACAGGAATTGATGAAAAAATATCTAAGGAAGATTAATCAAAATCAAGGTAAATATCCTATTAAAAAACCACTAAGCTGGACCAGGGATTTAGCTCACTGGTTTCGTCGCCTGCTGCACAAGCGCACGGACCTGGGTTCGATCCCCGGTACCAAAAAAAAAAACCACTAAGCTACCCCAATTAAAATGAGGAATTAGGCAAGGATAGTTTTCATCACCATTATTATTGGACACTTTCTTAAGAGATCACAGAGAATCTGATAACACAAAAAAATTAAGTAACTGGCATAAACATGAGAGAAAGACAAAATTATTTTATTTTGCTGTTGCTGTTGATTTTACATACATAAAAACCTCAAAGGACTCAAGAGAAAAACAAACTCCTGGGATAAAGATAATTTGGTAATGCAAGACAAATATTTTAAAAACAAGAATTTCTTCCCTTTTAATAATAAAAGCACTTAGGGCCGGGGATTTAGCTCAGTGGCACCACGCCCGCCTTGCAAGTGCAAGGTCATGAGTTCAATCCCCAGTACCAAAAAATATATATATATAAAATAATAATAATAAAAGCACTTAGATCTGGGTGTGGTGGCACATGCGTGTAATCCCAGCACTCCCACACAGGAAGATTCCCAAGAGTTTGACGCCAGCCTGGGCTACATAGTGAGAAGCAAGAAGCAAGAAGCAAGACCCTGTCTCAAAAAACAAACAAAAAGCATGTAGAAACAGAAACAAAAAACTTCCAATTTAATTCTGACTAAACATACAGTATCTAAGGATAAATGCAAAAACAAATTCTCTATATAAGGAAAATTATTAAATCATATTAAAATTATCTCCAAACATGCTCTGAACATTTACCAGCTCTCCTAAAATTAAATGCAAAGTTAATCACATACCAATTAGAACCTCAGATAGGGTTGCCAGATAAATATAGGATGCTGAATTAAATTTTAACTTCAGATAACAGTAAGTAATGTTCTACTATAAATATGTTCCATGCAACATTTGGGACATGCTAATACTTAAAAACTTGCTCAATCTAACAGCTCTAATCCCAAAAGGACTGAGGAGAGAAGATAATTGGATAAAAGGATCCTAATATTTATGTGGGAAAATACATATTCTGCAATAGCCACAGGAAACAACTTAACGAAAGGAGATATATTAGTTAATGATCTCAGCAGGAAACTCATGGCATACTCAAAGTCTAATTCAAAAGAATTTAATGCAGGGATTATTTACAGAGATATGGGCAATTAAGGGATAAACCAGGGAAGGTAAAGCCCCTATTAACAGATTCAGGAAATCATTACAACTCCTGGGTCTGAAAGAGCAAGGGAAGAAAACAGTGCCACCAGTATCCCAGGAGAACTGTGACCAGGCCAGAGCAGCCACCCAACAGGAGATGGGAATTGATGAAGTGAAGTTCTAGAAGGAAGAGGAGGACCCTGAATGGAGGAGGGTCATTTAAAGAGCAAAGGGAAAGAGAAAAGTAGACTGAGGTGTTGGGTCAAGGAGGACAAAGAAGTGGGGGATGTCTTTTAAGAAGGCTTCCTCTTGTCTGTAGAGCAGTATCTGCTGAGGGACTTCACCATGCAGGCGGGAGGCTTCCACTGAGACTGGGCATTTCCTCTCCAGGCAGAGAAGCCAGGGAGACTGTGCAGATCATCAACAAGGAGGAGCAGGGCTTCAATTTTGCCTTCCAGGACAACTCTCGTTATTCTGAAGGTTTCAGCAGCAACTTGGTCGTGTGCCCCATGGAAGGCTGTATCCCACCACAGTCCAGGTAAAGAAAAATGAAGACCTCTGGGAGCACCCTCCCAGCATGATGGGACCCAGGCCAGCCATCCAGGAGAAGCTGCCGGGGTGCCCCACTTAGAAAATCTCTTCCAAATCTAAGAATTATATAGTAACCATCCCATGCCTGTCCTACTTACTTCCTGACGTTCATTTTATGAATTATGGTGACCGAGAATTTTAAAGTCCTTGTTCTCAATATTTTCTCTCATGTTTGTAGTCATTTCCTTGCTGTCTGCTATATGTGTGAATTCACCGAGCAGTGCCTATCCTTGTCTGGCAAATCTTAAAAACTGATCATAATTTGGAATGCCTTTTTTGATGCCTTTGGCTCAAAATATACCTGCTAGTCCAGTGGGCTGACATTTTTAGCAGATTTTAAGGGTTGGCTTAGTTACCTAATCTGCTGTCTTATTCCCCAACCAGGTTCCCTATTGATATTTTCTTCACACCAAAGCAGGAAGGAGATGTGAACTTTAATTTGATCTGCAATGTGAAAAGGAAAGCCCACCCCCTGACCCTAAACGTCAAGGCTGAGGGCTATTCCATGAATGCAGAGGTCAAGTGCAAGGACAGGACTGGCTCCATCACTCTCTTGACACCCAACCAGACCAACATCATCAACTTCTATGAGGTAAATGTATAAGAGGACCTTGCTATCTCTCTCGGTCTCCATGCTTAACTGAGGAGGTGGCATAAGTGAATGTGGGCTGAGCTTTCCACCTCACAAACCAGAAAGACCAGAAGAATAGAACCATGCCAGGAATAGTTCCATCCCCCAAAATGTAGATAATTTGCATGCTTTCTCACTTTATGTTCCAGGGGATGGAGATGATGGAGAGAGGCAAAAATTCTTGTACCAAACATACAGAAAGGATACTTGACTACCAATAGGCAATAGAGGTCTAAGAATTCAATTGCCAACTTATACTTGAGATAGAACCCCAACATTTAGTAGCTCTTGCTGGAATATCTGACATTAAGCCAATAACATGCAGTTCACCAACCTCATCTGCCATCTTTATTTCCCAAAGGATTTTTTTTTCCCCCAGAGAAGGGAACTATGTTTTGCATTCATTGCTCTGTTCTCTCTCCCAGGTGGAGTTAAATGAATCTGTCCAGTGTGAATTCAGCTTTATAAACACTGGAAAGTTCAACTTCAATTTCCAGGCAGAACTTTCTGGGCCCAAAGCCCTGTTACAGTACTTGGAATTTTCGCCCATTGACAGCACAGTGGATGCAGGACAGAGTGAACAGGCCACTCTGTCTTTCCAGCCATTTCGGAAGAGCGTCTTGAAAGGCGTGGAACTCAGAATCAAGGTGAGACTGTTTAACATTATCCAAATGCTGAAAGCACTCACAGCAGGCTGCCCTGATGAGTTGATTCTCTAGTGTGTTCTATTTTCACAACCTGTCTAGAACCTCATGCAGGGTGCTTGTGTTGAAGACAGCCCCACAATCTCTAACACAAAGGCCTCATCCATGGTTGAGGTGCCTGGTGAGTAAGTACCAATTGAAAAACAGTTGGCTATCCATGCACCAGAATACTATTGAGATGTTAAAATAAATGGGAGGTGGCAGAGAGAGAACATATATAATTTCCAAGATATGTTCTTGAATGAAAAACTAATAATGAGGACATCTGTAGGAATGGCAAATAAGGAACTCTGAAAAGCTGTTCTTCAGTAGCAGTAAGAACACTGGCAAAAATTATCAAAATCTACTTTTTGCAGAACTCTGAAATTAACCAAACCCTGCAACAATCCAAAGGGCTTTTATTCAAGAAAAATTGCCAAATATCCATAGAGACTGAGTTTTGCAGTATCTTAATTTCTCCTTTTCCCAGCCCATTTCCCCAGGTCTGCAATAGCCTTGAAAACCAACAGCTCTGCAATTCAAGTGCAACAAGCCACCTATCAGTCACCACAGAGAACAAAGCCTGTTTTGAACTCTTCAAAAGCCCCACTATAAAATAACTGACATTGTTTGCCCAGTCTAGAAGTTCAGTGGAAACCTCGACTCCCCGCAGGCTCACTCAACAGGGCTTGCTTTTATTTGACCTGACTTAAGAGCTTGTTCAGTGTGAACAGCCTTTTCCCATGGGGCATTTGTCAGAAACAGTCAATAGCAATTGTTTCAGATGGCAGCTGCCTGAGGTGGCAGTAACCCTTGGAGTACGTAAGAAGCTGACCCCAAAATGCAAAAGAAAAGATGGGAGAATGAGATGATCATTGATCACATGAAAATTTCTAACGTGTTCCCTGGAGTGTAGACAGTCATACATTGCTCGTGTAGCACATGTGTGTATCTTAGGGGTACACAAGGCCTCTTACTGTAAATAAGTGTCTTACTGTAAATAAAGCCTGTAGGTTCTGTGAAAGCAAAGAGTGAAAAATAAAGCAGAGTTGGCAGCTGCCTATCTGGTTATCATGCCCCACCACACACACACAGAGCCCCTTGGTAAAAAATCCTGAGAGACCATTGGTTCCAGACATTTAAGGACATCTCTATTCAACCATTAGTTTATCATTAAACTAACTGAGCAGTGGTCATGTATAAATAAGAATACAGTAGTCCACTTATTTGCAGTTCTGATTTTTATGATTTCTGCTACTCGTAGTATTATGGTTTAGATCAAGAATGTCCCCCAAAGGCCTCATGTGCTCATAGTGAGAAATTTTGGAAGATGAGTGAATAACGGGGATGCTATAGCTGACTTGCTGTTGGGTGGTAGGGCCTGGTCAGAGGAGACAGGTCACTGAGGTCATGACCAGAGAGGGTGTGTCTCCCTCCTCAGCTCCTCCCTTCTCTCTGATCCCTGGCTGCCATGATGTGAGGAGCTTTCCACTGCCCAGGTCCTTCTGTCATGCTGTTTCTGTGTTTCAGCCTGCCAAACATGGACTGAAACTTCTGAACTGTGAGCCAAAATAAACTTCCTTTCCTTTAAGTTGCAGGTGTTGGATTTTTTCTTTTTTTTTTTGGTACTGGGGATCGAACTCGGTACCTTGGGCTTGTGAGGTAGGTGGCGGAACCACTGAGTTAAATCTCCGGCCCTAGGTGCTGGATATTTTGTCTCAGTGACAAGAAAGTGACTAAGACACTTGATCAAGCACAGTTTGAAAATACTAAATGGAAAATTCCAGAAATAATTTATCAGTTTTAAATTATGTACTGTTCTGAGTATTGTGATGAAATCCCATGCTGTCTCACTTCACCTTGCCTCAGACATGAATCATCCCTTTGTCTGGCATGTGCACACTGTGTATACTACTCACCCATTAGTAATTTAGTAGCTGTCTCAGTTATCAGATCAATTGTTGAGATAATGCAGTACTTCTTTTCAAGTATCCCTTATTTTACTTAATAATGACCCCAAAGCACAATAGTTATACTGTCAATTCAGATATGCAAAGGAAAAACTATAAAGTACTTTCTATAAGCATCATCTCACATATATCACAAGAAGATAGAGTGATTACAGTACAAAAAGATATTTTGAAAGAAAGAGCAATCACTTTCAAATAATGTTTATTATAATGTATTTTTCTAATCATTCTATTTTATTACTGTTGTTGTATCTTATTTTGCCTGACTTATAAGATAAATATTATTGTAGGTATGTATATATAAGGACAAAACAGCATACATGAGATTCAGTACTGTCTGTGGTTTCGGGCACACCCCACCATTCTGGCAATGTTTCATTTGCAGATAAGGGGAACTACTGTAAAGATTTTGCTGGAAAAGTTACAAAACAAAAAGTAACAACAGCAACAAACCCAGGGTTGGGCTTTGTAAGATCTGATTTCCAAAATTACCACATTATATTTTTTTATGTCTGCAATTTCCAACAAAAAAAAAAATATGAGACACGAAAAAAAAAGAGAGTGTGATTCATAGACAGAAAATAGCAATCAAGAGAAACTTTTCCTAAGAAAGCCCATATGTTGGTGTTATAAGACAAATACCTCAAGTCAGCTATTTAAAATATGTTGGGGGACAGGGAATTTAGCTCAGTGGTTCTGCCACCTGCCTCACAAGCGCAAGGTCCTGAGTTCGATCCCCGGTACCCAAAAACAAAAAAAATATGTTGAGGTTGGGCTACAGCACAGTGGTAGATTGCATGCTTAGCATGCATAAGACCCTGCATTCAAACTTCAGCATCAAAAATAAACAAAGGACTGTAGGAAACCATGTCTGAATAACTAAAGGAGAATATGAGAACAGTGTCTCACCAGGTAGAGAATATCAAAGAGAAATTATAAGACCATACATTCTGCAGTTGAACAGTACAGAGCAGAAGTTAAAAAATCACAAGGGGGGCTCAACAGCAGATTTAATGTGGCAAAAGGAAGAATAAGCAAATTTGATGTTGAAGCAATGAGATTATCCAGTCTGAATAATAGAAGAAAAATGAATAGAGCCTCATAAACCAACAGGACACCATCAATCATGCCAACAGACATAATGGAAGTCCCAGCAGGAGAGAAAATGATAGAAAGAATGTTTCAAGAAATACCCAAACCTTCCTAGATTTGATGGGGAAAGCAATGAAACATCCAGAAATCTCATTACATTCCAAGTAGGATAAATTCAAAAAGACCCATTCCTAGACACGTGATAAGCTAACTATGGAAGACAAAGGCAGATAATCTTGAAAGCAGCAGGATTAACAGCTGATTCTCATTGTACACCTTGGTGACCTGCAGACAATAGAATGACATATTCAAAATGCAAAAAGACAAAACCTGTCAACAAAAATTTCATATCCAGCAAAACTATCCAACAAAAATGGAGAAACCAAAACATTCTTGGATAAAAGCAGAAGAAGTTATCACTAGAACACTTGGCCACAAAAAAATAATAAAGGAGCCAGACATGGTGATGCAACACCTGTTGTCCCAGAATTCTGGAAAGCTGAGGAAGGAAGACCCCAAGTTCAAGCCCTGGATAACTTTGCAACTTAGCAAGACCTTGACTCAAAATAAAAAATTTTAAAAGGGGTATGGATGTATCTCAGTTTAAAGGCTCTGGGTTCAATCCACAGTACTGCAAAAATAAAGAATGATGGAATGAATGAATGAATAAAATAATGAAGGTAATCCTTCAGATTGAAATGAAAGTACACAAGAGAGTAACACAAATACACATGAAGAAATAAAGAGCACCAGTAAAGGTAATTTCACAGGTTATATACAAAACAGCATAAATGAATTTTTTGTTTGTAAATTTTTTTCTATCTGGTTTAAAAGACAACTACATACTCAGTAAATATAATTTGTTTGTGGGCACTAAATAAAGATGCATTTGTATAATAATAATAATAATAATAATAGCACAAACAAAGGGAAAGGAAAAGAGCTATATAGGAGCCAAGTTTTTCATATATTGAAATTAAGTTTGTATTTATCCATACTAGATTGTTATAAATTTAGATGTTAATAGTCATCCTCAGAGTAGAGAAGAAAACTGCAGAGTGGTGACCATTAGAAAAATTCAGCCTGTCCAAGATCTGGAATCTAAACATTGGAAAATAACATTTGGTGGGGGAACAAAGAGAAATAGGTTTCCAGAAATCAAGAAGGAATGGATGAGAAAATTAGAAGCCACAGAGAAGGTGGAAAGATGGACCACAGCACAGAAAAAAGAACAAAACAATCTGGAAACTTTCCCCAGTTTATAGCTTGCAAGGAGAGATTGTACAGAATAAATATTGGATATTTTATTTTAAATGAATTATCAATATATGAAATTTCACATTATGAAGAGTTTGTAAAGCACAAATTAAGTTCATGTGAAACTGAGTCATGCATTATCTTATATATGAATCCGCAAAGACTCTGGCAGATTATATTGTCATCTCCGGGTTATCAATGACCTTCCTACCTAATTCCTAGGTCTGCATTCCAGAGTGAAAGGAGGGAGAAGAGCCTGATGACCAATAAGACTTTGTCTCTTTAATCAAGATAGGAAACTCTCCTCTTATATTCCAATGACCAGAATTATGCCTAGTGGCCCCTGAGCTGCAAGGGAGGATCAAGTATTTCATCTAGGCACACTGGCAACCAGTCAGAGTACTGCTGGTAAGGAAGCCATAGCGAGTGGACATTGGGTAGTAACTGGCAGTTTCTGCCATACACTTTGGCCTTCAAGCTGAATCAGTGCTGCAGGAGCAAAGCAAGAATGGATGCAGATTTCAGTTGTACTCTGTAGGCCTGTGGTTTTTTAAAGAACCAACTGCTCTCCTCTTTCATCTGAGAATGTAAGTACCCTCTCCTCCCATTTCTCCTCATCACCATTCCCTTACATGCCCTCCCCACAGATCAGCTATGGCCCAACATTTATGTGCAGCATCTCAGGCTGTGCTGTGAGTCCAGCTGTCGATTTCTCCTTCACCAGCTACAACTTTGGGACGTGCTTCATCTACCAAGCCGGAATGCCCTCATACAAACAAACTCTGGTCATCACCAACAAAGAAGATACATCCATGAGGTAGGTAGGCTTCCCAGAGCATCCAAATGATTCTGCAGCTCCTTGTGATCCTATAGACTCCATACAGGTACAGTCTACCTAGACCAAAAAAGAGGAATTACGGGAAAAAGTCAAATACAGTTGGACATGAATCCTGGGTCCCCATCTTCGTCATTAATACTTGGATAGCCATGAGCAATTCATGTAGAGGGCAATACCAAATGACCTCATTGGAAGTTCTGTAGCTTCCATTTATTTTCCACATGTAGTAGATGTGGAAACTGAGGTTTAGAGAATTTAAAATTTCTGTGCAGAAAGTAGCAGATCTGTACTGAGCCTAAATCTTCTGATTCAAATCCAGGTTCCAGTCAAGGTTTCTGGGCTCCATCCCAGACCTAATGAGTCACAGTCTCATAGGTCCACAGACCTGTGTTCGTCCAAAGCTCTCTATACCAGTATATAGAGAACTTTCTGCAATGGCTAATGTTGCTTTTCTGCACTGTCCAATATGATGGCTGATAGCTAGAGGTGGCTATGGAGCACTTGAAATGTGGCCAGTACAACTAAGGAACTGAATTCTTTATTTAACTTATTTTAATTTTAATAGCCACATGTGGCTAGTGGCTATCCTAGCACAGATCTAAGTTCAGATTTCAGCTCGTCCTTAGCTGTGTGATCTTGGGCAATTTTTTCCAGTGCTGGGAATAGAATCCAGGACTTTAAAACTGCTGGGCAAGTGCTGCATCACTGAGCTACACCCCCAGTCACTGGACAGATTTCTCAAATTCTTTGTCTCTGTATCCTTGACCAAAATGGGGGATCAGAATAGTACCTCCTATTAGACCATTAGACCATTAGAAGACTAAATTAGTCTAGTACTTAGTGCCTAAAGCCTAGAAAATGCTCAGTTATTGTTAGCTGCCACCCCATTGTGATTATTATCCTATTAAATGATGATTATCATATAACTAAATATTAATTAAAATCTTATCTATTTATATGTTTCCTTATATGATTTAGTGTAATCTCACTCTTACTTTGTTGAAGACATTGTGCTTCATACATTGGCCCAGCTAGACACCTCTGAATACCTGTCAGGCAGATGAGCAGAGGTCATAATGGAGAGGTCTATGTGCCTTCCTACCCACAGGTGGAGTGGGCTAAACATGATCTTTCAAGATTCCTTCTAGTTGGATACTATAATTATGAGCCAGGCCTACCATAATTAGAGACTTTAATGTATGTAATATCATATAGATTGCATGCTATTAATAGTCTGTGAGGGTAGTATTTCCTGTTTCATTGTAGGCTTCTCCCATTTATCCTCTTATAAGAAGCTAAAAGATGGTATTAGGAATTTCAGATGAATTCAGATCTTAAATGCTTCAAAGGTGTATTAATACTGTAGCAAAGATGATCTGAGATTAAAATCTGCTGACCATTAAGCCTCCATTTTACCAGGACAGAGGGAATTTAATGAAAGGCTGTTCTTCCTTCTGGAAAAGTTTTTGACTCTGTGGCCACTTCCCCCACCACCACCACCTTAAAAAAAAGTGGAGTGACTATCCCATTTGGATATTAATATTTGAAAGTTTATGGGAATATGAATGGAAAATACACTTTCTTTTTTCTTTTTTTTCCCCATTAACTTTATTGGTACATTTTAGGTATAAAATACAGTTACATTCATCATTGGGATCTTGTGCCATTACATGAGTCTCTTGGCTCTTATTTTTTTGAAAATACACTTTCTTATTGTGTTTGGCCATGGCCAAGGTAATAAATTGGAAATAGAAACAGTGCCAATGTTTCAAAAATCTAGACCTGAGAGATTCAGCATACTGTTTAGAATAAATATGAATCTTTGAAAATGTCAAAAAAAAAAAAAAAGATTCCTTCTAGTTGAGCAATTTGTCATACTAAAAATAGCTCTCCTTTATGGAATATTTTCTCCATGCCCTGTTTAGTGACTGCATTAGCCACTTCATTTTATTTAATCTTAACAACCCTGTGAAATATCACTAGCCCCATTTTATAGGTAAGAAAGTAGTCAAGGAACTTTTCCTAGATCATACAGCTCGTTAGTCATAGGACCTGGATCCAAATTCCTGCCCGTATGACTCTCAAACACACTCCTTTCCAACCATGGGATGCATGATCAAGAAATAGAGGTTCAACAGAGTGAAAAGTTCATTAGGCAAAGGGACATGAGCCTTTGGGTTGAGGCCTGGTTCTGCCTGGATCTCAAGATGTAAATAAATCAGTGTGGCTGGGAGTGTGAGCTGATCAGTACTTCAGTCCCTTCCAGCTCTTCACTGATTTCTCTTACTTTAGGACAGATGGGCAGGTACCCATCATACTTAGCCCAGAAAGCAAAGGGGATTTATCAGTCCCTCTAGGTCAGCCTTCTCAGCATTTATGCCCCTTCCTCTTGATTTTCCCCAGCATAGATTGTTTGTACACCAACACCAGCTACCTTGAGGTGAGCTTCCATGCCGAAGTGATAAAGCCAGGAAAGACACTGGAGATTCCAATCACCTTTTATCCTCGAGAAAGTATCAACTACCAGGAACTTATCCCCTTTGAAATCAATGGGCTCTCTCAACAAACAGTCAAAATCAAAGGGAAAGGCACTGAAATGAAGGTAAGGGATTACGAGGGAGGCCTTGGGGCTTGGCCCTCCGCCCCACTCTTCTAGCCTCCTTTGTAACTTGAGCCCACACTGCTCTCTTCCGCCTTTGTGTCTTCACCTTTGGGGTTGCCCTATCAGAAGTCAACCAGACCCACTGAGAAGATGTCCCTAGTTACACAAAGAGGGGAATTGTCAGTCAGACTCAAGTGAATCATAGCTCTTAATTCCAAATTTCACTGTATCAAAGATATAGGTAATCACAGGTAGAGAAACGTTCTTTACCTTCTTGGAGAAATTTGAGGTTATCAGATGCAGCATCCCGCACACATCTTCCTCCTCCCACATTAGTGCATGTTTTCTTTTCATGCCTAATAAACATTTTTAGGCAACATGTGCAGACACAGGTTTCAGCTTTGTAGCATGTCAACACCCTCACTGGTTATCATTCTCCAATCAGTGGTGGATCCCAAGATTACATTTGGTCAAAGATCCCTTCTACCCAGGCTCTCCAGATAGAGAGCTCATCTCTTCCTTCCCAGTGTCTAGTCAAGGTTTAAGGTGCTTTTCTGGCAGGAACATTTGTATTGTAATAAAAAGTTTGGGAAGATTGAAAACTTTCCAAGATTCTCGAGAGTGCATGAGGCATTTCAGCATGGAGGGAAATTGGAGTACTATATTTCTGGCAGCCTTCAAGCCATAAGAGCAAAAGGACACTACCACTTGGTGTATCTGGACCCAGGACAGAGACAAAGTCTCCCCCATGCCATTGAGGGGCCGGATCAACATTTCAATCAGGGTCTTAGATGAGGATTTCACGGTGTATCTACTTCTCTCCACCTCTGCTGCCACCATTCCAACCAAACCACCATCTTCTCTACTCCTCACACTTTCTCTCTTTCTGTCCTGTAGCCTTCACAGAGCACTGTGGCAAAAAATATATATATATTAAATTGAGTCACTCTGTATTTTGCTGACTCCTATTTCTCCCAAAGCAAAGCCCACTCTCTCTCTCTCCCCAGCCAACTATGGCACACAAGACCTTGCAAGCCAGGGATTTAGCTCAGTGGTTCCAGTGCCTGCCTTGCAAGCCCAAGGTCCTGAGTTCAATCCCCAGTACCAAAATAAAAAAATGACAAAGACCTTGCAAGGCCTGACTCACTCTCCAAATTCCTCTCAGCACTAGCTCCAAGCCACAGGCTGCTCCCTCTAGCCCAGGACCTCACCCAGGCCATCTCTTCCCCCTGCAGTACTCCCCAGCCCCTGCTCCCATTGGCTCCCACTGACTATAACCTGCCCTTCTTTGGCTCTTGAGATAAGCATCCGGTCTTCAAGAAGGCCTCCCTGAGCCCCTAGTCTGGTTTCAGCCCCCTGCAATATACTGTCTAGGTGCCCTGAGCTTTTCCTCCCTCTCTCTAAACCCAGTTTTAATTATGTAGTTTTGCAATGAATTTAGTGGGCATTTTTAAGTGTATGAATGTTGGGTGAACAAATGCCCATCCAACGTGAAGTTAGATCACTATGAGAGAGGGAGCCACCCTTGCCTCCCTGGGATAAACATATCATTAACATTTATTTTTCTCATTTACTGATGAACCCTCCTTCCTAATCTCTTGTCCCACAGATTTCAGTCCTAGATCCAGCCAGTAAGATTGTGAAGTTAGGAGCTGTCCTGCCAGGACAAGTCGTGAAGAAAACTGTCTGCATCATGAACAACAGCCTTGCGCAGCTCACATTTAACCAGTCTGTGCTGTTCTCTACTCCAGAACTCCAGGAACCCAAGGTTGGGGCTCGGGGACTCCTGGGGGCTCTTCACACTTCCAGTACATAAGGATGACCAGGCTAACAACACCAACAGCTCGCATTTCTTGTGCATCTAGAATGACCCAGACCACACTGACAGCTTTCTATGTGCTATCTCAGATCATTTTTCCCAAAACAGTATAGGGTCAATGCTTTTATTATTCTCATTTTACATTTTCGTTTCACTTTCCAGTGCCTTTTGTTCATTTCCACGTCTACTACATGAATGGACCATTTCTGCTCATTCTAGGTGTTTCTGTTCTTTTTATATTATGAAAAGCATTGTAATAGCCTTGCAGCAATGCCTTTGTATGCATCCATGACTCCCTACTTGAGACAAGTACTTAGAAGTAGGCTCTTGGGTCAAAAGGGAAAATGTATTTCATTTAATATCACCAGTCTGCCCCTGAAAGTCTGTCCTGCTTTGCAGTCTCATCAATGCTGAAAGAAAAACATGTGTGTTGCTAAACCCACTTCCCCAAGGTCCCTGAATCCAAGCTACCTGCTACCCCACTTAACATCATCAATATTTGGTTGGCCCTTCAAAAATGGACCCCAAGTGTTTCATTCTGAGAGTGGACTGTATCTATTCCTTCTTTCAGTTCATTCTTTTGTTTATTCAGTAAATATGTGTGAGGTACAGAGAATATAAAAGCCAATGTGACACAGACTTGGTCTGTGGAATTCACAGTCTTTTGGGGTCACAGATACATAAACACCCCTGGGACAGCAGAAACTGCGGAGATGGTGTGAGTCAGGAGCGGGGCTGCTCAGAGCAGGCAGGGCTCAAGGGCACAGAAGGCGTCAGAGCCCAGAGAGGCCCGTGCTGCATTTTACAGGAGGAACAGATGCCTTCCGGGAAGGCAAGTTAGAGAAGGACACCCCTGGGGCCAAAGGTGTATACAGTATATGCTCCAAGGGTCAGTGTTTCTGGAAAACCAGGTGAGAATCAATGTGGAAAGAGCATTGTGCGCCACCTAGGGCTTGCAAGATACAGAAAACTTGGCCGTGAAAGCATACCTAGAGCAAGAGACCCAGTGGGCATCTCATCCCAGGAGCCTACGTGGTCCATTACACCATCCTCATTAATCCAAATTACAGTCCTTGGTCTCAGTGGGGCCGGGCCCCTAACAGTTTAGCCATACTGATTCTGCCTCTGAGGTGGCCAGCCCAAAGCTGGCAATGTCCTGTGTGAGCCCATCACACTCATGTTTGAGAAATCTCTGGCACGACTTTGCCGATGCAACCCCTCTGTCCCTCACCTCACTCCCTGGGCCACAGCCCACTTGTGGGTAACTGCTTGGCGCTCTGTACCAAAGGAAGCTTAAGGGTCAAAGAGGAATAGGCTTTCTCTGGATTTGCTTTGTACCAGGACTAAGGGGAAAGAGCAAGACATCCAAATGTTTTCAATGGCTCTCAAACTTCAGAATCATGAGTCACCTGAGGGACTTTTGAAAATGTGCGTTCCAAGCCCTCCAAGGGAGAAGGGAGGACTGAGCCCCTCAGCCTGGAGCAGGTCTGTGGACTCTGCCTTTTAACAATCCCAGGGAGTACCCTTGAGAAACACCAGAACCCTGAGAGTTTCCTGTTTCCTCTACAAGGGAGGAGGAAGAATGAAATCCCCAAGAAGATGAGTTGGAAAGGGAAGGAAAGGGAACTGACATTTATTGGATGCCTGTGAGGTGCCATGCATTTAATATACATGAACTTAACCTTTACCATAGAGCCAGCCACAGAAGTTTTAAGTAACTTCCCAACGATTACACAGCTGGTACGAGCAGATGTAGATTTCTCCCCAGGGCTGGCAGCATCAGCAGCAAGACCTCAGGGAACCAAGAGGACCCCCACCTTGGGATCCCCCACTGTCAGCTGCTGAGTCTAGTTGCTCTTTACCCAGGTTCTCACCTTGGTGCCCTTCCAAAACATCACCCTGAAGCCCAAAGAAGTCTGTAAGCTCGAAGTCATCTTCGCCCCAAAGAAGCGCATCCCTCCCTTCTCTGAGGAGGTGTTCATGGAATGCCTGGGCCTCCTGCAGCCCCTCTTCCTCCTCAGTGGCTGCTGCCAGGCTCTGGAGATCTCTTTGGACCAGGATAACCTCCCCTTTGGACCAGTCGTGTTTCAGACACAAGCCACACGCCGCATCCTCATGTTGAACACAGGAGACATGGGGGCAAGGTAGGAAGCCATGCCCTGCCCCAGGCTGCTGGAGACATCTCTGTCCTTGGACTCCCAGACTTCCTTCTGCAAGCACAGCCACTTTTTATTTCCATCTTTTCCCTTCTATACACACACCCTTGCCTCAAGATGTGACAGCAGTGTCCTCGCCAGAGTGATTACTAAAATTAACATGATGGAGAACATTTGCTCAGTCCTGTCACATGCCCTTTACATGGCTCATCATTCCATCCCACCAACAACCCTAGGAGATCTATACTCTACAGATCAATGTTACAGATGAGGAGACTGAGGCACAAAGAGATTGAATCACTTTTCCAAAACCGTGCACGTAGCAAAAACTTACCATGTGCAGGTGCAGTGCTGAGGATCCTTATGTGTACACTCGATTTAATTATCCCAGGCCCTCTCAGGTGGGTACCATAGATCCCCACTGCACAGATGGAGTGAGACCCAAAGAGGTTAGGTGACTTGCCCAGGGAGCATGGCCAGGAACAGAGCCCAAGTGCACTATATCTCCAGCAACTCTCCTTTGCAGGCTCTTTCCCCTTGTCTCTCACAGATGCTGAACAGCAGTGCAGGATGCGCACCACTCACCCTGGGGCCACTCATCATGCAGACTCAGTGTGACAGGCCCCCAGTGAGCTGTGGTGTGGTGGCCCTGACCCTGGAGGCACTGCCCTGTACTGTCCATCCTGTCTCCTGCCTGGACCAAGTCCCCAGCCCCATAGAGGTGACCACACAGGGCCATCAGCTCCCAGTGCCACCAAGAACAGGTGCGGCTCTCACATCAGAGTCACCACCTTCCTGGATCTGAACTGGAAAGCAGTGTAGGGAACAGCTAAGGCCACAGACTCAGGCAGGCGCCAATCCTAGCTCAGCCACTTGCTAGCTGTGTGACCTTGAGGACATATGTTCACATGTGCATGTATATATTGTCCCTGATGTGTCCTGTAGGTACAAACATAAGATGCAGCCACTTCCCACCATTGGCTCAGCTCTGAGAGGGAGCCAGGTCACCTTACCAGGGTGACCTTGGCCCATGCTTCCTGTGCTTCTGCTTTATCTGGCAGCTCTTTCTCCCCCTGAGTCCTAGGGAGCAGGCCAGGGAGGGACACCCAGCAGCTAAAAACCTGAAGTCTGTTGTTCTCTGTAGTCCTGAGGAAACCCTCAGTATTAGTTAACTTTCTTCCTTGTCTTCTTTTGTCTGAAAAGGTTCAAATGGGATGTCAAGAAATTCGAGCCTCATTTCTCCATCAGCCCGGATGAGGGTTACATCACCACTGGCATGGAGGTTTCTTTCGAAGTGACCTACCATCCCACGGAGGTGGGAAAGGAGACTTTCTGTAAAAACATTCCCTGCTTCATCCAGGGGGGCAGTCCTCTGAGCCTCACCCTGTCTGGTGTCTGCGTGGGGCCACCTGCTGTAAAAGAGGTGAGTTGCTGCTGCCCAGGGATGCAGCGGCAGCAGGACTGTGCCATTCCCATTGCTGGATAGATAGGCCGGATGGAGGACGTTCCTTTCCTCTCTCCATTTAGTTTATCCCTGTTCATTCCTCGGCTCTCAGCTCTGGCTTTACATTCTCAAGGAAGCTTACACTGATGTCCTTCTAGATCAAATTCTGTAATAAGACCTGTGAGCAAAGGGTTAGCACCTTTCTCTTCCTCTATGGTTAAAAAGATGGCTTGAATGAACCCTGTCTGGGCCATGTTCCTGGAAACCTAACTGTGCCAATAGCTGCTTCCTAACAGTATTGCTGATGGTAAAAATGACACCCAGTCTCTCTCCCTTTCTTTTTGTTCTTTCAAGAATAATAAATGGATGGACTCAAACAGAATGCTATGAACAGGTACAAACAAGACTCAGCAAGAACACAGGCTTTTATTTCTCTTGGGCAAATACCTAGTTGTGGCTTGTGGGGTACATCTCTGCCTACCTAGCACTTGCTCCACATCTTTGCTTCCACTTGATGTGGTCAATTTTTTAGGTTTTGGCCATTCTGGTTCTCGGTGAGCCTTTTCACTTGCATTTCCCTGATGACTAATGTCGGGAAACATTTTCTCATGTGTTCACTTGCCATCATATGTCTTCTTTGTTGCAATGCCGATTCCAATCTTCTACTTTTAACTTGGTTATTTATTCTCTTCTTAAAGTTTGGTCTTCAATGTGCTTGGAGTTCATTTTTGTATATAATATAAGATATGCCTCAAAACTTTTTGACTATAAATATCCAGTAATCCCAGTACCACTTACTGACAAGACTGCCCTTTCTCCACTGAATTGCCTTTGCACCTGATAAAATAAGTTGATCACATAAGTGTGGTCTACTGCTGAGCTCTATTCTTGTCCACTGATCTATGTGACTAACTTTATGCCAATACCGCACTGTGTATGTTGATAAATCCAGCGACTTGGTCTAGAACTTCATTTCAGAACTGAGCCCTCGGCTGTAAGAGAATCCCCATCAAGCTTTGGCTTCCCTTTGTGTCCTCTAGAAGGTTTTCACCCTTCATCTTGCTCGAGCAGTAGGCAGAGTGTGGTGCTGTAAACCAGGCTGCCTTCTCCAGACATTCCTTCCCTTGCTTCCAGGACACTACTCTGTCCTGGCTTCCTCCTGGCTCATTGACTGCTCCCCTCTCATCCTTCTTCACCCTGCAATCACCTGTCAGAAATAAGTCCTTAGATTCTCTCTTTTTTTTCTAAAGACACTCCCTCCTTGTGGATCTCATCCAGCTTCTTGGCCTTAAAAAAAAAGCACCGCTGTGCTGACAATTCCAAAATATGTATCTCTTATTTGGACTTTTCCCTTAAACTCCGTATTTGTAAGTTCCGCTTCCTGTTCGACTAATAGGCTTCTCAAAGATACACATACAGAACTGAGTACCTGCTCATCCCACAGTCAGTCCTACCCCCATAATTGGCATCCCCATCTTTCTGGCTGCTCAGGCTAAAAACTTAGGTGTCATTCCTGAATCTTGTTCCGCTTACACCCAATATTCGATACATCGTAAAATCCTATTGGCTTTTCAAAGTACAACTGGAATAGTCCCACTTCCCACCATCTGTAGTGTCACCCAAGCCACTGTCATCTCCGACCTGGTCTATTGGAAGTACCTTCTGATTGGTCTCTTCCTCTGTCACCTGTCAGCATCCACTGTGATTCTGTTAAAACTCTCTACTCAAAGCTCCCTCAAAGTCCTCCTATGTCAATAGAAGAAAATAAAACTCTCTACCATGACCCCTAGATGCTGTTCTTCCCTGCTAATTTGTCTCTCACTGCTCCATGTCTGCCAGAATAGCCTCGTGGTCATCAGTCTGAATTCAAGACCTTTGCAGTGAATGTTTCCTCTGCCTGTGAGGCTCTTTTCCCTTGGGTGTCTCCTGATTTGTTCTTCTTGGTCTTTAATAAAATATGTATTCTTGGTATGTGTGAGGCCTTCTCTGATCACCCTAGCTAAAATGTCACACCCACCCCCCAATCTGGCGTTATTTCCCTTTCCCTGCTTTATTTTGCTCCATAGCATTTATTCCTAGCCTACATATTCTGCATTATACTTCCTTGTTTGTTTATTGTCTGTCTCTTGCCACTAGAGCATAATCCTTGAAGGCAGGAATTTTTGTTACTTTGTTCACTGCCTCACCTCCACCACCAAGAACAGTACCTACATGGAAAGTACTCAATTAATATTTGTTGAAAGAATGAAAGAAAAATAAAAGTATCACCTGAAACTCAGGATACAAGTACTGTTAAAATCAGCCTTCCCCTCCACACATGCTCTCCCTTGGGCCCTGGAGACAGACCAGGGGGAAGTGCCATGCAAGGTGAGGTGCCTGCCTTCTTCCAGGTGGTGAATTTCAACTGCCAGGTGCGCTGCAAGAACACGCAGACCATTTTGCTGTCAAACCACACCAACCAGACCTGGAATCTGCGCCCCATCTTTGAGGGTGAGCACTGGGAAGGGCCGGAGTTCATCACACTGGAGCCCCATCAGCAAAATAAGCCTTACGAGATCACCTACAGGCCCCGCACCATGAACTTGGAGAACCGCAAGCACCAGGTAGGCTGAGACCTCCCCATGGGATTCCTGCCATAGGTAAAGGAGGGAGAAAGTTTAAAAGACAGTTTGGGAGCTCAGAGAATATTATAACAAGGACCGGAGTACCCAGATCATGATGGAACAGTGGGGAGTCGTCCAGACCATCAAGCTTTGGCTTCCGTTTTTGTCCTCATTTCCTGTGTACCGGATCCTCGTACAGCCAAGGGCTCATTCTGAAATGAATTCTAGACTAAGCACCAAGCAATTAATATTTAGCTCAATTGCATAAATACCATCATGCTGGCTGCAATAAAAAGCCAAAGCAGGGCCGGGGATTTAGCTTAGTGGTTTTGCTGCCTGCTGCTCAAGCGCAAAGACCCGAGTTCGATCCCCGGTACCAAAAAAAACAAAAACAAAAACAAAAAAGCCAAAACAAAAGTAGCCACAGTTTTCCATCCTATAAAAAAATGAATTTTCTCCTATCTTCACTACCAATCCTTACTTAGATACAGCCATAACTGTCATTATAACATACTCAGTCTTGTATTAGGTTTATTTTTACTTTATATTATGTCATTAATATTTTTTTATTTAACTGTATAGTTTGAGATCATCATTTTAATGACTGCCTAATATTTCTTTGATTGAAACTCCCATAATTTAACCTTGCCCTGTTGTTGAATGTTTATCTCCAAATTTCATCAACTTTATAAGTGGTTTGTGTGTGTGTGTGTGTGTGTGTGTGCATAATATGTGTGTAACTTTTTCATTTGGAGGGATTTTTCTTCAGTAATTTCCCTCAGGTTGCATTCCTGGTTCAAATACATAAGAACATTTTTGTGACTTTTTAGATCTATTACCAAGTTGGTTTCCACAAGTGTTATGCTTATTTGCAAAGCCTCCGCTAATCCTGTGTCCCCGCCATGCCTGATGGGTCCCCAATACAGGACCTCTGTGTCATTCTGATCACAGGTCTTCTTCCTTAGGGCACCCTCTTCTTCCCGCTTCCAGATGGAACCGGCTGGCTTTATGCTCTGCATGGGACTGCTGAACTCCCGAAAGCTGTAGCCAATATCTACCGTGAGGTGCCATGTAAGACACCCTACACCGAGCTCCTGTCAATCACCAACTGGCTGAATAAGCCCCAGAGGTGAGGCAGTGGGGCAAGGGGTCCGGGTGGAGAGACAGAGGGACCATTTGCACCATCAAGCTTGGTCCTGCCCCTCCTCAGGGCCTATAGAGAGTATTGTGTTGCTCAAAGGCTCCAAAGTAATGGCCCCTGATGTAGCTGGACATTGCCTGTGCTTAAGCACCTGGAGAGTATCTCCTGCTCAGTGCCATTTCTTACTCATCTCCTAGAACAATGCCTGCCCCAAATAAATGCTCCATAAATATCAGCCATTATTATTATATTGATGATAATCATCTTTGTTATTATTGAGTGGGCTGTCTTATGAACTAAGCCCCCAGCTAGAGAAGGAAGTCCCTTGGATCTTGTGATAGGAGTAGAATGGAGTACAAGGATGAGAGGAGCTCAGAGCCAACCAAAGACCCAAAGAAGAGGCATAACTTACTGAGGGCCACCTGCTCGTAGAGGCCCAGATGGAAGGCTGAGTGCTCCTTTTGCCATTAACTAGTCGTGTAACCTGAGTATGTTATCTTCCTTCTTTTGGCCTCTGTTTTCTCTTCAGTGAAATGGAGATGTTAGTGGCACATACCTCTGTAGACGTCATAAAGATTAACTGCCTGTAATACATGGACAGCACCTACTCAAGTCCTGGCACATAATGGGTAGTCAGCAAATGGCAGCTAGGGTTATTACCGTTATTACCAGCACCCACCCTTCCCTCCCTTGGACAAAGTCTCATTGTCTCTCTCCTTTCTTCACGTGTTCCGGCACTGCCGCAGATTCCGGGTCATCATAGAAATGGTGAAACCAGAGAAGGCAGACCTAAGCATCACTATGAAGGGCCTTGATTACATTGACCTGCTCTCGGGCTCCAAGAAAGACTACAAACTGAACTTCTTTTCCCACAAGGAGGGACTCTACACTGCAAAGGTATCTGCATGTCAAAGGCACCACCTTGAAACCCCGGAGGTTTGACCCTGGGGTTGACAGTCTTTGTGTAAGGGGAAAACAGGTGTCCTTCCCAATCACTATTCCAAGTCACCCGTGGTCTTTCACACATGAGCTGTCTCATCTAATTTATTCCTTTGTTCAGCAAGTGCCTATTGAGCATATATTCTGTGTGCTGTGCTGTTGGCCAGTATCAGAGCAGTGACCAAAATAGGCACCTCTATCCTCCTGGAACAACTAGACTAGTGGAGTAAGAGGGACCTTGCTCACATAACCGCACTGTGATGGCGTAATTACAAGATGAGATTAGTGCTTAGAGGAAAAGGGTAGCTATGGATCTGTCGCTCATGGGCGAGGTCAGAGCTAAAGATAATATTTGGATGTTATTCTTTTACAGATAGCTTTTAAAGCTGTGAGGGGTGATGGAACCACCCAGGGAAAGATTTTAAGAGTGAAAAAACAAACAAGAGTTTAAGAGAATATATATATATATATACACACATATATATATATACATACATATATATACACACACACACATATACATGCCTCATTATATAAATAACTATGACTACCTAACAAGATAAACAACACAATATATCTAAAAGGATGAAAGACTTGAACAGACTCTACTTCATAAAAATAGCTATGTGAATGACCAACAGTATATAAGATCAACATCTTTATTCAGCAGAGGAAAGAACTTTAGAAGGTGAGCAGTATTGCAACAAGCCAGTTGCAGGGCCTAGGGGACAGGTAATGCAGCCAACAAGCAGGTGCTCTGGAGTCCAACCAACCTGGACTCGGGGCCTGGTAATGACATTTCTTTGCATTTGACCTTGCGTCAGGTACTTAACTTGGCTAAGCTTTAGGTTTTTTTCATCTGTAAAAAAAGGTAAGAGGGAACAGTAACAGTGCCTACAAATTGTGCTTCCAGTGCCTGCCACGCAGTAACAGCTCACTGTTAGATGCTGCTGTTGTCACCTTTTGTCAACAATTCCAGCAGCAAGAGAAGCAGGAGCAAAGCCCACAGCAACTTGAAGCTCTCGAGGTCTCACTTATTCTCCAGGCTGGCTGGCTGTGCCCACTGGGGAGGTGCTAACACCGGACTGAGCTGCTCTAGCTACTTCCAAAGCAAACCCAGGCTGCTTAACTGTCTCTCACCAGGGGCAAGCCAGACCTGAATGCCTGAAGAGAAAGGCAGGCTGCCAGGGTCGTACCCGCTGGTACATATGGGCACTTCTTGTGCCCAGGCAAGGCTAAGAGAACAGGGCCCTTCGTGTGTGCAGAAGATCTTTGGCTAACACCTCCCCCCCCCCGCCCCATTCTTCCCATCTTCCCTGTGAATGCAGGTGATCTTCCGAAATGAGGTGACTAATGAGTTCTTGTTCTACACGGTGAGTTTCAAGGTCACCCCTTCGGGCACCATCAAAACCATCAAAATGACAAGCCCAGTGCGGCAGAGCGCATCAGCCTCCATCAAGCTGGAGAACCCCCTGCCCTACTCAGCAACCTTCTCCGCGGAATGCAGGGTGTCTGATATCAGCCTGCCCTCCCAGTTTGCTGTGCCTGCCAACTCTGAGGTACGGCCATGCTCGAGGCTGTGACAGAGGGTTCTCTATCCACGAGGCCTCCAGGGTTTGCATTCTGGGTCCGCTGAGTGTGGGCTGGGCCTAGCAGTGATCAGGAAGGCAGGGGAAAATCACCTTCGTGTTCCTTTCCTCTATCGCCAAAGTCCTCCTGTGAACTAGAGGCCCTCCCTCAGCTTTGGTTTGGATGGGTAAAATGGACTTCTTGATTGGGAACATTGCCTCCGTTGTTTCTTTGTTTGGCTTGCCCTGAGAGAAGTACTTGAGGGGAGGGGTGCTAATTATAAAAGGAGCATAGGGCTGGGGGTGTGGCTCAGTGGCAAAGCACTTCCATGGCATGCATGAAACCCTGGGTTCGTTCCCTAGAACCACAAAGGAAAAGAAACATAGAATATATGTGATAAAAAGGAAAGCAATGAGCTGGGTAAGGTGGCGCAGGCCTGTAATCACAGCTACTCAGGAAGCTGAGGCAGGAAGATCACAAGTTAAAGCCCAGCCTGGGCAACCTAGCAAGATGATGTCTCAAAATAAAAAAATAGAAAAGAGGGGCCAGGGCAGGCGCAAGGTCCTGAGTGCGATCCCCAGGACCAAAAAATTCTAAAACTTTAGAAAGAAAAGCAAGATACAAAATAATGTACCAAGTGTACAACACAGACATGCTGATATATATGCTTGTTTAGTCACAGACAACTTCTGGATGGATGCACAAGAAAACTGTAACAGTGATTAGGAAGACATGGCCTCGAGTTATGAACCAGTAGGAAGATGAACTTTCTTTGATTCTTTTTATCAGTTTATCACTCCAAACTCTCACTGTCCGGATTTCAGAAAAATCCCTTCCGCCTCTCCCAACTTCCACCCCTGGCTTGTTCCCTTTACTCCAACTCTAGCTCTTCCATACCCTTCAGAATCTAGAGTCTGGATTTGTTTTCTTTGTACTCTTGCTCATTTTTTAAATCTGAGTTTTATCTTTCCTTTGCCCTTATTGTCTCTGTTATGATCAAATAGATTTATTCTCACAGTTTCCTCTTGGTACCAGGTTTTGTCTTAAAAAGGAGCTCAGGGGCCAAGGATTTAGCTCAGTGGTTCCACCACCTGCCTCAAAATCGCAAGGACCCAAGTTTGATCCCCAGTACCAAGAAAACAAAACAAAACAAAAAGGAGCTTCAGTGGCTTGGCTGTCAGCATTCACGTGGCCTCTACTGTCACACCTGGTTTCAAGTCACAATCAGCTGGAGCCTGGCATCGCCCCACCAGCCCGCCAGCTTCACCTGCCATGGTCAGATGTCCTGTCATATTTTCTGGTTTGAGAGCGAACCTTCAATTCAGGGCTGATTTCCAGGTTCTCTGGCTCTCAGGAATGAGGTTTCTTTGTCTTCCCTCTACTTCTTCAACATAGGGACCAGACCATGACACCAGACCAGTCTCATGGCTATCAGTAGTGTAGCCCTGCTCACTCATATTTAGAAGGACTAGGTATTCATTCCCTATTTGCTTGGTTCTGTTTCAGGTGTCACTTGTGATTTCTTGCTGTTGTTCTTGTTGTTGTTGTTGTTGTCAATCTAATTGATTTGTGTGCTTTGCAGAGGGACTTAAGGAGTTTCTAAGCTTCAGCTGCTGCTTTGATCCTACCCAAAACCTGGGACTGATTTTTAAGGTATAATGTGAGAAGTCCAGTTTCCTCTTTCTCACAAGTCAACATAAACTGTCCCAGACTGACTCGCCTTATATCTTTTCCTCGCCGCCTTGCAGTATCCTAATTAGTAATATGCTTATGTGAAAGGCTGTTATCTGATAAAGGAAACAATCGCTGTAGCTCTACGTTAAGACTTAATAACCTTATATTCTTCTTGTTCTTCAAGAATGTCCTGGTTATTCTTGACTGTTTGCATTTTCTATGTAAATTTTGAAATCAGCTTATCGAGTTCTTCAAAAAAAGTAAAAGTAAAATACCTGTAGAATTTTGAATTGAATTACATTGAATTTATAGATTATTTGAAGAATGTATTTAAAAAATTAAAAATTTAAATTAAAAAAAATTTTTAAATGTATTAGTGCCAGGCATGGTGGCACTTAATCTCAGCACTCTGGAGGCTGAGGCAGAAAGATCACTGCAAATTCAAAGCCAGCCTGGGATACACAGTGGGTTCAAGGCCAGCCTGCCCTACAAAGTGAGACCCTGTCTCAAAAAAAAAATGTATTAGTTATATTAGTAATCTGTCAACCTGTAATAAATTACCCCGAAATTTAACAAGTTAACAGCAAACATTTGCTGCTGCACAGGTCTGAGGATAAAGAATCCAAGAGCAGCCCTTGGCTGGGTGGTTTTTGGCCCTAGATCTCTCAAGAGGAGGAATCAGGAACTCTTTTAGGACTCTCATCATCCCCAGGTGACCAGGGCTCCATACTCTGCTTTTGAAACCATGCATATGGTTACTGGAGAGGCCCCGTTCCTTGCTAGCCCTTGGCTAGAGGCCTCAGATCCTTACCAAGTGGATCTTTCCCTGGAGCTGCTTTCAGCCTGGTAGCTTGCTTCCCCTAGCACAAGAGATCTAGGAGAAAGAGAGACTGTGGGGAAGAAAAGAGTACACAGGACAGAAGTTGTAGTAGTGTCTGTCTGTTTGTTGCAATACTGAGAACTGAACCAGGCAAGGGGCTTTGCGCTGAACTGTATCCCCAGCCTTTTTTATTTTTTGTTTTGAGACAAGGTCTCACTAAATTTCCCAGGCTGGGTGTGAACTTGTGATACTCCTGCCTCAGCCTCCCAGAGTTCTGCAATTACAGGTGTGTGGCACCACACCTGGATGTGAAGCACCATTTCCCCCATTAACCTGCTATGAGGCCTTGGGCAGGTCCCTGGGTGGCGGGGAATGGGACTGATTCCAACATAGAAGAGCCTCTATCTTCTCTTCCAGGGCACATTCTCATTTGAATACCAGCCCCTGAAAGCTGGCGAAACCTTAGGAAGACTAACTTTGTACAACAGTGATTTGGGTTACTACCAGTACGAGCTCAATCTGAAGGCTGTGCCAGCACCTCCTGAAAAGCCCATCCACTTCCAGACTGTTCTTGGCAGCAGCCAAAGCATCTTTGCAAAGTTCATCAATTATACACGGCAGAAGACAGAGTACTCCTCCAGGGTGAGCAGCCCTTTCTTTGGCAGAAGTCTGGGTTCAAAAATAATGGGAGGAAGACACCAAGGCACAGAGAAACCAGGTGCTTCTCTGTCATAGTGAGCCCTGTCTCAGGGGCCTGAATGAAACCTGGAAACTCCCAGCTAGACACAAATAGTACCAGGCCTGAGTTCTTCCATTACAGACTTTATCTTATCTAGCTGGGATAGGATGGGTGTTGCTTCCTGCATCATGTTCAGGGGTCAATAAAGGGAGACAGTGTCAATTGATGGTCACGAGTGGAGGATGTGGAATCATACAGACACAGATTTGAATCCTGGCTTCATCACCAACTTTATGTATGAATAATTTACTTAAGCTCTCTGAGCTATAAATGGAGATAATATTCCTGCCTTAGTACATTTTCCATTGTTATAAATGAATACCGCAGACTGGGTAATTTATAATGAATAAAGATTTATTCCCCTCACAATGCTGGAGGCTGAATAGTCCCAGGTGGGAGGCGCTGCATCTGCTGAGTCCTCTTGCTGGCCAGCAGGTGGTGCGGGGGGGGGGGTGAGTCCAGGAGAAAACCCAAACTGCCCTTTATAGCAGAGGCACTCTCAAGATAACCCTTTGACAGACTAATCCATTAGATTCATTGATGGATCAATCCCTGTGAGGGCTGCCTTCAGACCCCACTTAAATTAGGTCCCACCTGGTCCCACCTCTGATTGCCTCACAGTGGGATTAATTTCAACATAAGTTTTGGTGGGGACATTCAAAACATAGCAGCCAACCCTCAATCCCACCAGACTGCTGGAAGCACTTTCAAATATTATTGATAAAGCCACTTTCTTATCACCTCTCCTAGACTAGGTATCCATTTACATTAGCTATCATATCAGTTGGAATATATGTTGAACTACTAAAACAGGAAGCCAAAGTAATAGCAAAATAAAGCTTATTTTTCTTACAAATGACAGCCCCCAGGCATTCTCAGTATGAGTCAGAATGGCAGCTCTGTGACTCCCTTCTGTCCCGATACTCCATGCTCTGCAGAGAGTTACTTTGGTCCACATCAGCCCAGGGGCTTTATCATGACATCACAGGACCACACTTATCCACAGGGGAGCTGAGAAAAGTAGCTTTTACACTGAGAAGTCGTGAGCCTAGCAAAAGTCAGGGGTGTGTGGCTGCAATCAAGAGGCATGGGCTCTTGTTCACTTGTATTGGTCCAGAGAGGCTTGGTCATGCTATAGCAGCAACCCAAGATCTCAGTAGCTTAAAAGAACAAAGTCCACAGGGAACTCTACTTATGACAGCTCCTTGGAGATCCAGCTGAAGAGCAACCACCATTTCAGATGTGTTCAGTTATAGATTCAGGAGAGTGAAAAGACACGGACAGGACTTAGGCAATTTTATGCTCTAGGATGGAAGTTACACCTATCACTTCTGCTCAGAACTAATTGCCCACAAATAGCCACACCCATCCCCAAGGAGCCAGAATGTCCCATATTCCCTGTGCATGGGAGAAAAGAAGAACCAGATATGGGGGAACAGCCTTACCAACCTGACCTAGCTGCCTGTCTTAGGGCACAGGACTAACATCTCGCCTCCATTTCTTGGTAGCAGAGCAGGGAAAATACTGAGTTATACCTACTCTGCAAGGGACTGAGCTCTAAGGGTAACAGGGACCCTGCTTCATAGCCTGCCCAGCTTGTTGTCCAGGCCTGGAGAGGTCAGGGTGGACTTCGGGCTCCTGGGATGCTCTTTAGAGTCCTCTGTGAGTTGAATTTGTACCTTTCCCTTTCAGACAGACTGTCCAGATTTTCACACAGAAAAAGTCATCAGTGCACCCCCAGGAGCCCAGGGAGGCACTGAAGTCAGCATGGAAGTCTTCTTTGAACCCAGCCACCTGGGTGAGACCAAGGGCATCCTGACCCTGGCATCACTTCTAGGTGGGGAGTACATCATCCCCCTCTTCGGAATGGCTCTACCCCCCAAGCCCCAGGGACCCTTCGTGATCCGAGCTGGGTACAACATAGTCATCCCCTTCAAGAACATCTTCCTTCACACAGCCAGCTTCTCCTGCACTGTGAATAACCCAGCCTTCACTGTCCGTGCTGCAGACTCTGTGCGGCCCAAGAAGGTCAACAACATCACAGTCTCCTTTGAAGGAAACCCATCCGGCACCAAAACCCCCATCACCACCAAGCTGACTGTGACCTGCCCAACCTGTGAAGGCAGTGAAGCAGGAATTAAATGGGTTTATTACCTGAAGGGCATCACCCCTTAGTGGCAAGCAGGGTCACCTGCACCAACCAAAAGCCACCTCCTCGGGCTCAAGAGCCACACATCATCCGAACCTGATAAAGAATACAGAAGAAAGTAAGAATTCTAAAGGGACCATATTACACCCCTCACTTAATGATAGGGGCAGTTATTTCTATATTATATGTTCTTAAAACAGCTATAAAATATTTATTTTATGTGAAGCATTATAGCTACATGCAACAGATCTTTATCTGAGGTAACTCAGTCCTTGAAAGCTCCTGAATTTTATTTCTTGATATTTTCCATAGCTCAAGCACTCTATAATGACCCCCAATTTTAACAAAAAGATGCAGGTATCACACTCATGATCTTCTCCTCACAGCACTTAGCCGCGCCTGACACCAAGGCACTGTAGTTTCATCTTCAAATCTAAAGCACCCTTAGATATGAGACCATTTTGATGTGGTATTTTATTTTCTTTTCATATAAAAGCCAAAGAAATAACTATTTTCAAAGCGATCAGATAACATTAGGGCAACCAAGAGATTTTCTCATCCTCTTTTCTCTTCGATTTTTATACGATTACCCTCCGAATCTCATATCTGTTGCCTACAGAAAGGTCTCCCGCATGGCAGATAGAGATGCAGCCCCCAGTGCCGTCCCTGGCCCTGGGCACCGAAGTTGGCTGGAGATCAGTGATTCCCCTACCCATCTGCACATTGTCTCACTTAATTCTCACCCAGAATCCACCCCTCCCCGAATTCCACTCTAATTAGTCTGGGGAGGGCATAAGCATCTCTGTCTGCAAAACTTGTACTGCTGAGTTGAGAGCCAGGGCTACAGAGAAAACACACACCCAGCCGTTTGTGCCACAACTGAGTCAGGAATCCCATCAGGGGAAGGACCATGTCCCAGTTGGATGTGTTGATATTTTGTGTGCACATAAGGATGACCAGGTAGGCCAGTGCCTTTCCTGAGCACCATTCCAGAAGCTCTGCCCTGGGGTACCTGGTGCAGCCCAGAGGCCTGGCCTCAAGCCTGCCTCTTCCCTTGGGTCTCGAGGTGTGTATTCCAACGACCACTTACCTGTCGGTGCCAAGTGTTGAAATAAAGATGGCTGAAGACTGGCCCTGGAGTGACTTTGCTCCTGCAAGCACACACCTTTCACTGAGGGTCCCCCGCCTCTACTTCCTGCCCCCCCTTCTAATTCCCTACAGCACCCCTGCAAGAGAGGGAGGAGGCATGAAAGCAGATGGCCACTTGGGAACGAATACTCTAGAGTAGATCTCCAAAATCCCCTGGACCACCAGCACCAGCACTAAAGATCTAAATTCTTTACTAGGTGCCCTACCCTGCACCTACTGAGTTAGAAATTGTGGGAGTGCGGCCCAGCAACCTGTCTTTTGATAAACCCTTGTACCTATCAGAGGTGTTCACAAGTGAAGACTCTTCTACTTTTTTTGTATCTCCCACAACCCTTAGGCCAATATACACTCTACATAGCTCATACGAAATTAAGCTTTTTCCAGAGTGCTTGTAAATTCAGACCTACGCTTATAAACAGTTCATTTTTATAACCACTGAAGACACCTAAAGAGGTGTAAAGACAAAGAACAAGATAGATTTTCCCCAGTGGTCAGGTGAGCAAAGACTGCACTAACCAGTAATCTGAGAGGACGCTAAAATCAACAAACTTAAGACTGGCAAATACAGAGCATCTGTATCAATGGTTTCCAGTTTTAGTATGTATCAGAATTTCCTAGAGGACTTGCTAAAACCCAGACACCGAACCCTCCTCTCAGAGGGTCTGATGTAGAAGGTTTGGGTAGGGCTGGCAAATTTGCCTTTGTAACTACTTCCTGGTGCTGCTGTCCCTGCTGCTGCAGAAGCAGGCTGCTACCCAGGGCTCTAAAGCCTGGCCTCCTCACCATCTGAGTGGCCCATGGGCCCCTGTACATCACCAGGGAACTTTAGGAAGGCAGGACCTCAGCCCCCACCCTAGACCTTCTGAGTCAGAATCTGCATCTGAAGGAGGCCTGCAGGTGCTTGGCCTGCACAGAATGGCTCAGAGCCCTGTTTGGAGATCACTTTGCCTACACTTTTCACCAGAACCCTCTAATGGCTGGCTGATGAAAGCAGCCCTCTCCAAAATGGCCCTGCTACCACCCTTCACCAGAGGCAGGGGGAGGCAAGGGGCTATTGGCCATCAGCACATGTTCAAAAGGGGAACCTTCTCAACAATTGCAACCCTAAAATCCTAATGGTTACTGAAACTGAAAAAAAAGGTGGAGGCTAACGTGCGAAGCTGGATTAACACACCAGCTGTCAGGGTGATGTAGAGGAAGAAGTAACTCCCAACCTAGTAGATGTCCGATATGCCGAGCTTGGGTTCCCTGAAATAGAAGAATGATTCTAAGGAACAACAGAGGTTAAGAGTAAGAAGAATTTACAGAGAGAGGGAGGGAGAGAGAGAGGGAGGGCGAGAGAGAGAGAGAGAGAGAGAGAGAGCTCCTGAGAGGAGGGGAACTGAAAGTGGGTTGTCAGACCCCACTTCTCAGAGGGAGTTTTATAGAGCAAAATCACAAGGTAGGTACAATGTGGGTCAAAACTATAATTAACCAATGAGATTACAAGTATAGCTGCTTAGGTAATAATGATCCAATGGGGAAGCAGGTCACGTAGCAAGTGTACATGGAAAGAACAAGACCTTTTCAGGAAGGGGTGGATCAGGAGGTCCGGGTCACCTACCTGGGTGAGTGATGTCTATCTGGACTTTACTGAACTGGGTGAGTATAATCTTCAATTTATTGCTTATTCCTCTGGGAGGCATGTCGGCCTGGTCATTCCATCTTTATCTTGAGGCCTGGCCTTTGACAGATGCGCCTCCAGGCACGGTTGTAATGTGTTCTCATCTTCTGCGCTGACTCTTTTGAGGGCCCAGCCCTGTGACTACCTATAATATTCCAACTAATTTAGCTGGCTATAATAAGGGCGTGATGAGACTCTGCGATTCTTTCAATTTGGAAAGCCACCATTTTGACCTGTTCCCTGGAAGCTGGAGGGCTCCCACCCACCTCCCCAAACTGGTTGCTCCAGAAACTGGCCACTTCCGGTGTCACTGCCACCAAAATGGCACTGTTTGCAAACTGCCTATGGGTTGTAAGGGGCAATTTCCACTCCTCACCTGCTCCAGGTCTCCCCAAACTACTGTGTCTGGAGTCCAAATCCTCCTAGGCCCAAAGAGAGGAAGAAATCCCTTCTCCCTAGGACCAAGAGCCCACTCTCATCCTGCATCACAGGAACCCTTTCCAGGCTCACCTAGGAGCGGGTACATTTCTTCCCTTTAGGTTGTTCTCATATTTCCTCAGCCTCAAAGAAACAAGAACAAAAAGTTTTATATTAGCAAATTTGGAATGGCAAAAATAGCTCAATAGAGGGCCAGGACAGGGGCTTGGAGAAAAGCATCATGACATTGCTTGTAGAAGTTACATTTGAAAGAATATTCATATATTCTCAGCAAAGCAGGCCAGGAGACCCCTAACTAGGAGATGTTAAAAAATGAAGGGGAGGGGGCCGGGGATTTAGCTCAGTGGTTCCACCACCTGCCTTGCAAGCGCAAGGTCCTGAGTTCGATCCCCAGTACCAAAAAAAAAAAAAAATGAAGGGGAGGGACTGTGGTGGTTGAATGCATTGTGAAGGGGGCTCCCTGTCATTGCTCCCTAGAACCTCTGGTGAGTGTGGTGTGCTAAGTCCAGCCTCTTCTCTCTGGGAGACATGCCTCAAGTCAAAGGTGATGATGTTATGACACTGGCAAGGATCCTCGAGATCTCAACAAATCCCATGTGTGACCTCCCCAAGTCTCTTATGCCTTCATCCATGTTGTCCTGAAACTCCAGCTAAAATTGCTTTGTTGTTGGAGAAGCTGATTTGATTGGGGTATATTTGGATGTCACCAACATTCTCTTGCTACAAGTTATATACAGTGATAACTTTTACATAACTTGGTAATAGCTCTTTTAATAGTTGTTATAGTTCTAATACAAGTTTGTAACAACCAGGCATTACACAGATGTAGGTGAAGTATCACTGTGGAATTGAGACCCTTAGGAACCACTGTGGTGGGACAGTGGTTTGACAGAAGGTGGACTAGCAAAATAAACCCACATAGTAAACTGCATTGCACTTTTCAACAGACCAGTCATGAAACCTTAATAAAACCCAGAAGCAGAATGTTTGCATAAAATGAGAAACTGTTGCCAAAGAACAACCTAAATAAGCCTTCTGGCTTCCTTGCTCTTAGTCAACTTAAAAACCACTAATTTTGGCAGCCATATGTTATTAGCATCCCACTAGCTTTGCTGTAAGATGACACCTCTGATGTGTAGGTTATGATAAGAGGTGTGAGGTTACTTCCTAGGGACCTGAAGGCCACTTTTGCTAAAAGCACTGACCCTTTATATGAGCATACAGAGATCCAATGGGTGATTAAAATGGGATAAAAGGCTTAGCATCTCTGTCTTCATATTATGTTTCCCCTTCGCTGTCTTAAACCTTGGGTCATATTCTACTCAGTTCTGCACACACATGTGTTGATCATTTTAAAATGTTTGGTACAGGGCGTCCCCGCCCGCACACCCGCGCACACTCGCGCTCGGGAGCACTCGGAGCAAAGGAACCGGCGAGCTGAGCTGAGCCCGCCGAGCAGCCGGCAAGCCGAGCAGCCCGCAAGCCGAGTCCGCTACGACCCGCGCCCCCGAGCCCTGCAGCCGCGCCCGCGTCCCCGCCGTCCGCCCTGACCCATGGCGCTGAAGCGGATTCAGAAAGAATTAAGTGATCTACAGCGTGATCCACCTGCTCACTGTTCCGCTGGACCCGTGGGAGATGACTTGTTCCACTGGCAAGCAACCATTATGGGGCCTCCTGATAACCCATACCAAGGTGGAGTCTTCTTTCTCACTGTACATTTTCCGACAGACTATCCTTTTAAACCACCAAAGATTGCTTTCACAACAAAAATTTATCATCTAAATATAAACAGTAATGGAAGTATTTGTCTTGATATCCTGAGGTCACAGTGGTCACCAGCTTTGACTGTATCAAAAATTTTATTGTCCATATGTTCTCTACTTTGTGATCCTAATCCAGATGACCCCTTAGTACCAAGTATTGCACAAATCTATAAATCAGACAAAGAAAAATACAACAGACACGCAAGAGAATGGACTCAGAAATATGCAATGTAAAATCAAAAAGAACCTTTTCATATATAACAGTACTGTAAAATCTAGATTTTTTTCAACATTAGCAGTAAATTGAGCACTGTTTACTGTTTCATTGTACCGTGAAACCCTTTGATTTTAACCCATTTTAAATGTGTTTCTGGAGCAAGACAAAAACTTCCAAAAATAGCCTTAAGACTGTGATGAGAGCATTTATCATTTTGTATGCATGGAGAAAGACATTTATCATGGTTTTTAAGAAACTTAGATATCTGCATCTTCAGCTTACAAGATCTACAGTGCAGCTGAAAAGCAACCAAATTATTTTTTGCTGAAACTAAATGTTTTTACCTGAGAAATAATGTATGTGTTGTCTGAGATGTGGTCACTTTTATAAATCTGTATTCAGATTTCATTCTTTGTTAGCTCACTTTATAATTTGTATTTTTTTACTGTATAGACTAAATATATTCTATTTATGTGTATGTCAACTCATTATGTTTTTCCTGTGAACAGTATTGAAAAACCCCAACAGCTGATAATTAAATGAATTAACTGTGTCTTCCTTGTCTTAGGATATTCTGTAGATTGATTGCAGATTTCTTAAACCTGAATGATCTTTACACTGTAATTCTCAGTATACTGATTATGGAGAAACACTTGTTTTGATTTTGTTAGACTTGACTTAACTTTATTGCAATGTGAATTAATTGCACTGCTAAGTAGGAAGATGTGTAACTTTTATTTGTTGCTATTCACATTTGAATTTTTTTCTGTATAGGCAATATTATATTGACACCTTTTACAGATCTTACTGTAGCTTTTTCCATATAAATAAAATACTTTTCCTACTAAAAAAATAAAATAAAATAAAATGTTTGGTACAAGACTATAAAACAAGGTTAACTTAGCCCATTGCCCATTGATGTGTTGTATTTGCTTTCCTGTTCATTCTCCTTTCTCCCCTCTAAAGCCCAAGCACGTACCACGGGTCCAGGATGTATTGTGCAGGATAATGGCACCAGATACACAAAAATTCAACAGCCTCTAGAAAGAGTTGACCATGACCAACCCACCCAGTGGTCCAATCCATCACAAGAAGAAACATCTTTCGGAACCATGTCCTTGGCCAATGGAAATTACCAAACTTCAGCCCACCCCAGTACTCTTTTTTTTTTTCTGGTACCAGGGATTGAACTCAGGATCTTGCACTTGCCAGGCAGTCACAGCACCACTGAGCTACATTCTCAGCCCTCTGGGTTACTCTCTTGACCGAATGCTGAATCCCCAGTTCAACCGAAACCCCTTCTCCCCTGCAGGAGTATGTGTGCTTACACTGTTTGGCTCAGTCTCATTTCTATCACCTCTGGGTGAAAGATCACATAATACAATGCCAAAGTGATATTCAGCATGCAGCCAGATGTATTCATGATCCACTACTCTAGAAGAGTCTGAGCACAGCAGGGCAAGCCAGAGCTGGCCAACAGGTCAGAGAAGAGGAGAGCATGCAGAGTAGGCACAGGTGGCCCCTAGGCTTCCTTCGCAGCGTCACTAGCAGTCCAATCATGCCTGGACTTTATACTCCGCTGCAAGTCCCGTCGTGAATACGTAACCTTAATTAGTTGACATTCTCCAAGATATCAGAGAAAAGAAGCCACTTCTTTCTAAGAACTTCTGACCTAAAGGTAGGACAAAGCATTGGTTGGGGGCTTTGAATAAGAAACTAGTTTCTTAGCAACCTGATCCAGAATGTAATTTCAGGAGAAAAAAATTTCTTTATTTAAAAATTTTTTCTGTACCACTTCAATTATTAAAAGCCATAGCACATTGAGATCATGGGAAATTCAATTCACCTTTAAGAAAACACCGAACCAAAACACAAAGAAACAGAGGATATAATGCATTAGATATAGGTCAAGTAGAAATGACTGCATATTGGAGAAATGGGCCCAAATCACCAACATTGATTTGATTTTTTCATTGTTTTTCATCAACCATCATTATATCCTAAAGACAAACTTTGTAAGACATGTGGAAATGTCCTTGGCAGTACTACTCAGTAACAAGGTAAGAGGAAAAAACTTCTAAGCGGTACATTTTTTCTGGACATAAAACCATATTGGAGGCAGTTTTCAAATTGCTGGTGCATCTACCTCCATTCATCAGACAGTGTAGGAAAAGGTTTTGACACCCATGAAAACCCTTCAGTAAGAGACATCACATTTTCAAGGATTATTTTTAGACAATTTCCCCACCACTTGAGTTTTAGATTAGCCCCTGTAGTCATTTTCTGTGGCTGCATAACAAACCACTACCAACCTAGCCACGTAACACAGGTCTCTTACCCCCATAGTTTCCATGGGATTAAGGAGTCCACAATGGACCAAACTGGATTCTCAGTTCAGGGACCCAAAAGGCTAAAATCAAGGATTAGCTACATCTTCATCTAGAGGCTCAACTAGATCTGTTTTCAGACTCCCTCAGTGTGTTGCCAGACTGCATTTCTTTGCTGTCATATGACTAGAGTTCCCATTTTCCTGGCAAATGGTGATAGAGGACTGCTCTCAGCAAGAGACCACTGTCCATACCAGCATAGGTGATTCACAATATGATAGGTTTGATCTTCAAAGGCAGCAGGAGAATCTCTCCCATGGCAGATCTCTTCTAATTCCTTTAAGGACTCATCTGATTAGGTCAGGCCCACCCAAATAATCTCCCCCTTTAACTAAACATCAACTGAGTAGAGACCTTAATTACTCACTGTGTCTCTGTTTCAGATCTATGAGTTGAAGATGATGTTCCATGTTCAAGATTGTTGCAAGCTTTATGTGTGCGTTTCACTCATTAGAAGACTAGCACATCCATCTAAAACTATTTATTAAGCCCCATTGTGGTTTAAACCTGTCCTAAATCCTGTTAAAATAAGGAATTCTGCTGGGTGTGGTGCTGCAGGCCTGTAATTCCGGCACTTGGGAGACTGAGGTAGGAAGACTGCCATGAGTTCGAGCCCAGCCTGAACTACATAGCAAGATGTCTCAAAATAATAATAATAATAATTAAAATAAGGAATTCTGTTGCATCTCCCTGTTACTGCATCTTTAACCACATTGTTGCCACAAATCTCTCTCTCTTTTATTTTTTTAATTTTACTACACAGTTGAAACTTCTGTTCCATTATTTAGTTTGACTCTTAAAGTACCTGAAGGGACAGGAACATTCAGCAGGTTTGGGGATGCTCAGTATAAGCCATCCTTTCTGGCTATCAGAGCACAGCTCATACATCCCCACTGCCAAGTGGCAGGGTGACAGCCACCCGTCTTATCTGAGATTTTATGTGATAGGTACCATTTTTAAGTGGGAAATTAATGTCTTAGGAAAAATATAAATTTCAAACCCATGATTAAAGTAGTGGGAATTTAAGATTTTTTCTAAGTGACTTGATTTGAGAAAAGTAGTAACAGCAGTGGCTAGGATATGGCGAAAACGGTAGTGTAGTGGTTTAGTTATTACGAGTAGGCAGGCAGTCAGAGCAGCCAAACCATAGGGTCAGACAAAAGAAAATAATATATTCCACTGTTAAAATATCTCTAAGTAGCTGATAAAGCTTAGAAATGGAAGAGGATACATCTAATCTAGGAAGGGAGATAAGGACCTTTCCTAAAGTGAGAAAAGAAGCTAAATTAGTTGACAGTTTCTACCTGGGGCGGGGACTTCAACCGCACTTAAGAGCCCTATGTAAGACCAAAACAAAGTAGACACAGTGGACTTCTATAAGCACTCCTAAATGCTTCCGTTTCTTCTCAAATTTATTCTTCAATTATAAGAACTTGGGTTTATACAAAATTAACTGTTTTTTCAATTGTGGGAAACATTAGCGTATGGGAAATTGGTAAGTGACCAAGTACTGTACGAACTAGTTCATTCAGCAGAAATTATCTAGACTCAGGCTACAGAACCAGATAGGTCTCACGAGTCTACAGAGGCTCGCTATGTGAGGCAAATGAGCCTTAGAAAGCTCTCTTCAAGCCACCTAATGGGTCGCCCAGCAGGACAGTAGATGGGGAGGGGGGTGGAGCTTTTGTTGGGCACCGCCAACCACGTGCGGCCTGCGTGCGGAGGCGTGTCTGGAGAGAGGCGTGTCTTCGTGGCGGAAGGCGGAAGTTGCTGCGGAGTCACGTGACCCGAGTAACATGGCCGCTACCCACTGAACGCTACCGGTGCCTGGCGGGAGCTGGTCTCGTGAGCAGTTAGGCGGTCTGGGTCGGGTGTGGGAAAGGAGGGTCTGGGCCCAGGTTCTGGGGCATCACGCGACGGTAAAGCGAGACAAGCAGACTCGGGTGGCGTGGTCCATGAACCGGCGCCGGTGGCAGCGCGGAGCCGCAGATTCCCCTGGCCCTGGTGCGGTCCTGGCAGCCGCGGGTTGAGTCGCGAGGCTCCAGGACCCATCCTGAGCTGCAGCTATGAACCCCGAGAAGGACTTCGCGCCGCTCACGCCCAACATCGTGCGTGCCCTTAATGACAAGCTATACGAAAAGCGGAAGGTGGCAGCGCTGGAGATCGAGAAGTAAGAGTCACTGAGACACCCCACCCCACCCCCACCCCCCCGGGTTTGCATCCCCTTGCTGTCGACTCCCTGGGGTAGGAGTAGGGGTAGAGGGACTTTTCGTGCCTTCCCAGCCAGTGGTGCTTTCCCAAGTTTCAGGCCCTTATCCCGGTGTTTGAAAGCAGGATATTTGGAGCCCTATCTGGGAGTCTCAGCTTCCCTCTTCACTGGCTGTGATTTGAGCCAAATTCTTTAACCTCCTGATATCCCAAAGGGCTACAGTTTAAATGAGCATCGTAGATGTGTGGTGCCTGCCACAGTGCATAACACTGGGTGAGTCCTCACTGGTCTCCATCAAAACCAGGAGACAGGAGCGTGGCCTCTGTGATGGGAGAGAATCAGAAGCTGAGAATTTGCTAGTGATATTGTCTTCTTACCCAACTTCTGATAAGTAAGAGACTGTTAAGTGACCAGGTGGAGAAATCGAGTGAAAACCTCATGATCTCAAGGCGGATTGTTTGTTTTCTGACATGCAACCCTTCCCTGAAAGTAGAAGTAGGAATAACTTTGTTTCTGCAGTTTTATTACATGTATGTGTAATCACGATCTAATATTTGGTTTTTTTTTCCAATGTTCAAAATGTTTAAATGATGATGTTTTATTATTTTTTTCCTTTTGTATTTTCCTCTCAGCCCAACCTTAGTGGTAAAGTTGGGTGGGTGGATGATTTCAGAAGAGTGGAAGGAAACAGGCTGTGAAACTGAAAGATCATCGGTCTGGGAGTCAGAAAGGGTGGATAGCCATTCTGCCCTGTCCAGTAGAGTAGCCACTGACCGTGTGTGGCTATTTAAATTTAAATTATTAATGATAAAATTTTAAAATTCAGTTCCTCGGTCACACCTGTATTTCTCGCATTTGATAGGCACACATGGCTGTTGGCTGCCATACTGGACAGTGTAGATTAGGAAACATTACCATCATTGCACAAGGCTCTGTTGGACAGCCCCAGTCTAATCCATGGTGTGGCACTCATCCTTTGACCTAGTTCAGAATCCTCAACTTGTGGTTTCTTAACCTCAGCACTACAGACATTTGGGGACAGATAATTCTTACAATGGTTATAGTGGGCTGACCTGTGCCTCTGGCCTTTACCCACTACATGCCAGTAGTACTCCAGTTGTAACAACTAAAATTGTCTTCAGACATTACCAAATAGCCCCTGAAGGTGCAAAATCGCCCAAATTGAGAATTGCTTCCTTAACTGAATGAGATTTTATTTTTCGCCTTAAAATTAAAGGTTTTGGACTTTGATCAGAAGACCTTCCCATTTGACTATAATATTTAGTATGTCCATTCTAGCTGTCTTCTCATCAAGCACCACTTTCTTGACTGCTCTTTTTTTCATGAAGCTTTCTATCTGTATCCTGGCTCTCCAGTGCTAGAAAGTCTTAATGAGAATTGTCATACTGTATAGGGGGACCCAACAATGATGTATAGACATGGGTTTTGTTGCTTTGACATTGTATTCTGTGTTAGTCAGCTTTCTGTTACTGTATCAAATACCTGAAATAATCATCTTATAAAGAGATAAAGTTCATTCTGTCTCACAGTTTTGGAGGCTTCAGTCCATGGTCAGTTGACCCCATTGCTTTTGAGCATATATATGGTGAGGCAGCACATCATGGCAGAGAGCATGTGGTGGAATAAAGCCATTCATCTCATGGTTAGGTCTTGAAGGAAGAAGAGCAACTGGGGTCCTACTGTACCCTTCAAGGGCATGACCCCAGTGACTAGACAGCCTCCCAGTAGCCCTTACCTCTCAATGGTTCCACCACCTTCCAAAAGGACCAAGCTAGAAACTAGACCTTCTAACACATGAGCCTTTGGAGGACACTTCAGATCCAAACTATAGCACACTTGATAGGTAGTGGTGTAGTGGTGTGTGCCTATAATCCCAGCACTCAGGAAACTGAGAGTCTTAGTTACTTTTCTCATTGGTAAGACAAAATACCCAACACTACAAGTTAGAGGAGAAAAGGTTTATTTAGCTCACCACTTATAGAAGTTTCAGTCCATAGTCAGCTAGCTCTAAGGCAGGGTGGCATGGTAGAAGGGCATCACAGAGGAGAAACAGCTCATTGCAGGGCAGGCAGAAGGCAGGAACCAGCAGAAGCAGTAACAGGCTGCCTTCTTTCTGTCCATTTTATATTCCATGCTGCAAGTTTATTGAGTGGTACCATCCACACCCAGAATGGGGCACTCATAATCCCGGCATCACACCCTTAATCCACATTTACACACTTAATTCAGCCACCTTCGAAACTCCCCACCTGTGCATCGGAGGGTGACCAGTCCTCTGACTGCCTAGAAAGGAGATGGTGAGGGCTAAAGAAGAAAAGACAGTAGAGACTTGCATAATTTCAAAGTATATGTGGGCCCATGAGGTCAGTGCCTCAGAGTGGGAAGATAAAGACTCTCTGAACTAGCCATTATTTATTGGATACACACAATAATTGGAGGGAGTATTAGTGACTTAGGGGGCAGTGGTAATCCACAAGGATCTTTTGCTGATGAGGATCTTATGTTGATGAAAGCGGTAAGGAAAGTATTCTTAAAATAGTAGGTGGGACAAGATAGCAGGCTAATAAAGAAGTTGTCCTTTCCCCAGGTGAACCCTTTCTCTTTTTTTTAATTACTACTTGGTTCTGGAAGAACCAGGATATCGTCAGCTGATGTACCCTTGCCCATGAGCATCACAGTATCACAGGACCATTGAGGCCTCAACTTGTGACCCGGAGGCAAATGGAGTCATGTTTCCACATGCCATAGCCATCTCGTGGGCAAGGTGACATTGGGCCTTAGACAGCTATAGTCATACTTTAATTATGAAGTGATTTTTCCCCCAATTTTATGTAGAATGGCTCTCGATACCTATGACCACATGAGGCTCTTTGGGAGGACATCTAGATCCAAGCCATACCACTGCGGCAGGAAGATTGTTGTGAGTTCAACACCAGCCTAGACTACACAGCAAGACCTTGCCTTACCAAAAAAAAAAAAAAACTATGACACAGTTATGCCCACTTTGTCCGTCACCCATTTGGCTTCTCAGGAATGTCTGGTTTTATCCTAGCTGAGTCACCTGTTAGGTCCTTGAATAGAGGTATTCATTCAGCATTATTGCTATTTCCAGCATAACCAGCATTAAGTGCTCTTACTCTGCAGGCAGTTTTGTGAGGGTTTTGTTCTTACTGGGGTTCATTTTATATTAGACATTGTCCTTGAATTTGGAATTCAGAGAAACTTCCTAGGCCCTTCACTGGACTGTAAACTCCTTAAGAGCAGAGACTCTGTTGTATTTCTCCTCAGCACTTAGCACAGTGCCTGGTGGCATGTGACATTTGGAGTCTGCATGAATGACTAGACAAACATTTTTGGTGGAGGAATGACATTGCAGCCTGAGGACCTTGCCTCTCAGAAGTCTGGCCTACAAATAGCAGCATGGGGAGCTTGTTAGAAAGAGACTCTCCCACTTCGTTCACCCCAGCCAGGCCTACAGAATGAGAATCTGCACTTTAACAAGACCTCTGGATGATGACTGTACATACTAAAGTTTGAGAAGCACAGGCCTCAAAGATGATCTGTTCTACACTTAGAATATTGTAGTGCGTGCAGTGTACTCTGTTTGCCCTGGTCAGGGTGACCATCAACCAAACACAATCCCTGCAGATACCCCATAAAAGAAAAGTCAGAATATTGGCATTTGCCTGTGTAGTGTAGATGAATCAGTTCACATGCTTCAGAAATGAAAATGTTTGCCAGATGTAGTGGCTCATACCTGTAATCCCAGTGCTTGGGAGGCTGAAGCCTGAGGATCACAAGTTCAAGGGCAGCCTGGGCTGCATAGTTAGTTCAAGCCCAGCTTGAACTACATAGCTAGACTCTGTCTCAGAAATGAAAATGTTTAGTCCTCTTATTAGATAAATGGCCCCTCTAAGACACTCTTACAAGCCTGCCTGATTTGGAGCCTGCTTGGTTTGTTCTATAAAGAGCAGGCTCAGGAGCCCAACCCCTTGGGTTCAAGTTCCTGCTCCCTAGCTGGGTGACCTTGAACAAGCAATTACCCTCTGCCTCAATGTCCTTATCTGTAAAATGAGAATAATAATAGTATTAGTAGGGTTGTTTGATTGCTTACACTAATGTTGTAAAGTGCTTAGTGAAGTGCTGGACATATTGTACTTGTCATATATAACTGTTTTGATTACAACATATATTATGTAATTCTTTCAGGACTGCTTTTAGTACTTCGGTTGGCAGAATAATGGCCTCCCAGAACTGCCCTAATCCCTGCAGTCTGTGAATATGTGATTTAAGATAACAGATGGAATTAAGACTATGAGTTAGATGACCTTAAAACGGAGAGAGTATTCTGGATTACCCAGGTGGTCCCAGTGTAACCCCGAGTATCCTTCAGTGTGGAGGGAGGAAGCAGAACAGTGAGTATCAGAGTGATGTGACAAAGACTCATCCAGCCATCCCTAGCTTTGAAGATAGAAGGTCCCAGCAGCCTCTGGAAGCTGTCAAGAAAGTGAGTTCTCTTCTAGAGCCTCCAGAAGATACAACATCCCTACCCACACCTTGATTTTAGCTCAATAATAAATTTGTGTTCTAAGCCACCAAGTTTGTGGTAATTTATTATGGTAGCAAATAGAAAGCTGTTACAAGTCTGTTGTTATTTCTAAAACTTCTACCTCTTCTAGACTTTGATCTCTGTTCACATCATCTCAGTGCCTGCCAACGCTCAGCAGAAGTTAGCCGGAGGCTAGAGGCCTGGCTGCCCTTCGTGTTTGCTCCCGGCTTTTCCAGACCAAGCAGCAAGCCCACAGCCTCTTTGTCACCCTGAGCCCAGCAGTCATAGTATTGGTGATTAGGGATCCCCTTCAAGAAAAACCCCAGAGATTAAGATGTATTTATGGCTTACGAGGAGGTAGAGGACTCAGGCTTCCCTGGTACAGTCAGAG